GCAAAGGCAGGCTCTCTTCTCAGTAGAGATCAGAACTATAAACAAAACATTTGGTATGACGTATTTGTCCAGAGCGTGGGGAAAATGTAGGCTTTTCAAATTCCAGTGAATTGAATCTTAACTTTAGATCAGTGACTGCATGGAAATATACAGTATCAAAGCAGATGTATCGCTGCACAGAATTGAAAACATTTATTAGAACCTACCTTATACATACAATAAAAATCTACGCTAAGAATTGATAAGAAGTTTTATGATGAATGTGTCAGTAGGGTTTTAATCGAAGTTTTAATAGGGTTTTATTCTGTTAGTTTCTAGCATCAGCAACGATCTGCCAGTAGATGCACACAAGCAGTGGTGGCGCCAGGGGGGCTAGGGGGGCTACAGCCCCTCCGTCGGAAGCATCTAGCCCCCTTATCGGAGGAAATTTTAGGTTATTGTCGGAGCAAATTTGACGAAATAACGTACGAAAACTGCTTATTTTAGTCATTTTAGCCCCCCTGTCGGAAGATTTCTGGCGCCACCTCTGCACACAAGGCTCTCTTATCTTGTGTGTGTGGTTTTGTTAGATACTTTATGATTGTTTAACACTTTTTGTATAAATATATCATTGGAAGTTTGGTACATTGCAAAACATGAGATAAGCTCTAATTGAGTATGCCAAAAATAGAGAGATGCTAGAAGTCCTAAAATGTTCACGTGTTTGTACAAAATTGCTGTACATTACCCTGTGCCTGATACAAATAGATCTTCCATTTCCGCATTCATCTTCAAAGGAAAGGTGGATCAAAGAAGGATATAATTTGTCAACATTTATTTGTCATTCGCTCAACCAACCCACAAAATTGTTCAATTGGTTTTATAAAAGGGACTAACTTTTGATTTTTTAATTCATTTACAGAAATTCTAAACTACACTCATTTTTTTATAAGAAACTGGCTATAAGAAACGAGTACTGGACAGTTACAAAAAATTAAGAAACTTCAGTACTCGAAGCAAAACAATTAAAAAAACTATTTAATCGTGAAAAAACTGAGAACAACGAAATTTTGTAAAATCCAAGAACAAGATTGCCCTGTTGGCCTAGAACTTAAGACACAAGGGATAAAAATATACTTCCCACCTCAATACAGCATGAGAACGGAAGCGAATCTCTTGACGTGATAAAAAGGATCACGAACATTTCATAACATCATTCATGACATCATAATTAAGAAACCCTTAAGAAACAATGAGTATTAAAATTTCCAGAACATCAGGAAACTGTAGTACTCAACATCGACCTTTGTTTCTTAAAAAAAATGAGTGTATAGCGAATACACTCATTTTTTAAATAAGAAACTGGCTATAAGAAACGAGTACTCGACAGTCAACAAAAATTTAAGAAACTTCAGTACTCGAAGCAAAAAAATTAAGAAACTATTAAATCGTAATAAAACTGAGAACAACGAAATTTGTAAAATCCAAGAACTTGATTGCCCTGATGGCCTGGAAATTAAGACACAAGGGATAAAAATATACTTTCCACGTCTAAATTCAGGGTCAGAACGGAAGCGAATCTCTTGACGTGAAAAAGGTCACGATCATTTCATAACATCATTCATGACATCATAATTAAGAAACTCAAGAAACAGTGAGAATTAAAATTTCCAGAACATTAAGAAACTGTAGTACTCAACATCGACCTTTGTTTCTTATAAAAAAATGAGTGTAATAAGCTTAGAAGGAAGATACATATCTGCATCACTGGGGAGGGGCTCTTGCCCCATCTCCTCCAGTAGGGGGTACTCCAATAATAACTTGTCGTTTTGAAAAACTTTGATTTTTTAACGTAATACCAAGGACAAGAATCGAATGTGGCGAAACTGATAGTAGAAAGTTAAGAGTACATAATGTTTTATAAGAATGATTGGCAGTTGCTTGAGAAGAGGGCTGGATATATCTTTGTTTATCAGAATATTGTATAGCTAATAAGCAAAGATGTTTGCTTTGAGTTATCGGAGAAAGATATTTGATACTGTGGTGGTGATGAGACAAGTGGAAAGATTTCCCACAAGATAGGGAAGTGTAAAAAGAGAGATTGAAATGGAATTTGCTTGGAGGATTGGAATTATTAAAGGATTTGGAGTACACAAATAGAGTTCCAAAGTGTGACGTCACCAAAAACCTATTTTTAGAATTTTTGAATTTTAACCACATAACATAAAAGATCACCATGAAATAATTCCAGGTATGCAAAATTAGTCAAATATGTCCAAAATCAGTTGAGATAATGCCAATGAAAGATTTGAAGTTTGCTAACGAATCACTGTTATTTTGGCTCTGTTCATAAAGTTATGAACAGAGACCAAAATACAGAGGTTTGATGGGGAAAGAGCTAATACACATGTGGCCATATCTCAGCCAGTTCGTAACACATTTGACTGGTTATGCACATTTAGAGGTATTTCATGACGCTCTTTCAGGCTATGGGAACCAAATTCAAAAATTCTAAAAATAGATTTTTGTGACGTCATTACTTTAGAACTCTATTCAATTTAACGTCTCGTTTTAAAAAAATGCTTCAAAGTTTTACTTTTTGACTATAAGGATCAGAATTCTAGAGTACAATAAGTTTTCTATCGAGTCTGGAGAAATTTCTAAACGTGGCCCTTGATTGAATCGATATAGCACGTGTCCTTTTGGCTGTGGCGGGATTCGAATCCTCTTGATTTAGAACAAAATATCTTGATTTGGTTTTATTCCCAATTTATATGATATTGATATAGTCTTTGACCTCAACTACAATCACTGCCAAAAGTCTTGGACCACTAACGTAGGTTTTCAAAGACAAATTCAGCCAACTAGGAACGATGTTGATTTATTATAGAAAATTGAAAGGGGTTATGGAGTATGCTTTTTCTTGTGGCTTGTTTGATATTTCTCTTTACTTTCAACATTGTTTTTGGGGGAAAGGGGGGCGGAAGTGGTAGTGAAATAGAAAAGCACCGCGCAAAGTGTTCGATGTTCCAAGTAACCCAGCCGCAAGTAATTTCTGTCCCTGTCTACCAATATCGATAACAATCGCAACTCGCTCGTTTGATACTTTTAATGGTTGGTGTTAGCTTTTAAGCCAGGTCGTAGAAGGAATTCTAAGAAAGTGAGATATCGATTTAGCGAAAGGGAAAGTTTAAACATGCATTGTTTTCGGAAGCAAGAAAAGCGCTTAAATTCATATATTTTTTATTCGCATCGTTAATGCCTCTCAGGTTGATGTGCACTCATTTGTTTTACGTATATACCGAACTGTTAGAAAAAAATTCTGGCGGTTATAATAATTTTCACAAAATTAAGAAACTCTTCTTGAATTGATTCTCTAAAATATTGGTAAGAAGTCCAGAAAGACTCCTCCGTATCAAACTTCGAAAGATTTTGACAAGCAGGCAGCCCATCGTAGTTGCAGTAGAGTACCGAAGTGTGACGTCATCAAAAATCTTTTTTAGAATTTCTAAAATTTGCCCACACATTCTGAAAGAATGTCTTAAAATACTTCCCAATATGCAAAATCTGATAGATATGTTTAAAATTGGGCAAGATATGGCAAATGAAAGATTTCAAGTTTGATGACAGATTGCTGTTATTTTGGCCTGGTCCATAAAGTTATGAATCGAGACCAAATTACAGAGGTTTGATGTAGAGCCTGTGCTTATGTGGCATTATCTCAGCTAATCTGCAACACATTCTACTGGTTTTGCATATTTAGAGATAATTCACGATGCTCATTGAGGTTATGGGATCAAACTCAAAAATTGTAGATATATATTTTTGTGATGTCATCACTTCGGTACTCAGTTGATTTAAAATGATATGGCATATGGTGTAGGGGGACTTTGGAGACTGAACCCCCATCCACACGGTGCAAGATATTTTTGAAAAAGCATTTATTCTTCTATTCCTTTTAAAATAAATCTGCGTCAACACTTTGAGGGTTTTCAAATATATTTCCGTCCCCACGGAGACACAAAGCCAAATAAAATGGATTGAAATTCGGCTATGAGCATGCGCAAATTACTTGGCGCCAAATCTTCTTTGCTTTGTTTTCTATTTCTACACAGAAATAATAATTTTCAACATCTCAAAAACAAAAATGGCATAGCAAAGAACCTTCAGAAAATAGTGAAGACTAGAAGACTTGTTTGGACAGATGACGAGGTTACTGAAAGCCATTTATAATTAGAAAATTCATAATAAATGATTATATATTTCGAAGATTAATGAAGGTATTTTTTTTCTGCAAGCAAGCTATCAGACTTGACAACAAAGATAACAACAGAACAATTACTTCGCTCGGGATCTTGCCCGAAAATTGTTTGTGTATGTGCGTGTGACGTCAGCGTTTTCGAAAAGCTCCGTTTTCGCCGCCCACACGTGAGCATGAAAACGGCGTTTTCAAAAGTTTCCACTCTGGACAGCGTTTTCAAAAAGTTGCGTTTTCGCTGGCTACGTGTGGACGGAAGGTGAAAACGGATAAAAATATTAGCATTTTCAAAAATATCCGTCACCGCGTGGACGGGGCTAAACATAGATGACACGCACAACTGACAGGCATATGACAAATGACAGTCTTTTTTCGATGGCTTTCTTGCAACATCAGACCCTCCTACGTATCATTTTCCAAATGTTAGCAATTACAGTTTGTGTCGCATTGTTTTTGCAGCCTTCCAATTCAGACTAACATTAGCACGAAACATCCTTATTAAACGAATCGATATGAAAACGTAGCCTAGACGACATATTTTATTTTCTTTGAAAACCCTGAATTTGACCTTGATGCTCTCCATTCTTCCATTCTTCAAGTATTTACTTCATTTGAGTTAATGAATCGGATGATTGTTGAAATGGACCCGCGCTATGTTACCTTTTTGTGGTGAAATCTGACTTCTTTATTCTTCAAATTTGACCTGCTTCAACTGTATATTGAATATTTTAGTTACCTAACTTTCGTTGTTTTTCTTATTTAGACATGCATCAGAAGTCCTATCTCCTCGTACCTTCTTACAAAGGATTTAAGGTAAGATCTGTCCCACTGTCCTGCGTTAACTCGCATTTTGTACATGTTTGATCGGTACTGGTCAGCGTACGCATTTGGATTCACAGTAGTTTTCATTTTGTGAATACATTCAGAGCTACAGCATCAAACACACATGCTGGTATTATATCATCCAATTAGAGAAAATATCCGTATTCGAGCGACTGGTTCACTCTTTATCGAATCCGTTCATAGAAGCGAAAAGTACCTCCTTGCGCTGCAAATAGGTACTAAACCTATGTTCTTGTTACTGAAAAGTAGGTAGCAAAGTAGGTAACGTGACGTACCCCATATCCCCCCTCCGGTTCCTACGTCTAGGAATCCGTAGCAAAACTTCCACTTTCGAGACCAGATTCAAAAAGTTGCTGACTTGTTAGCGTAATCGTGTGTTACGTTGTGATGGGAGTCCTATCTGCTTCTGAAAAATTTACAGATTCAAATATATCCGTAAGTTCTATTTGCTGGCTCCCAAAGAGGGTTTCCCAAGTTTGGTTGTTTTGATACGCAGAAGCATTGGCTTTTGCTTTGAAACAAGCAAACATTTTTCAAAATGCTAAAAGCTGTTTTGTCTGACGCTCCTCAGAGTATAAAACGTCAGAATCAGGGTCGAAAAGTTCGAAAAGCTGGAAAATATGTACCCAGTTGTAGATCGAAATAGGCCAATCAAAGAGTGCAAGCACATTACCGGTATAGTTATCCAGTAAGTACCACGTGCTTGTAGAAAAGTCACCAATGGAGTCAAAGAGAGAAGACGAACTCCTTCTGCCAAAGAAGGAGTAGGGAGATGGAATTCGTTTTCTAATCTTAACTGAAATCAAAGCTTATTAAATGTATCTTCTTTTTCCGTTACATTGTCATGCCTTTAGTTGTAATTGTTTTTAAATTATGATGAATATGAATATATTTTCTACAACATTATTGATTATCTTTTTTTAGGATTTTGCACCTGTGCTATTAGAGGGACGAACGAGACAGAGATCCAGCCAGAGTTAGTGCTTCAAATCTCGTACCTATGTATTCGAGCTCTCTTTCTCTTGTCCATTCAACTGTTACACTAGTTACACCTTACTAATGTAGACAGCCCTATAGAATATACAACATTATTTTTAAAGGTGCTCTGCTTAAAGATTGACAATCACGAGCTTTCCCTGCCTTACTCAACACACCGATTCACCGGTTCAGTTGTAAACTAACTGCCTCGTTTATTTATTAAGGGATATTTTCTTTTGAGCTGTATCGTTTTATACCTTCCTTCTCTTTAATGATGGAGCTCTTTATTTTCATTAAACAAAGAAAAGGTATTTAAGATTTTTTGTTTTCATGTTCCAGCTGATGCAGAAAAGGTTGGAAAGCCCAAATTCCCCATCTTAGTTGTCGAGACTGTTGGAGAGAAAAGAAATGAGATTCTCGTTAAAGAAAATGAAGACTTGGATAAAAAAATTGCGAAGGAATCTCTCTTAGCAGAGAAGATCTTCGAAGATGTGACATATGAAGAGGGAAAACTTAAGAGTAAGTTTTTCGAGAGGTTATTAGTCTTGTTGTGGTATTTTTTAGTTATTGCAGTATATCAGCGAAGACTAGTGCTGTTTTCTTTAACCATCGATGATAATGTTTGATGTTCTTAAGCTGTATGGCGTTGTCGAATTAAATTTCGGTTGTACACAGAGCAACGTTTATATCAAATCGCAAAGCAATTGCGACTACTTTGCGAAGTTATTAGACACGAACAATTTTAATTTCAAACGGTATTAATATCATAGCCCTCAAACGGTATTAATTTTTCGAAAAGGATTTTCCTTATAAGAAGAAAAATAATATCAGTTATTCTGCTTTTACAACTTCCAACAACAATTAAGGCTAGGCCCAATCTTGCATGCAATCCATATATCTTGTTTATACAACAAGAAGACAACAGTCGCCTTATGGACACTGGGAAGCAGGAGAGCACTAGAGAGTCGTCTCTAGCAGATTTCATTGATAGGCCAACTTTTCATAGACAAGGGGTCGTGTAATGCATCAGCCATCTTTTGCCATATTGAATTGCTGTTCACCTTTCATCTAAAAATTCAAGTAGGCCAAATATTTGCCGCCAAACAGCCATGCATAAACTTTACGGCAACAAATTTCTTGCTTTTTTATTCAGTCTTATTTGATGCAGTTTTTGAAGATTTTCAACTACTTTGGAGATACCAACTTGACTGAATACAATTTGCCCTTGCTGCTGTCTAATCATAAAAAGCAGGCAAAAACAGACAAAGTTATTCAAAATTAGCTAAAGGATACCAACGCTACTGTCACCAATGCTACATGCATTGATTTTTAAGGGGAATATGACTCAACAATTGTTTATTTTTATAATGTTGTTAAAGAAACATAAGATAACTCATTGTTAACTTTAACCTGAATACGTGCACCTTTGTTCTCACTATAAATATATTGCTGGGAAAATCCATTAAGCTGGGATATTAGGCTTAAGTTATTTATTTTGACTTCACGTTAAAATTTTCTTAAACTGTTGTTTAGTGACAAAAATGTTGGCCTACTTAATAATATACATGGTTTGGGTATAGAAATTTCTCTTTATTCATTTCAAAGGCACAATAAAGGAAAAATGTTTCAGATTAATATTATAAAGAGGCTTTTAAGTCAAATGCCGAGTGACTCACCTTGTATCAACATTGAAACATTGAAAATAAAGATGCTGCACAACTAAACTTCCCAGAAATAATTTTATCTTCAAAAAAACTTAAAATTTCAACAAAAAATTTTGCATTTGTCTACAAAAAAGCGACACATAAAAGAATTATTTTGAAACAGTGCTTCAAATTTTCGCTAAGTTTTTTCCTCAAAGTAGTAAACCAATCTTTAAACTGTCTTTTAACCGAATGTTACTATGATGGGAAATAGATGTCCCTTCCATAAACTATCGTCTCCAAATCCCTTACCTCATAATTCTGTTTTTAAATTGGTCTGACGCCCTTGGTTATTGTGAGGTACCATTTTGGCCTACCGCAGTGTACATGGCCTACTATTTTGGCATACGTTTGTGGCCGCAGTGTACATGGCTTGGATGCCACACATACTGACTTGGATGCCACACATGAAAAATTGCGTTCGTCTCTACTCGATAAACCGGAATGAAAGGAATAATATTCGATTTTTCGAAAACATGGCTGTTGCATCAGCTGTTTTATGTTCGCATTTAGCACTTCCCTGTTACTCGTTGCGATCCCTCTTGTCTTCATTAGGAAGATCATCCCTCCTGTTAGATGTGCGTTGAGACTAGATATTCCTTGATATTTAAAATATAGCCAGATCTACGAGTTTAAGATATGTGGTCTTTAGTGTTGGGGTGTGTCTGATACTTACCAGTATTCATGTTTTAGTATGGTTGAGAATTGTTGCGACTAGCGTTGAGACTAGATATTCCTTGATATTTAACATATAGCCAGATCTACGAGTTTAAGATATGTGGTCTTTAGTGTTGGGGTGTGTCTGATACTTACCAGTATTCATGTTTTAGTATGGTTGAGAATTGTTGCGACTAGCGTTGAGACTAGATATTCCTTGATATTTAACATATAGCCAGATCTACGAGTTTGAGATATGTGGTCTTTAGTGTTGGGGTGTGTCTGATACTTACCAGTATTCATGTTTTAGTATGGTTGAGAATTGTTGCGACTAGCGTTGAGACTAGATATTCCTTGATATTTAACATATAGCCAGATCTACGAGTTTGAGATACTTACCAGTAGTCATGTTTTAGTATGGTTGAGAATTGTTTCATTCAAGCGAGCTGCCCACCAACCAAGATAAATTTTCCAGAAGGGGTGGAGCCAGTGCCGAATTAAGCCAAAATAAGGTTTATACTGCAGAACAAAAAGGGCTATTGATGGGCCTATTCATTTTCAGGAAAATTCTTGCTTGTCTTTTTCTGGGCCTTCTTTCACTTCATCTGTATTTATATTATGGGCCTAATGCTACAACACCAATAGCATCCACCTTAATCAGGCCCTGGGTGGAGCGTGGTAGAGAAGGTTCATGTGAACATGATTCTAACATTCTTGTTTGTTTGAAAATTTTCCCTTACTATCCTGAAACACATGGTAACGTAGAAGGTTTGGAAAGGACTTTGGCACGTATTTCTAGCTTAAAATCCCCCCCCCCCCCCTCCAATTTCTACAAAGCTATCGACAATAGTGCACAAACTGTATAGTAGTACTGTTTTTTGGGTTCATTGAACTATTTTTACTGTATTTGCATCTGCTTTTTATTTCAAAGTCCTTTTTGTTGTATTCAGCGAGCGTTAAACATCTCTCCTGCAATCGGATGACTGGAGAAACGGTTCTTCATAAAGCTGCAAGACTTGGATATGATGACGTTGTTGACATTAAAATAAAAGAGGGCGCTGACGTAAACGCAAGGGATAACGCAGGCTGGACGGCGTTGCATGAAGCATGTGTTCGCGGTAAAACGGATGTTGTTAAAGTGCTACTGCGCTATGGAGCAGACCCCAACTGTCGTTCTGAAAATGGAATAAGGTAAATCCCTTTTTAGCTTAGCGTGTTTTGAAATTTCCCGCGTTTCCTTCACTGAAAATAAAAGCAGTTAGGATTCTCTTGTACTGATCATATTTTTCTTCTTTCTATATTCCTCACTTCTACTCTTCAGTGTTTGGCAAATTTCATTGTATGCTATGTTTCATAAATATAGCATAAGTGCAACTAGAGACTTTAAGCACCAACTCTTAATATAAACAACTATAGTGGCTTGCTGTCGATACCAAGTCCTTTTTTAACCTAAGTCATTTAACATAAGTCGTCATTGGCTCTATACATAACATATTGTTTCGTCAAATACAAAGTGTTTGATTTTACGAGAGTTTTTTAGTTTCTTTAACGGTTTCTTTAGTCACGCCATTAATTAAGCCTTTCTAACAATTTTTTGAGAGTATTATTTATTGATCAATTTTATATTAAAACCTGAAAGTGCAAGATTGAAGATTTTTGCTTCTGAAGATTATCATCGTTCAATGTCCATTGAAATTTAGGCCGCTTCACGATGCAGTTGAATCTGGCAACATGGATATAATTCGCTTGTTGCTGCGCTACGGTGCTGACATTGCAGAGGAGACGTACAGTGGGCTGAAGGTATTGCAACTTGCTCGGACGCAGCACCTCAGAGAGTTCCTTAAAGGTTTGTTTTAATAGACATACATCTTTTCTATCCGACAAGAAGACGACAACTTTTGAAGCCATGTTGAAAGACGTAATACTTGAAACAAAAACTTGGAACATGGAATCAGGGTTTGGCCATTTGGCCGTTTTGACTTTTTTCAAAGCTGTTAGCCGTCGAAAATTGATTTGTCCCAAACATCGAAAATTGGCCAAATTTTGGCCGCATGTTGAAAGCCACAAAAATGCAAAAGAAACGACAACATTAACACAGGGAATATTCAACATTTTGTTAAAATAATCTTAAAAATGCAAATAACGAAGCCAGAAACAAAGTAAAAGATAGCAGTAAATTGAAATTGAAAGCAAGTGAGAGCTTTTACAACAAACAACGCCAATTTTGATTACACTATTATTCCACAGAATTCGCAAAAATGTAGCTTTTTTGTATATTTTGTTTGGCTGGCCGATTTTGGCCGTCGAGCGTAAGGTGGCCGCCAACCACTCCAAACATCTGGCAACCCTGCATGGAATGGCCATTTTTTCTGCTTAGAGCTAGTGGCCCGAGTATAAGTTTGATCCTGAGGAACAGGAAGAGAAGTTTTCAGAATACTGTAACAGTGCATACAGGGCTGTCGGATTTTCATGCCATGATAGTCACAGTACTTAAAGGTGGATATAGGGAAAAAGGGCCCAAAATCATTACATATAGAAATTACACCAATTTCCGTGCTGAGGACTTTAGGAGGGATCTTTGTGATCAGATTACGTCTGAATTGCAGGGTAACGATGATTATGGCACTTTCGATGCTATAGTTATAAACACATTCAATAAACATGCTCCTCTTGAGAATAAATATTTGCGTGCAAATGATGGCCCTTTTATGACAAAGACTTTACGAAAAGCGATGATGCATCGCAAGAAATTACGCAATAGATACATCAAGAGTAGAGCTGAGGAGAATCTTAAAGCTTTTAAAAAGCAAAGAAATTTTTGTGTGAAACTACTGAGCAGGACAAAATCTGATTACTATAGGAACCTTGACCTTGGAGACCTTACAGATGACCGTAAATTTTGGAAGACTGACAAACCAGTTTTCTTAAATGAAATACAAACAAATTCAGCTGTGACTCTGTTTGAAGATGGAAAAATGATACTGAGGACTTAGATTGCAGAAATTTGTAATCATTATTTCACAATTATAACAGAGAGTCTGGGAATTTTCGAAGACGAGACACTGCTTTCGCCAACTAATGGGATAAATGATCCAGTGAAAAAAGCTATCAAAAAAATATGAAAATCATCCCAGCATTTAAAGGACCAAAGAATGCTGCGAACTGAATAAGTTTGAATTCAAACCATCAATGAGGTACTTTTACAGATTCAAAAACTGAATTCAAAAAAGGCTTCTCCCCTAAATAGCGTTTCAACTAAGATCCTTAAACAGAATGCAGACATTCTTTCTGTCCTTATCCAGAAGATCTTCAATTCTAATTTATTTGAGTGCTATTTTCCAAAGGAACTGAAAGCTGGTTTTCGTCCCTGTTCAAAAGTCTCGATGCCTTTATTAAGAAAAATTATAGACATCTAACGGTTTTATCGTCTGTTTCCAAAATTTACGAGAGAGTAATGGAGGGCCAGATAAACCCTCATTCCCTTCTCCCCTTCTGTGTGGATTTCGGGAGGAATATGGAACCCAACATGCACTTTTACGACTCATAGAAACCTGCAAAAAGACCTTAGATAAAGGGGATGTCGCTAGAGCACTGCTGATGGATCTCTCAAAGGCTTTTGATTGCTTGAATCATGAGCTTTTGATTTCTAAATTAAGTGCTTATGGTTTCAGTACGAGTGCATTGCGGTTGATCCATAGCTATCTCAACGAGAGGAAGCAGAGGGTAAAGATGAATGGGTCCTTCAGCACATGGAGAGAAACAACGATTGGTGTACCACAGGGCTCGGTCTTGGGATCTCTTCTGTTTAACATATACCTCAATGATCTCTTCATGTTTGTGAATGATGCTCAAATATGTAACTACGCAGATGATACAACTATCTATGCTTGTGACAACAGTAGTGATAGTATCATTAAAACATTAGAGACTGATGCCCTTGGAATTGCAGAATGGTTTCCGAACAACTGTATGAAGTTAAATGAGAACAAATGCCATCTAATGGTCTTTGGGAATAAAAGTAATGATATTACTTCAAATATCGGAAGTGTCAGGATAAAAGAAAAGCTGCTTGGGGTGATTCTGGACAAAACAGTGTGCTTTAAAAATCAATTGAGGTCCATTTGCAATAAGGCTTGGCAAAAGCTACATGCTCTGTCGAGAATCTCTCACTTTCTTGATACTGAACAACTAAAGAGAATAATGAAGGCATTTTTCTTGTCCCAGTTCAACTACTGTCCTCTTGTTTGGATGTTCTGCGATAGGTAACTTAATAGTGAAGTTAATCGTATTCATGAAATCAGATTTTGACACAATGTTACTCAGAAACAATGCGGTCCCAATCCACATCAAAAATTTAAAACTGTTGATGGTTGAAATTTATAAAACGAAATGGGAGCTCAATTCTACTTTCATGAAGGATATCTTTATCGAAAAACACAGTACGTATGGATTGAGAAGCTGCCACAATCTACTACTGCCACAAGCGCGCACTACGTGCTATGGCTTAGAGACGATATCGTTTCTAGGGAATAGATTGTGGCAGGCACTTCCCAATGACATAAAACAATCAGGTACCCTCTCCAGCTTTAAAAGAAGAATAATATCTTGGAAAGGAGAGGAATGCAACTGTAGACTGTGTAGACCTTTCGTGGCTCAAGTTGGGCTCTTGAACGGATAAATGTATTGTATTGTAAATGCCAATAAATGCTGAAAAAAACATTGTGAAATATGTATATATGTATTTATACTTTATTATTTCTTATGTTAGATATCATGTATTTTTATTTTTTTTTATTTTTAAAAAATTTTACTTTGTAGTAGGCTTGAGTTAGCTTTTATTTTGTAGCTTTTTTATGTGCCTTATTTAAATAAATAGATAATAATAATAAGATAATTTGAGAGCCAAATTTTCAATAGGTACTTGTTGAGGTGTAAGATACTGAACAAGGACAGGCCATTGTCCCCCTTTAGGCGCTTTCCTGTCTCTAAACTTTCTCTTTCTACCTGGTTCTCTATCTATGCTGGAATATTACCACTTGAGAAAAGTTAGAAATTCTTTAATATTGTTTTATTTCTCGTTAGGTTATATCGTTGACATTCAAGCAACAGAATTACTTGAAACCGACGAAGATATCTCAAAGGTTTGAATTTTCTTCTGTTAGTTATTAATGTAGTAATCTGATTATTGATATGATGCCAAATTAATTCTTTTTACTTTTGGGAGTCCCTTGGCAAATATTTCCAGCTATCGGTTAAATAATTATAGCATGAAAATGAAGTAGGGAAACACCTCTTTATAAATGCTTTTTCAGGCTGTACCTTTAACTGCTTATAAGAATGCTGTTTTTAATGAAAAACAGCTAATGAATGGATAATTTAAATCTAAAACATCGAATGATTATTTTTACTGGTTCTAAACCAATTATGTACAAACAATCGAAGAAAAAGTCGGGCAAGTTTTTCAATTTGCTCAATATCTTGAATGGAAAAAACCCATTCTTTTTCGTTTTTCTCATTCGTTATTCTTAACATGAAAATCACCTTGGACTTGTTTTAGTTAGCACTGGTCTAAAGGACAGTATTGTTGCATTTATTTTTATGGTTTCGTGTTCATTTGAACGTTTTATAAAACTTAGAGTAGAACTGTAGAGTGTAATGAAAGTAATTGCAAAAAAATTAAGTTCTCCTCATCTCTACCATCTTCATCTTCTATCTTCATTTTCAGGATCGCTGGGAATTCAGAGGGTCAGCTTCATTTCTAGGTAAGCGTCCTAGCGCTAAATTTTTATCTTTTTAGCAAAATTAGTCTCCGTTTTAGAAATTGGTATGCAACTTGATTTTAGTAGCAATTTTATCACCAAGTAATACAAGTTTAATTAAAAACTAAGAGTTGATATAAATACATGATTCAGATGAATGCATGTATATTGTTTATATCTATACAAGTAAACATCTTTCATAATTTACAAAACAAGACAAGCCTGTGATATCTGACAAATTTCATTTAGCTAGCTATGGTGAATATCAAATATTATCGCGAATTTTATGTATATACTACTATTAAATAGCACTGTCATCGACTATTGTCTGATATTTTATTACAGATCGTCTTTACCTTATAATGCTTAAATATACTAACAGTGTTTTTAGTATTGTCAGCACTGTCAGTTTCAGATATATAAATGTATTCGCAAAGTCAATGTCCAGTCGCAACTTTAGTCGATTTTAGTGGCAACTCGTATAATTACTCTCCATTCGCAAAATAAGTCTCTTTTCGTAAAAGTTTTTGTCGATTTGCAAAGAAAATGCCAATTTGTAAAATTGAATCGAATATGAACTTATAATGAGGTGTCAAGTTCAAACTAGGCCACGTGAAGCGTGAACATTCCACTCTTAGAATATTTTACGCGAAATGTGTGAAAATGTATTCCTAAGAAAAATTTTTGATCAGGTGCTCTATCTCATCGACCGTCAGTTGTGTGACACTTGGTTTTACATGAAAAGTAAGTCAGTAAAATAATTTCGTCATTGAGACCGGAATTTCTTATTTTTTAGATAAACAAACTGATGACGCTGATGAAATTTTTGGAGAATTGCCTATGGATTCAGATATTCAAATTGAGTTCGTTGCAACCTCGAAGGAGCCATTGCCAGTATACAATCTACCTGTCTTCCGCGACAACAAAACAGTAGTTGGGTAGGCCCTTTAGTCCTTTAATTTTTGATCCTGGGAATTGCAAATATTCAAGGAATTACAGTCCACATGACGGTATAACGTACTTTCAAAAGAGGGGAAAATATTTCGAGCACCCGTTTTTTTTCGTGTTTCTTTCATAACGGGCGAAAGTTGAAGTAAAGAATACATGCTTAAATGTGCGCATCACACACTAGTGACGAAAACTCCGTCCCTGACCTCCTTCAGAAACAGAATCAAGAACATGAATTTCAAACTATGAAATTCATTTAAATCTAACGTACCGTTGAATTGTAGAATTGAAGATTTGCCACGGCTCTCTGAAAAGCAGTTCTCAGGAACTGACGGGCTACCGGAATTAATGAATGAATGAATAAATTAAGGTTTACCAGGCCCTTCTTAAGTACAACGCATTTTATCATATAATTCAGTAATGGTTACAGAGACGTGGTATAATCAGGCACTGCAAATTGAGCTATTACATTTAAAGAAAATTAGAGTTGAAATTATTTTGCTTACGTTTTTACGTTTTTCAGTGTCCCGGGCCTAAGCTTATCAAAATGTTGGCTTTCCCAGCCTTTTATAGTTTAATTTTCTCTTTGAAACTTTAGAAAAATGGTCAAATTTTTCTTTAAGGACAATGGGGAAGTTTGCGATTGAAAAATGATGATACTTAAGTTATAATTAAGAGGAAATTCTGAATTTTGTTAAAAACTTGATAGAGTTTGAATGTGAGGCTGTGATATTTTGGGACGAAATTTCCAGGTTTAGACTTTTCGAATTTGATGGAGGTTCTAAAGCAGGTATTGCTAACCCTGGATTTCAATCGACAGTAATAATTCCTTCATAAAACGAATAGGCTTTTTCTAGACCTGTGATTGTTTACATGTGCCTCAATTTTTTTTTATTCTTCATTTTTAGGTACAGAAATTATTATATTTTAAGCGATGTCCTCGATACCTTGGCGGTAACGCGCGCGAAGTTTCTAAAGAAACACAAAGTCGAACTACGAACACTTTCTTGGACTGATTTTGTCAGCTTTGTACGTCAAAGTCAGATCGCGCTGCTTCCAGGTCCGCCATCAACAAGTAATGAAGGCGAAGAACCGTTTGTAGATCTAGTGCATTTCGGGAATTTCACGGCGCGAAAGCTTTTTGACATTAAGGCCTACCAAATTTAGTAACTTGCAAGGTCGGATACCGTCAATAACTTCCTTACATGCGTCTTGTTGAAAGATAAAAGTCCGCGGTTCACTGGCCTACAAGACAATTACGTTTGCTCGACCGGCCTAAAAATTGACTGAGTGCTGCTACCAGCCACTGACCGAAGCCAAACTGGATTTGAACGGAGGTTGATAAATCACAAGAATACAGAAATCTTGGTTTTCGGGAATGATTAAGGAAGAAATGCTTCTTTTATGAAGGCCAATTGCGCTAACGATGAGAAAGATATTTGCCTATGTTTGCTTATCGATAGAAGTTATATTTGTCTTAAAACTTTAAAGGCTTGATTTTTACTTTCGTATAAAGAAATCCTGTGCAACAGTCTTAGTGCTTAAGCATCGAAGTTTAGAGCTTTTAATTTACGTTAAGCTGATTCATTGTTTTCGCAGATTCATAAACATTGTATTTAAAAGATAGTTTGCTAAAGATCTATACTGTTAACGAAACAAATCTATTTCCAGCTGATTGTAGAGATTTGCTTTTGTATTGACAGTAGAGTCGTGCTTTGTATCTTTGGGATTGACATATGAGAGTTTATATTGTTGATATTCAAAGACAAAAATTATGTAAATTGCTATATTTTTAGTTTCACACATCTAAGTATAGTTTTCTCTACGCATCTTTTCTTTGGCATTGTATAAGACCTCTTAGACAGTTCTAGGGCTTGCCCTATTTGCTGTGAATTTGTAAATTGAGATTTCAAGAGTATCCTCTTGAACAAACAGGTAGGCCTTCTCGGAAGAACTAATACGCCCGGAGACTTCTTCGACGTATGCTTTATAGAATTTTTTGTTAGTTCGCTGCTGATGTTTTTTCTTTTTTGTTGTTTTATTGTAGAGTCTTATGTTATTTCCAAATTCTGATTTGAAAAACATATTTGTGTTTCTGATGACCACAGGAAAGGGAAGATATTCAGTTTGCCTATAATGAGAGGTCCTAGATAGAAGTTTCAAGATTTACTTTAAAATTGGAATCTAAAGCCCGCAGTGTTCGTTATGAAATCAAAATAATCTCAACCTTAAACTTTCAGCATGGGAGCCAAAAAATTATTATTTTAATTGTATATGACAATTGGTGCATACTATCTTTATGAATTTTGGTATTTGACAGTATCAGCATAAACTAAAGACCCTAAACCATTTGGGAAGCCGTTTCTTACTCTTTATTGTACAATTTTATTCGGATATTGTGTAGAAGTTTGCCTGAAAGCCGTGAACTGGTCTTGTGGCCTAGGCAGTCATTCCCTCCCTTGCCAGATTTAGCAGTGTGCCGATAAACCCCAAAAACACTGCGATGGTCTTTTCTCAAAGTCGTTCTTCCACTTCATTTCTAAGTTCATTTATTAAATAAATATACACCGCCTTTGAGAAATAATCATTTCCATCTCTACAGAACATTAATTGGTTTTTATTGGTCCTGTTTAAATTTGACTCGACCTTGTTGTTTGTAGATTATAGTTTCCAGCTCAGCATCAGTCTTTCTTAAGCAAAATTTAAAGCTGTATGTTTGTATTGTTGAAATTTTTTTAATTGCAGTCTCGAAGTACGAAAGCTAACGTCGCTAAAACAAATGTATAATATTTATTTTCAAATACATTAAACAGTCCAGTATCCTTGTTTTTTTATTTTGTTTTCTTCAGTTGTTCCAGATTCTTTTAACTGGAAAGGGCGTTTATCAGCATTCCCGTTTGGGCGCCGGTTTGAAAAATGAATATATTGAAGACATCTATTGAAAACAGAATATTGATGAGACCACTAGAGACAGCAAACCCACCCACGGGATTTATTTTCATGTTGAGTAGCAATCCCCCTGAGTAGATCATACGCAACATTCTACTTCTATAGAAATATCTACCTCCATTGATAACCAGGTGTTAGAGAATTTTGAAATGTCTCTAATAAATGAATCGGAAAAATGCCAAGTACAGTAGGTAAGGTGTTATTGGACTACACAGGATACACTTCCAACAACGGATTGAAAGAATACTTGTCCAGCCTGGATTGTCTTTTCTGAATTGGTAAGCATAGTTTGATATCTCATACCTATGACCTTTACTGTTGTTCATTTTGTACCTTAGCGAACGAAAAGGGTTTTATTGAGGTGTGGCAGGAAAGTCTCGACAAGGCCAAAGGAATTTATCAGTCGACATGCAGTAAAGTAGCAACGCTTGCATGTGGATTGGGAAACAGCTTCGCATGTTTCACTTAGGATCCTGGGTTTATACTGCAATGCCAAAATTTATAAACATTATTTCATTAAGAACTTAGGACATGAGTTCATTTTTGACGAGGTAGGACCCCTGTGCTGGTCATGCAACATTACTATTTTATAGATACACTGTACCAGTAGAAGCTACGAAAATTTAAGTCCTTCTTTTCTGTCTTGGGTCAGCGGTTTTCAGATAAATGTCGCGGAAACGAGGCGTTCGGGTCAAGGTTGCTTTGTGCAGTAACTGTACAGTTGGGAAGGATGAATAACTAATAATTCGGGAAAATATCACCCGAAAATATCCGTGAAAATATTAAGTAGCAAGTGTCGTGATAAAACAAAAGAAGGACTAAAAGAGCGGCTTACCTATCGACAGTTCTAAGACCCGGTGCAAAATCTAAATATCTTGTCATTTCATTGAACAGCCTCCGCATTAAATGCTCTTTCCTTAGCCAGTAATTCTAGCTCCATTCTAACATTTGTTTGCTCATGTAAATAACTTCTTTGATTAATTCAAAGCAAATTTTTGAGAGAAAATTTTCCGAGGGGCAAATCACTCCAAGAAAATCTCGTACACTTTTTAGGAAAATCCTATTGTTTTATCTGAAAATCCCTGGAAATCCTTTTGTTCTAGGGAAAATCTCGTACCTCGTACGCTATTTGCAAAAATGAATTACCCCTCGAAATTTTAACCGTTTAATCAAGCTACAAAAAAACAAACATATTTGCGATGGCGATTTAGGAAAAAAAACATGCAAAGCCCCTCTTAACAAATAAAAATTCTACTGCGTGCGTGAATAAATTTATATCTTTAATTTCAGCTTTGGAAGGCAAAGCTCAAATATTTGAAGTGAAGTTTATTTGCAACCTTATGAATAATCAGTGAGCTGAAAAAGTTAGTGGCAAATGCCGTGGCTATATAATCTTTCGTGCGGTCAAGGCTTTTCTTTCCAATAAAGTGTTGTGCACATCAACGCGAATTACTATGCAAGGTTCGTTTTCCCTTTGCGTGGTGATATTGATGTTAGACTGTTAGAAATATCATGAGATAACTTTAGATTTTTTCAAAATCCTTGTTACGGCCTGTTACACTTACAACCACTGGTATAAAACTTTCAAAAGAAATTATCGGTTTTAACAACACCTTGGGTCGAAAATTGTTTTTAGAGAGATAAAGGTCTTCTTGATCTTTCAACAATACCCTGTACAGCCCCTGTTAACACTGTAAAGAAAATGGTTAAACCATCCCAACATTCTGTCGATGTTTGTTGTGTGGGAAGTTAAAACCTTGCCAATCTTTGAATGAAAAAATGCTGAAGCTCGACAAGCACTTGTCTTTTTTACTAAAACTTATATTTTCTTCAGGAGATGGAACGTTTATAAAAGAGCTCAATGAAAAACTGCTGGGGCTCGTGCAAAAACGCACAATGCAAAACCAATTTGAATTTTACTTTCATACGGATCAGACTTTACCTATGGACGATAGGCAAGATTGCTTTTTACAGTGGCCGGGCCACCAACAATTGTTGCGACCACGCCCTTCAGATTAGCTTAGAATACATTTCAGAACATTTCTTACAATCATTTTTCGGCCATCGTTTAAAACGTTTAGAAGTTTTTAGACATACACTAGCCACGTCTGATTAATTCCTTTCTTGAAACTGAATTCATTACCTTATGAGGCCCCCTAGACCTTGAGTCCCTGGGGCAATTTCCCCTCTTGCCCCCTCTCTAGGCGGCCCTGTGACAGTGGTGTTGAAAGATTTAGCTGAGTTGCATGCTTCGCACTCTGACTTTGGGTTGCATTTATAACTTGAGGTAGTTTTTATCAGAATTCATTACAATTAACTACAATTGACTTTAAGGTACGGTTGAAGCAGAGACATACCTATCTTTCAACAAATTTATGACGTCACTGGGTCACTGTGAATTTGAGCTGTGTCTCCAAGTGTTATGATTTCATTTTTTGGAATTTCTTGAATTTAAAAGTTGCAACCGAAACAAAAGAATCAAACATTTTTGTAAAGTCAATAAAATCGTTCATTATTCCAGAGATTGTATTTCTGAATAAAAGTCTGTATTTAAAGCAAGATAGATTTAAGTTGGAACCCGTTTTAAAAGCCTTAAGATTATAAGTTAATATACGAAGAATGGCTAGAACAGCTAATGTGGCCTCAGAAAATGGACTTGCTGATACTGTTCTAAAGCAATAACTGCTATGCCATTTTGGTTGCCAAAGAACATCCCACAGCATCTGAAGTATGTATTCATTTGCAAGTGTTTCAGATAACATGATAAGTATAATTCGGTCACATTTAGAAGTCATTATTCCGTTGAGGAATTTTTTTGAATCGATGAAAAATTCTCATCATGTTTTTAATTCCCATGTCCAAACACTTGTGTATGAATGTAGGACGGTGTTGCAAAAACGATAAACATAAAACTGTGAATATCTTTGGCGTGTTCGTTACACCTAATAATAAATTATCCTCTCTGATTATCTCACAAAAAATTGTCAAAAAAATCCCAATTTTAGCCTGGTTTAGGAAGCATTTTATTCATCAATATTAATTCTGGCTACAAAATATGAAAATATAAGAAAAAAGCAAACAAAACTCCAAGAAAGTATAATCCACTCATGAACAGCACAGCGTATCAAGACAAGTCTCTGTGGAAAAAATTTTTAGGAAATTCACGGCATGACTTGGGAAAACAATCTGAGTTACCCTAAGTTCTTGAATAAGCACCTTTGCCTCGAATAAGCCCCTCGCCTCGAATAGGCACTCTCGCTTCGAATATGCCCCTCGCCTCGAATAAGTCCCCATCGTAAAGTAATTTATGTAAAATAAGCCACCACACTCGAATAAGCCCCTAAGGGTTGAGGGTACTGCCTCGGCAGCAATAGGTGGTTTATCCCAGTATACTGCATCTGCCTATTCAAGCAAACCGACCATCCTCGAAAAAAATTTACCTTGGTAACATTTTGTCTGCTGCTAAATAGGCCCCCTTCTTCGAATATGCCCCCTTCTTCGAATATGCCCCCTCGAATAAGCCCAACCCGAACATAATGTTAGCTTACTTGAAATAATCATATATTCATTTCATATATATCCATATGTTTATCGATTCATGCATATATCTTGCAAATAAATATTTGTTTGAAAGACTGAAGACACAAATTTAAACATTTTCAGACCTTCAAGAAAGCTGAGAACTGGTTACTGAACTAGCTCTTTCCAATAAGCCATATAGCCTCTACTATGGGCCGCAGGAGAATCTATCAAATGAAATTGGCTATGAAGTTGTAATTCAATCATCTGCTGTGATTTGTTTTCCACACCCAGAAACTGGCCATAAATTCCTTTGACAGCAAGGAAATAGAAAGAAAATCTATTTTTATGGGGTGTGGTTCTTTTGATCAAAGGAGTAATCTCTCTCCGTCGCCAATAAACAATATTCGGGTAGACACCATCTTTAAGGAGGATATGTAAAAAAGAGAAGAAAATTTGATGAGAAAAGAAAGCTTCCTTTGTGACACTGCGAAGCCCAACATGCGGCTTCATGAAAAGATATGAACATAAGTAAGAAGTGAATAGAAAAAGTATCAAGGTTTTCCTCTGCAAATATATTTGGTAAACTGAGCCTTAAGAGAGCGAATGGGCGCCAGCAGGCTCTTAAATATAGCAGCAACTTAGCTGGAAAAATGTTTGTATCCATAAATAGCATGCAAAAAGAAGTTACCTCTCTGCAAATAATAGACAGGCTAAAAACAATTCTTCTCGAAAAAATACGGCCTTGATGTTGTTACTCTAAAAACCATTTGAAGAACCGCTTTATCAGCTTTTCGCACCCGATGTCGTCTCGAACTCAAGGTCGCCTCGAACTCAAACAAATGTCTTGCAGCAAAAAATTGAGTTTTCGCTGATTCATCATCAAGTTGAGAAGTAAAGAGCGGTAACCAATGACTGTTTTCTGTCCCCCAGATCGTCAGATATGCTGTCTCTGAACATCGATTCCCCAGCTCTAAACGACTACTAAAACCGTAAAATTTCTTACGCTAGAGTTACAAACATGGTCCATGTAATTCTTCTAAAGATTGTTAAAATTGTGTTATTAGGAATAGAACATTTTTTATAAGATATGGGTAAGGAAAATGCACCTGAAGGTGCATTAACGCACCAGAATGAGACAAAAGGGCGTTGTCTCGCGGGCCGCAACCTTTACCCCCACTCTGCAGTTGCTGGCGACGACACTGCGTGCAATTAGCATAAACTGACACATGCTAAAGATAAGATGGTATCTAAAATGACGTTTTCTTCTCATAAAGTTTAAGAACCTGTGGTATGCATGCCTCTGATTCCCCTGAATACCTCTAGCTGTGGGGCAAACAATCTATGAACATTTCGTACACGTTTGGTGGAAATCTTGCAATCCCTGGATTGCCCCTCGCCTCTAGTTTGACAATATGAAAAACAACAAGACTGAGTTGGCTACATAAAAGTGGTACATTTTATAATTTGGAGGCTTGTTAAAAATTAGAAAAAGGGTACGTTTTGTTCCACTTAATTGGCAAGGTTATAAGTAAACTGATGTCCAAAGTTCGGTATTAAATAATAACGGGATTAATATAATATTGATTGAGGTAATTTAAATCAGATCTGCGCACTCCACCCAAAGTCAGCAAAGCTTATGATTAACACTTTATCACCGAGGATAAGTACTTCGATGACAAGAGTATCGCTGGAAAAAACACTAATATTGCCTGAGAATTTGAAGATATCATGCCAGAATTAACCAAGATTATCGAAAGAATTTGGGTGGGCCTCTGACATGAAATGCAGCTTAAAACCGTGATGAAATTTGGTTGTAACACAAATTAAATCCCTTGTTAAAGATATATTTAGTGGATGACATTGCCATGTTATCATCTGACAAACATACAATATTCAATAACAATGCTCTTTTAAAACAAGAATGATCAGAACATGTGACATACACAAACATTTGGTATACCGTATATCGTACGCTGTATGCAGTATGTTCTGTAATGTACCGTGAGGGGCAAATCACTCCATGAAAATCTCGTACACCTTTGGTGAAAAACCTATTGTATTTTCTGAAACTCCCTAGCGAATCTTTTTTTTCATGCAACTCTCTTACCTTGTTTGCAAGAGTGAACCACATGTCGGTGTACCGTATTGTATGACACATGGTGACTACAAATAGGCAGCTATTAGTAATCTTCAGTTCGTATATGATGGTTTAAAGTAATAATTCATTGTCCAAAGATTGAGAATTATCGCGATTTTCTTTGATTCTTTAAAGAATTTTCCTATATTTCCTAGCGCCACGTGGATTTTATATGAGAAGCTTGATAACAAGTAAATTGATTAAGAAGTTTTGTTGGCCTCCAGCACGTTAGGCTGGTAACGCACATTATCAGATGGTTCTATTCTGGGAGTTTTAAACTGAGACGAGACGCCCAAGAAGAAGACTGAAAATAGTTGGTTAAGTGTATTATAGTGTGTTCTATCACTAACAGCATTTAGAAATTTACAGCTCCTGCAATTTTCTATTGGCTTCATGGTTAGAAAAGCTCCCAACACAAGCCACACAGAGATGATAGTGAATTTTTCTTTTTCTATAACATGTCTGCTTTGAGAGATAGATGAAAGTGATAACCTTTTTGTCAATTGAATGAAGAACGGTTGAATTCTACAAAGATGCTGCCTAACTTGTCTTTGGTTTGGAATATCTTTCAATCTTGAAGGAAAAATTAATAATGTATGAACTTTCTTTCCCGTCATGAAAATTTAACAAAGGCTAGCAAACTGAGGCTGCCTACCGACTGGAGGCGGGGTTGGTGATAACACAGTTCAGAATACGCTTTTACTTCGCACTTATTTTACAAAGCATTTTTTGAATAACAGTCTCGAAACTCGAGATTTTTCAACAAACAGCATAATGCTCAATTATTTTTTCAGAATTAAAATATATCGAGGTCTTGAAATGATGCCAAAAGTTTTGTTCATTGAAAATTGAGCCATCATCTTAGGCCATTGTAATGAACGAAATCGAAGGTGGGAAATACATCAAATACACATGTTTTTATTTCCTTCGTTGATCCTTCGTTGAATATGACCCCACCACTGAATCACCGATACGCTTTCATAATAGCGTTTTCTCAAAACGCACCAGGACCCGCGCCACAGAGAGGCTAGGGGGGCAGGGTGCTTTTTCGCTAAATAAAATAATAAAATCAGCTTAAATTATTTTTATAGACAAACCTTTAGATTACAAATACATTAAAGCAAATTACACGAGTAAATCGGCATCAGCAAAATGTTTGCCACATAAGGGAGTAAAAGCAAACTTTTTTTACATTGGTGGCCCCACACTAGTTTAGAATCAGTGGTGCGGGTCCTGCGCTTGTGTTCGGTTGAGGGGACCCGAGGGCCTAACCCCCACTTTTTTGCTCATCTAGCTCATCTCTGTCTTTTCGCCCCTTTTTAGAAAGGAATTTAACAATTTGTCACATCACGAAAATATGCGATTTCAGAAGAAATCACTCTGGGAGGCGTTTTCACATGTTCGTGTTTTTACAGATTCGTGTTTTCACACAGAGATTCACAGGTTTTTTCAATATTGGCGGAAAATATGCAAAAAATGATCGCGCTTTAAGTTGCAAACGTGTTCGTACTGGCTGGCCTGAATCGTTTCGGAGTACTTATCGAATGAGTGAAGTTGGAGAAATTCATTAACAACTTGGAAGTTATGTGGCGAGGTTCTAACAGCTGATGACGTAGGGATATTTTTAAATTTTGTATGGGCATGTAGGCATATACTTTGAATTCCAGTATCTATTTGCGAAATTCCGCGGTGCTTTATTGCACATGATCTTATCCTTCACCCCTACATCACTGACAACAGGCCACTCAAAATGACAATCGTTTTTTGACTCTTTAAATATTCAGCCTTAAAAAAGTATTTTTACAAAGCCTCCGTGACTTTTCAAGGTGTTTTTCTAAACTAGATCTTGAGCTATATGTTCTTTAGGGCCTGTTCTTAGGGTTAAAATATCGTGTTTAAACTGTCACAATCGAATAGTAAGTTGTCCATATAAGCATCTTTTCAAGCACATATTTGGTCTAGTTGAAAAAAGGAAACGAAGAATGTTAGGGGAAAAAAGGCCCTTTGCTTTTGAAGACTTAAAGAAATATCTGATAGAAGTATCTGAAAATTCGACGTCTCACATAAGGACACCCGAGGACACCTTTGAATCTGGAGCTAACTATCTTTAACAGCAAGTTATATGGCTTATAGAAAGGAAACAGATATCAAACCCTGGTTGGTTTAGTTTTGTCAAAGATTGACTGTGGTTAACATTCTTTCATATCAACAAAAGGGGAACGCATATGACTAACAGGAACATTTGCTATTGAAATAAACAGAAGAAGCATGCCAGTGTACTTTTATAATGGCTATTGAAAAACTTTTTTCTTGGGACCTGTAACCCATAAACCTTCCGACTTTCTACAGGGGTAGAGAGACCAGGAGAAGGGACGATTGGAACCCACCCTGCTTTCGAAAATTCCAAACATTCGATATTTGGATTAATTTTTATCATGCATAGGCATCAAAAAGTTCTGCTGGACAATGAGAAATATTTCTCTATCATAAATATTCATCTGACTGTGCCCCTGGGCCCTTCCCCTCTAACTCTGCAAAGCAAGCAATGTTAAAGTGGCTCTCATGGCTTGAATCCTAGAATCTACAGGTCCGTATAGAATAAAACTCAGGGCATGCGCATTACCGCTCAAGCGACTGAGGAGGGCAATTTACATTGTCTGGATTCCTTATCACACTGGGTTCATCTATATTTAGAGAGATAAAGTTAAAACAATGCAGAGTAAATCGTCCAATGTGGCTCAAAGATGACCCTATAAATCGCGATAGATGAGCGCCGTAAGCATCTGGTTATAAGACTTGATTGCGAGCAAAGGTTGAAGCAAGACCTAGGTGTCTGAGTAGCGAAACATAACGGCATCACATCTGCATTGCGTCACCAAATGCGCTGAGCTCCTGCTTCAACGTGATATTGGGTGGTATCTGTGTGTACACGAGTCGAAAGTTTTATTCTTTGCATGACAAATATTATGAAAGCGTTGTCAAGAAGCCTTCTTAGTCTGTGTTGGTTTTAACGGGCCAGTTCAAATTTAGAGCTAATATAGAACAGGAGCTACAACTGAAAGAGAGCAGGTTGTGCAGAGATCGATAGATAAACTTTGACGATGCATGGAATAATAATTTTACTTTCCTTAATGATCACGCTTATTGGCGCCGAAGGAAAAGAAAGAAATGGCTATCAAATGCTGAGAAAATCTATTCAAGACAGACTTGCAGCTGCAAGCAAAAATAATGATGACACCAACAAACTGCGTTCTGCTAAAACACTTCTTGGAGACCCTCGACTAGAAACATTCAAGTTTATTCTTCCAACTGAGTCTGGATACCAGCAACCTGATGGTGTCAATACAAAGACTGTGGCATCTTCCAGGTATATCGCCGCATTACGGTATTACAGCGGGGCCATCCCAGAACGCAAGGTTTTCAAAGTGAAATTATCGATACAGGGCAGTTCACAAAAGAAACATCGGAAACTCAAGGGGACTCTGGTTTTCCCTAAGAACATTTCAGATGTTGTCGGCGAATGTCAATGGGAGCTGAATACGAGAAAAGGAAAGAAAATCATGTTCGTTCCAAAAGCATGTGTAAAAATGATTTTGGACTTTGACAAGAAGAAAATGCAGGACCACAATGTAATAGCTTTGCTTATTCCAAAGAGAAATAAATTGTACGGAACAAGTAAACGGAAAATCACGAAAAAATTCGTGCTCGTTAGTTATGGCAAACGGATGGGTGCATTGCTGAGACAGCTGGCCGTGAGGTGGGAGATTGCACGTTTACTTGTAACCAGAAAACGGCACGAACGACAAAGAAGTAAACATCGGTATTAATGCATTAATTTTTAACCATTTAAATAAATGTTGTCTGTAAAGGTAATGCGATTTTAATACTAGGAATGTAGCATTTGAGTTGTGGCTCGGCTAAACCCTTCGTCTAGCGTTTTCATATAACTTGGTGTATTCCAGGAATTTTCCGCGGGAAAGCTTGAAAAGAGGAAACCAACTGATAATTACATTTTACGAGAAAACTTGAACACCCACAGGGTGGATCACGGATTCTCAATTTTTGCTAAGCGTATTCTTGTATGCTCAACGGCCAAGTAGCTTCATTGTTGTCGATATTATTGTACCAAGAAAAAGTATGACAAAAGTAAAAAATTAACAGTAAGATTTTTATAGAAGCTTTCGCTACATTAGCATTGTGCGACTTTCATTATTTGATAATTAGCTTGAAGTTAAAGGATGTACAGTCTTATAACTTTTTTTAAGTTTCGATTAAAGACGCTTGATGGCTTTTGAAACGAAAATCCTACAACCTTAGTAAAAATGGTAGAACAGACGTATTTTTGCGGGAATCGTTTGCTTACTATCTTTCAGCGTCTATTTGGCCCTTTTTTCAATTCAGTACCCCCAATTTACAGACTTATACTATAGAAAGTACCTATTTCCTTCCGTTCCAACTTCTAGCCGAGAAAGAAAAACTTCTTTCCACTTGATCTTATTTCAGAAAAGGCTGTCGTTTGTGACCATTATCTCCCAGTTTGTACTTGCCCCCCCCCCTTCTCCAGGGCTGTTGCGATTGTGTTTCATTATTGGGTGTATGATGGTTTGCTCAGAACTTGAGCTAAAAATTACATTACTAGATTTACTGACCAACCCCGGCAGTGATTTGCCAAGAGACCCCTGTTCCATGGGTGAGACTCTAGTGCCTCATAAAGCGATGGCCTTGCCCCCTAAACTTCTCATCTTTTTTATGTCTTGATAGCCGTAACTCGCACGTTTTTGCAAGTAATTGCCATGCCAAATCAGTCAAACTAGCAGAATTAGATTATTTTTGTAGTCAGTAAATGGAAGACTGTGAATATTAGCAATCACTGTATATGTTAGCAATATCTTGCCTGTTAGCAACGGTTTAATAAATACTGTACGAAAAACTGCATTGTTGCATGAATTTTAACAAAACACGTGATTTGTTTTCAATGAGCTACAGCGCACTGCCCACTCCACTTTCGGTTGATATTGACAGTTACGGACCAGCATCTCTTTGGATTTGGGGGAACTAAGAAATAGCTAAACAAATTTTTAATCTATATTTCATGCAAGTACCAAACATCATCAGGTACGTGTTTAAACATTTTTTACTTTTGCTTTCAAAAACTAAAATTATGGAATGAATATTACTGAGGTCGAAAAGCAAGTTTTATTTGAATATCAGACCAAGGAATTTTGTTTGATGACCTTCGCCTATTTTCATGAGAGGGTCAGTTTTTGACGCAACGCGTAATCTGACGAGTTGAGTCACAAAGCTTTGTGCTCAGTGATGGATACCAGGTATCAATGATATATCGGCTCTGCCTACCGTTAGCACTAATCTTTCCTTCAATATGCCAATATCAGCAGAAGTTATTTGAATATTTCGAAACCTCTTCGTCAGTGAGCGTAGAGGCTAGACATTGACCTGGCCTGAACATTTTCGTTGCGCTGGGGCTCAAAAGAGTTTAATATCAACTCCTTTTGGTATTGGTCAAATCGAAACTCGATTTCTTACATAACAGCCAGGGATATGGTTAGCATATACCCTGCTAAAGCTTTCAACCAGATCAAGATCATGCACTTTGATTTCGAAATTTCATAGTTTCGTGCACTTTAATTTCATAGTTTCATTACTAAGATTGGAAAAGTACACAAGCAATGAAAAAGACCGTCGTGAATACAGCAATTTCGAGAAAGAAAAAGTATGAACCATTTTTACAGTTGTATTTAATGATTCATTCTACTGTCTTTGAAGTCGATAGGGTAGACTTGTTTGGCCCTGTCCACTTCTTGGCGAGACTAACATTATTTATGAAGCTACCTCCAGATTGCTCATTGAATAGCTACTTCTTAAAGTTTTAAACACTATTCGGTAAACAAGGTTATTTAAAGTAAGAGATAAAGAATTGAACAATGTCAAACAATATTGAGAAATGAGAACCATTTATGTAAATCTTCTGAGGTTTATGAACATGCGTTTGGATTCTTGTGAGGCCACTGAAAAATTGTTGTGAAGCTGCTTAATTACACCCAACAATTTAATGCTGCCTTATTTTCTATAATATCCTAAACAATTCGGCTCATTCGTGCCATCGAATTTTTCAGTAGCGGCGATCCTCTGAAAGAAATCGATTAGAAAGACTTGTTTATTCATTATCGTGTCTGAATCTTGGATTTTCTATCTGACTCTTTGATTTAATCTTGGCCTTGTCAACTTGATTTTAAGCACTAGGATTTGTGGGAGAGATAAGAGCGAAGCCTCAGTGCAGATTTCTCCTTCAGCTCAACGGAGACGTGATGTTTTGGAAATATAATCGCTCTGCTGAAAGTATTTTTGTTTTAATCATATTCAACGAGAACAAAGTATTTTATAACGGCTATGATTTGCAATGGCAGAAGGTACATCTTAGAACTGATATAATAGACTTTCTATCATTTATGGAGAAGATTGGCAATAGAGAAGAAAAGCTGCCAAAAATATCAATTCAAAATATAAAAGGAAGAATTCTTTTCCATCAATCTTTAAACAGTAAAACTAGATTTCTTAAGGTTATTTTACATTCGTTGAAGCTATTTAGAAGATATCTTACAGACAAGAAACATATTGTGAGGGTCACTAAGAATTTCAAATCATGAAGCCAAGCCACTTAATAAAGGAATGCCTCATGGATCAATACTCAAACAACTGCTCATCAGTGGTATTTTCTTCTCTTTAATGACAGATCCTAATGTAATGTAAATGATAACACAATTTATATTTTTTCTAAGAATGTGGAACTCAATAGGCTAGTACAATTAAGTACCAATAAGGGCATTGAATGGCTTAGTTCGGATAATATGACTGACTAACAATCAATCTGAACTTTAATCATTAATAATCGGAAAATATTACAGAGATGAAAAATTTCAAGTAAACAATGATAAAGAATAACAACTTTTCTTTGGATTATGGCAACATCTGCAAAATAGCTGTTTTGTAGCTTGACGCCATTAGTGTTGTTTACTTGGTGTAGTATGAATGATGAATACAGTAGTGTCTCACATATAAGAAATAAAAATTTAAGAAACACAGATCCGGATTTTCGAAATAAAAACCCATTTTATAAGAAAATGGACAGATCTGAAAAAAGCTTGCTTCTTATTCAAAAAATTACATAAACATACTAAAATCTTTGAAAAGCATAACAAAACACTTTGTTAGGATAGTATATATATAGTGCTGTTTGTCAGACTTGAAAAAGTGAAGTTTTTATATCCTTGAGGATTCACCAATTTGTTTTCCTTCTTGCAGTATTTCCTGGGAATGAAAATTTATAAATACAAATCAAAATGATATGTTTTTATCGCAATCATAGGGGTCCTGTCTGAGTAGTGAATCGACAGTACATGATTTTTCTAATAAGAAACTTAACCCTGAGTTGAAGTTCATCTCATTTTATAAGAAAAAGTTAGACTTGAAATTGGAAACGTTGTTTCTTTTATACTGGACACTACTGAAGTAAAGAAGAAATGGTCATTGTAACCTTGTTCGTGTCATTTTAACTAATGCAAGCCATAATAAAGAGCCCTATATCTAGCACCCTCAGATCATTCCTCAGCATAGTTGTAATCCTCCAGCCTAAGTTTAATCTCTTACAACCCGTTTTTATTCTATTAAGCTGTCGGACCTTGAAATCCAAAAAACGTTGCACAATTTACCCTTGATAACAATACTATGGCTTCAAGACTCAACTTGCCAAAATCTTCAGAAAAATGACACTTTGGCGTCAAAACCAGCTTTCTGGTTCCAAAGATTTCGAACTCTTATTCAAAGAAGGTAAATAACCAAATATAGCAAATCAATTTAAAAAGTCGTTTAAAATTGGCATTTCGAAAATCAATGCGCCAGCAATACATGCAGCCAACAAAGCTCTCCTGACTTCAGTGTACACATTAGAATATACACTTTAGTGTATATTGGTGTCTGCACTATTGTAAGACTAGCATTGAACAAGGTTTATAAGTTAGCATAACTCTTGTTAAAAGCAAAATACATCTTAATATTTGAACAGCCCCCTCTTCTTTTTTCTGGGTACTTTCTAAAATATCATGGCTGAATTCTGCGAGAATCAAATCTTTGATTGAACTGATATTACTTTTGACATTTGCATTCATGTGTAATCTCAATAGTTCTCTTGATTACTGAAAAGTCAGTGAATGCTAGCAAAATTTTACTACTTTAAATTCTTAAGTTTCAGGATTTTTCTACTCAAGTAACAGGCAAACAATGGAGGATGATTTAACCCTAGAACTAGTGGAAAGGTAAAAAAATTGATATTGAGGAGCCATGCAAACGAAAACAATTGAAATATTCATATTGTATACAATAGAAAAAGCCCTATGCCCAATTCTCCCTACTAAATTTGTTGGCTTTACACTACCGGTTATGTACAACACCTTATATGTATCCCTCGCAATTTTCTTTCTGCACTGGCATTAATGTGTTTTGCTAATCCAGGCAGGCATGGCGATCAAAGGAAGTCAATACCAGTGCAAAATCGAAGCATTGCTCCCTGATCAGGTTATTTTCCAATAAAGAAAGGTTTGTCCCGTTACCTTATAAACTAACCCTATTTACTTTTCTATTTTGCATTACACTCACTTTTTTATAAGAAACTGGCTATAAGAAACATTGTCAGGAGCCGCGAAAGAGGGAAGCTGAAAAGGCTTCAGCCCCCCTATATAATTTCTCAAAATGCACGTAGAACCTTTACAAAAATTGCCTTGCTCTTGTCTTTTTTCATGTTTAGCCTCCAAAATGTTTTAGCCCCCTAAATGTGTAATATTATCCGCAGTCCTTGGGTTTTGTTACGTTTGATCTATACTTCTATTTTAGAACAGTTGCGATAAGTTACGCAATGTTACATGAATTATATTAAATCAATTGTAACGGTCTACACACGAAACTGATTGAGAAATTGACCGTATAGATTTCATCAAAGGTGAAAAAATTTGCTTGTCAGATCCATGTTTGCCTTAGAGAAAAAGCGGCTCTTGTGAGGGATACCAACATACAGGTACTGAATTTATACAAAAATAATTTCGATTTACTATGTTAAATCGTGAATCTAGTTGAATTTATTTGCAGGAACTGATCAAAATACAATTGATGTCTTTACAAGTTACGGCACCACCTTGCAGCTCTCAAGCAAATGGCATATATGTTCTAAAAATAGTCCAAACTGTTTTACCTCCCTTTGTACAGTATATACTTTTAGCTCTATTTCTCAAGACATATTTCAGGCATAGCTTTCATGAATAAATATAAAGCTCTAGAATTTGCAAAAAGAAAGAGATGAAGTGTTAGTCTTTAACAAATTCTGTAAATTCAGCTGTCCTTGATTATGCCCGAACATAACCACCTTATCTAGGGGTGGCGCCAGCCACTAGGCTCTGGAAGAGGGGGGGGGGGTAAAACAGCAACTTTTAGACCACGCCTCTTTAACTGTCGAACAACGTCCCTTTAGGAACAAGGAATGCCAATTTTACCAATAGGGAATGCAAATGATCAACTTTTGGTTATGTAAAAGTAGCTTTAAAATCGAACATCACAAAAAATACGTTGCCAAAAATATAGTACCGCATCCCCAATATTTTTTCATCGAATTTAGACGAAATGCAAAATTGATCCTGCTTAGAACTGGGGGGAGGAGTATCCCTCAGTCCCCCCATGGCGCCGCTATTGACCTTTTTCATTTGCCAAGCATACCCCTCCTATCTCTATTGTTTGCTTCCTAACATTTGATAACAAGCTATATTGGGAACCAAAACCTACATTGTGTACACTTTGAAAGACGTAAAGGTACAGAATCTTCTTTTCTTTAGATTATTGACATTGTCAGCACTTGGCTATGTTACTAATCTTTACATTGGGAAGGAACGATGCTATTTTTGAAACTTGCTCGTTCCCATAGAATATGACGCTATGATGTTATAGCCTTAGACTATAATAGAATGATTTATCATTTGTTTCTACGTTTGTTTAAGTGCTAAAAAAGTAGCTCTAAGAAATCGTAAAATGCTTCTCATGTTGTTCCTTTACTTCAACAGGTCAACAAGACCTGATACTGATGAGTCAGTAGCCCACTTCAAAGCGTTGCTTGTCCCACAAGCCTTTTGCCAATTTCCTGCCTTTTATTGAATACAGAATCAAATCGACTTGATAAAAAGGAAACTGGCAAGATGTTGTCTATTCTTTGCAATAGTAGGCAAACACGGCTTGAAGATAGCATTCCCTATAATAAAGAAGAAAAGCTTGAAATAGATGTTAAATTGATAGTACTGATCACTTTCCAAATATTAGCATTACTGTCACTTGGTATGACAGATAAAAGGATTTGCTTACGTCATACCAAAGCTTACACTTATTGGTTCATTAATAGTCCTAATGCAGTAGACACATGCCTTAATCCTTATTTGTTCAAACAATCATTCGAGCTCTCTCAAAGAGTTCTGCTTTCGCTGAATCCTAAAACTTCTACATAATTCTGTTGTTAATTAGCGATATAAAATGCGGACAATAGCTGACAACTCTAAAACCGGACAAGCGTTTTTCAAGGAGTTATCAATAACTTCCAAACTGCAGACAATTGAAGAAAACATCGCTACAGCATTGCCTTATAAAGGTTGTCTTTTAGTTGAAAGACTGCTATCTACAGCTAGAAACAGATCTGTTCCCTTTTAGTGGTGCAATGGAGCAGTGGGAAAGCAATTCAATTTATTTGATGCCTATAAAAGATTAAAACTCTAGATTTAATTGATGCTTACTTTTTCAAATTTCCGAGGACAGGGAAGGCCTTGCACACCTAACCTTCCTTGGTCAATGAGCCTCTTCCTCTTTCCACTAGCAAATGTCACATTTCTATAAGAAAGCAGCTAAAAGAGGGAATTCTAAATACGTAACAATGCAGTTCCAGGCTAGAAACACATTAACATTTTAAACAAAGTTACTCCTTTTTTCTTAGAAAAAAGACTAACAATCTATCAACAGTTTTGATTGTACAGTTTAGTGTTTCCACTACAGCTGTCAGCAAAAGCTCACGAGTTTATAGATATTGGCCAAGCAGATCTTCTCATTATTTTTTCATTCTAATATGCGTACACTTACCTAACAGTTATTTCAAAAGTTACAATCATTACAATCGCTCTAACTACCTCAAAATACTCTTGACAACTTTTTAACATAGTTTTCATTCATAAATTCTTTAAGAATTCTATTTAGAAAAGATTGCGAATTTTGACCAACCAAGAAAAACTGGCCCCAAAAAAGAGGATAGCATGTTACCTCATCGTTTCATGTTGCATGACTTGAACCAGCAAAATGCATGGTAAATTTATGTCCTTTTTTCAGGGAATGGGCACTTATTGTGTGTAAAACAGCGTAACAGTATAAATTTTCTAACATGGAATCAACTGTTGCATACTTGGTTCAATTTTTATAATATTTGCTACTTGCATACTATTCTAATGACGATTTATTAATATTCTATACGAAATGTTCCTTGCCTGAGAACATCTAATGCTCGATATTTTAGAAAACACTCACCCATTTTCGTGTTCAGTTTCTTTTTAGCAATTTGCATCATTCGGTCACTAACTACAGCAACCCACATTTTTGAGCAACCGCGCGGACGACTGCATATTCAGTGGCGTGACAATTTTTTTGGTGAGCAAACTGATTCAAATTCGGTACCGCAAAATTTCCGTGCTATTTTCAAATGATCCAAATTTCCGATCAAATTTCCCAACTCTGGCTATAGCGGCCCTATGTTAATTTATATTTCGTATAGTGAAATACTTATGTGTATGTTTTCGCCCAAGAATCTACTTTATATTTTTGCCACTTATCAAACGGAGCGCTCTAGTCTAGTTTTCATCAAACTAGTTCTACGCAAGCATCGAGTTGACAAAAGCTTCGAGCTGACAGAAAAATATTTCTTTTTAGATCAGTGATGAATTTTGCACAGGTCACTGTATAAGCCAAGGGTGTCAAAAACACGGCCCGCGATGGCATTTTCGGTGTCCCTTGCTTAATGAATCAGTTATTTGAGCTACCAATGAATCAATCAATGAGCTACTTATGTCTATGGTGTGCCATTCCCGCCAAAATGCATTCTAATCACAGGATTGCCAGGTTGAACTTACAAAAGAAGGCCAGACGATGCTCATAAAGAGGCCAAATTTAAAAACATCCTCAAGAATCATTGCAAATGCCCTGTTCATATTTCTACGTATGATTTCTTAACTCAAATAAGAAACTTACTTTCTCTTCAAAAAATCCTTAGCCAATACTTAGATTAGCCGATTATATTTGAAGTGTGGATAACACTCTGAAGTAAACTACCAATTATTTCATTAACGTAGTAATTACTCTTTCAGTTTAAAATTTCTGCTGAAAAAGGCCAGAAAAGCCAAATTTAAGTAGAAGGCTAAAAACAAATTTGCCAGGCAATTTAACAATGAAAAAGACCAACATTGGAAAATTTTGCCAGAAAAGAGGCTGATCATTACGTATACTTATTTGACCTGAATTTAGAAGTTTTCTCCTATGATGCTGAACAAGTCAAAGCTACACTTTGCACGTCAACTACCTGTTTAATGTGCGGTGTGGATTTACTTTCTTAAACCAAATATATAAAAATTCACTTTATGTTTTTTCATATGATTGTTTGCGTACTTATCTATGTAGTTTTTCATGTTCAATACAAATTTGCCGATAATTTGTATCTTGCCCACCTTTACAGCAAGTTTTTGTCTGTGACCCACCCCCCAAAAATAAAATTGATACCCCTGATAAAGAACCTAGGTTTTTTCTGGCAGCCTGAATAGGTTCTTAATTAACAGCCTGCTATTCTAAATTCCAATCTAAAAGGTTCTAACAAGGTTCTTATATACGTACAGGCCTTGCACACATTAACAATGTTTTCCAACGCAAGAATTTCTAACAGACACACTTAAACCAGCTTTGTTTTTCATGTTAAATTTTAAGCCAATCAAATGAATTTGTGTTGTTAGATTGTCCAATTAGAATGCAACATACCATAACCTGATTTACTCTAAGCTGGTTTAATTTGCCAGTGTGAATAGGGTGTAAAAATACCTTTTCAAAAATACATATAAGAACCTTTCTAAATAACAGCCTCTTGGGGGTTCTTAATTATGAGGTCTAAAAGATTAAATTTCAGCCTCAAGGTTCTTATAAAAACAGGTTCTTTTATGCATGTTTCTCCTGTATAAACAGTTAGATATTAAGATCTTGAATTGAATTAAGGTTTGGCAAAAATCTTATTGAATTGAATTATAACTGCACCTCGTTACCAACCCGAGGTTTTATCACGTCCTTTCTACAAGGAGGTCTAGGCCGTTCAAGGTTTGTAAATTTTCGTGATTGCAATCCAATGGCATCGATCGCATTCTCTTTGATTATTGTTTAATTATTTCAAAACTAATCATATCATTTGTTGTGTCTCCATCAGTGGTGCACATTTGACACTAAAAGTTTTATGCGAGTCGTATGAAGAAGCGACTTCTACAACACTCGTGTAAATATGTAACCATTAACACGGGAAACCAACCCCTAAAGTCTCTCATTTTTGCAACTTTTTGAATTTTTTCACTCTGGAAACCATGGCAAATTATTTATCGTTAAAGCAAATCCTGAACCCCCGATATTTTCATTTCAATACCGTCTTATGATATGAGAATTGGTGTCGTAGCATTGTGAGGTGATATTTCTAAAGAGTAATAGCGAATTTAGAGAATTTATTTTGTTCAAACTAATCCTTGGTTTAGTCCTTGGTTTAGTTGGTTCTATCAAAAGCACTTTTCGAAAATCTAGATCGGAAATATTTCAGTGAATATGGTTTTAATGTGTAGCCAGTAAATTATATATGTTATTATTGATGTTGTTAAGCCACTTTAGGTTCATGTGTGAATTGTTATTTTGAAATAACTAGAATTGAACTTGCTTTATATTACCAAACTGTTTCTTGCCACATTGATCTTTGCTAAAAAAATGGCAAGATTTGTTGTTGCTGTTTATCAGAAATAGTTTTGGTCACAATGTTTGGTAACAGTGATGAAGAAATTATCACCATCTTTCGATTGACAAGCAATATGCTTGCATGAAACTAAAAAAAACTTGATTCTGAGTTACCAATCATATCCTTAAGTGTAGATTTATTGTTAATATTTTAAAATTTTAGAATTCAGGTTTGTTTGTTTTTGTTATGTTTAATTTGGAGGACTGCAAAGGATATCCTGCATTTAAATATAATGTTTGGAGTTTTGTTTGTACTATTTGCACCAACAGTATTCAGATTTATAGCTAGGAACAAAGATTTTTTAAAAAATTATATTCTGTTTTGGTTTATATATTTTTATCAATGAAGTAATGTTTTATCTTATCATCAAACCCAAAGAACTCTTTTTTCGTTTAATTTTATTGCAAAACTTATGTTGAGTTAGAACAATAGGATACTACTTCTATGCATGAACTAAAATTTATATGCACAATTTATATAAACTATTTACTCTTGCAATAACTTGCCTATGTTCAACCCACGGATATTTTGTTTTTTAGGACAAAACTTCCAAGATGTCGCAGCCTATCAGGTTCGTAACATTTTTCCTTCACTTTTCACAATGTTATTTTTAGTTTATTTTGAATGAATTGACATGTATATGCAATATATCAATAAGAGCAAACTGAATTAAATGAAAAGTATTTTTTATATCTGGCGTGATAAAAAAGACCTGTAAGAAATAAAAGGGTCACTACATTCAGATAAAAAGAGTCAGTTTGAAGGAGTAAACATGATAATAGTCAGATGCAAATGAAATGATGATAAATAATGCAAGATAAATGATGACAATGATGAATAATGATCACCATCTTTCGATTGAGAAACCTATGGTTCTGAAAATAAAATCATCTCTGAGTCATCCTACTTTTTATGTTGTTTGTTTTTAAAAGTAGTTTTATAAGGAAAACATAATGTAAAGTTCATGAGCTTTGGGTGCCTTAAAATCAAGAACATCTACGTAGATTTGTCCTTTTCCACAGGCTTAGGTATGTGTAGCAATGCTCTTCTTGTAATGGGTTTTAATTTTTAAGTTTTCTTACCTTAGGCTTTACTCTAAAGCTATATTCCTTGGCTACAAAAGAGGCCTAAGAAACCAACATGAGAACACCGCTTTGGTAAGGATTGATGGAGTTGAAAGTAAGAAAAATACTGACTTTTATCTTGGGAAGCGAGTTGCTTATATATACAGAGTGAAGAAGAAGACAGTTGCCAAGGGAACAAAAAAAGCAAGCAAAATTCGTGTCATTTGGGGAAAAGTAACAAGGCCACATGGTACAAGTGGAGTTGTCCGTGCAAAGTTTAGACACAACTTGCCACCAAAGGCAATTGGTGCAACGCTTAGAGTGGTAAGTTGCCCAGAATGCCTTATTTATTTTGACTCATTTCTTTTTAAATTCTTGCTCAATGGAATATTGACTAAATCTCTTCTTGAAGCATATGTAATTTAACGTAATGTTCTGAAAAGGTTTTATGTGTTTATGAATGCCAAGTGGAGAACAGTAATGCATCTGTAGCTTGGAGGTGTCCCTTTTTTCAATGTATTGAGTATACTCTTTCTGAGCATTTAATGAGCCTTTTTTAATCTAAAACTTTCTTCTTAGGAGTTTATTTTTTGTTTTGCAGATGATGTACCCATCAAGAGTTTGATGAGATGTAAATTAAAATTTCTTTGATGAAAATGTGTCTCGTTTCTTGGTTCTTTTCTCTAAATTTCAGTTTGAGATAAGAAATGTCAGAACAGACTAGTAAAAATTTATAGTTTAACACATCAACTGAAACAGGCATGTCAGACATTAAGTTTTATCAGCTCTTCATTATTAAGGTTATCATAACTTGCTTTCCAATGAAGATTTTTATAACTAACTTTCAATAAATTTTAGTACAAACCATCTAGGCAGTTGCTCCAAAACAGCTTTGACACATTTTGCCTCCATTGTGTAATTGATGAAAAGTGAGACTGATGACCACGAGACTATTATGAAACAATAAATATAACAATTAAATTACCTTTCGTTTAGGCCCCTAGAAGGCCATATAAAAAGTTACCTGAAGCCCCCCAGCTTCAGGGGTGTCACTTAAGGGGGTAATGGGGTGTGGTTCAATCCCCACGAAAAAAGGGCAATCTTGCAGGGCAAAACTGATTTTGGCAGGGCAAGTTTTTTCTCCCAATGGGTATGCTTTAATGTTTTTCTTATATAACTGTAGCGAAAAGGTAGTTATGCTTGGAAAATGTCTGTTTTTAAAGTATCACTATATGCCAGTGACACGAAATAGGAATTGCTAGCGACAGATTGGGCTGGAGTGAATCTGAATAGCTTTTCAAGTTGAATCTGATTTCATTTCATTTTGGATTTGTGTGGTCGATATTTGTGTCTTCTTTTAAAATCTTACAAAAAAGACAAGCACAACTTGTCAGAAAACTATGAAAGAGTCATTGCAGCACCAACCAGATTTTGCAATACAGACTTGGACCGGGAGAGATCAGGAATCTAGTTTGTTATTAAAGCAGTGTGTCCAAATATTTTTTGCATGTGTTATTCTAAAGTTTTACATCTGCATCTTCGTATAAGTGTTCAAAATAATGGTGATGGAAACTTTTCGTTAAAATTTCAGTTAAAACTACTATTACAAATCTCACTATTACATAGGTAGTTATGAGAAAAGAAAGAAACGTCGAAAGGGGAGAATCTTTAGGTTAGTCCAAGTTGTGTTTATACAAAAGCAGATATTTTTTGGGAGACTTTATCATTAAATGCACTGTTCTTCTGCGATTCTAAATGGTTTCAAATAGTCGGTCCATTTGCTTATGAGTCGCTCCAATTTTTCTTAAAAGAAAGAAATATTATTTGCCAAAAAACCACTTAGGTTTGTCTGCTAAAATCAAGATTAAGCTGTGAGCAAACCATTGATGTTTGGCTTAAACTCAATCATCACGACAGGGTTCAATATACTATAACTCACATACAGATTTAGCATTCGGTGATGGAGCCTTGAAACTAATGGGCAAGCAAGCCGTCTTAAATTTAGGTGCCTTGGAATTCTAAAAAAATCTAGATTGGTTGGTGTACAGTGTACACCACAAGAGTTTTATTCTCATTTAGATACAGTACTTGGCTTGTGGTTTACTAATTTGCCAAAAAACGAGCCAATCGAACCCAACATTCTTTTTCAAAAGTTACTTTCGGTTTTTCGGTAAGATCCTTCTTGCTTTTACACACCGTTTCTGGGTGCCTGAGCCTCGAAGGACTGGTGAATGAAGTAGAGAACTTCCAAACGCATGTGTCTTTCTATTGTATATCGGCAAATTTTCAAACTTGTTGCAAAATGAGGAATAGTTCACCAATTTTGTCTGCAAATGGGACCTAGAAATCCCCCTTGAACACAATAGGCATCGACGGACCTGTTTGTGTAGAATTATAAAAAGTAAAAATTGTCACAGCCACAGTAGTGTTTCTCGAGCAGACCCTAGTGCCTCTGTTGATATCTTTACGAGTTTCAAAAATCATGGAACTAATCATGCTGCGCTTATACTCAGGGGCGAAACTACCGGGGGGGTGTGGGGGGTGTAACACCCCCCCCAATCTAAAAAATAGTCGATTTCGCAGGGCAATCGAAGATTTTGCAGGGCGCCAAGAACGGAACAGGTATGTAAGGAAAAGCTCCGTTATGCATTTTAGAGAACGAAACAGGTATGTAAGGAAATGCTCCGTTATGCATTTTAGAGAACGAAACAGGTATGTAAGGAAATGCTTCGTTATGCATTTTAGAGAACGGAACAGGTATGTAAGGAAAAGCTCCGTTATGCATTTTAGAGAACGAAACAGGTGTGTAAGGAAATGCTCCGTTATGCATTTTAGAGAACGAAACAGGTATGTAAGGAAATGCTCCGTTATGCATTTTAGAGAACGGAACAGGTATGTAAGGAAAAGCTCCGTTATTTGCAATGCGAAAGCATTTCTTACCGTAAGTCATAGCCAATGGATGCAATGATTGATGCATATGTTTATGAGGGCAAGGTTGAGTCCATGCAAATTAATTTAAGTTGTAAATTATTTTCATGACAAGCACGGCGTCACTGGAGGGGAATAAGAGGCTGAAGGCCCTCACTTTGGTCAAGATCTGGAGGGGAATAAGAGGCTGAAGGCCCTCACTTATAATTGTTTCTATTACTTTTTAACAGTGCAGGAACTAAAAATCATAATAAATCGTTAAGATACCTATTTTGTTTCATCTAATTGCTAACTTTTTCACGTATATTTTTATTATTTTTCTTTTATTTGCATTAATTCAGTAAATCACTTTCTGTATCATTGCAATGTTTTAATTTTGGATGTGTAAACATGGCCTTCTCGATACAAGAAACTGCACATTTCTGTTCAGGAAATAAAATTCCCCCAATCAAAACAACATCTTCCTCTGTCATTCACAACTACGTGCAATCTGAAACAAAAGGTTGCCGTTCCTTTCCTTCCCCAGCGTCTAATACTAGAGTTTTAGCATGACATCCCCCTACCTATTTTTCCCAATAAACAATAATATTTTCAATAAACAATCAGTTCTTTTAGCACAATAGTATTTTGCTAAATTTTTGTCTGAAAGATGCTTTTTAGCCCTTTCACAAGGTATAATTTCAAAAATTTTCTTCACGTCGGACCCAACCATGGTGGGTCCTCCTATCTCACTAAACTTGATTCTTAGCCCCACTGGGCTAAATTTCGTTGCACTGTCTACATCATGTACCCCCTCCCCCCAATTAGCTGTTTTTTAGCTTAATTTTGCAAACCAACATTAAGTGAAGTGAATATATAAAAACAATTTACGCTCACGTAGAGAAATAGATATTTTTTAGGCAATGAAGTTTCAAGTTTGTTTTTATTGCTTAGAAGTTTGTCCTTGGTAAAGACCAGTGTACACTGGTAAAGCTTTCACTAGTAACCTATAGACAAACCGTTGCTACGAGGTCTGCAGGGCACCACTCAGTTTTGCAGGGCAGAAACCCTTTTCACCCCCCCCAAACCTATTGGCCAAGTTACGCCCCTGCTTATACTCAGAGTATAAATGTTTGTTTTATGTTTTTTATTCAATATTTAGTACACACATGGTTACGTGTGAAATTATTGGTGCAAATTTTGGCCCTGTGGGGGTGTAACACCCATAGAGAGGAAAATATAAGGGAGAAAAGTGGGTCCTTGTTTCTAACGACATAATTTTCTCTCTTTTCGTACTGATTAAGAAAACCAGCAAATCATCTTCAAGACCTGGCCCCATTTAAAGTCAACACCCTACCCAGCACCATAAAAGCACATTTAGTTGCAATCTTCGACAAAGCGTGCTGGGAAAAGCTTTTCAAACACTTGTCCCCTTCATCTCTCACGTGGTACCACGGACTCAGGAGAGCCCCTAGAGAGACCTAAGAGTGTTTTCAGAGTCCCTCGACAATGAAATTGCAGCAAGAACTCCATTTGCCAGTATGTCTCGTGAGACCATTCAAATAGCGATTTACGGGACTGGTAGTAACTCGCCATAAATTTGGAGCGAGATCTCTCAGCAAATCTATTTGCTTGGACCTAAACTCAAGATTGCAATAACACATAATAAATTTGGAAGCATATCGCAAATAACTGTAAGTAATACCCTTAAACTTGATATTTTACTATTTAAAAAGAGAAGCTATTTGTAGACTTTGGCACCTTATATTTCATTCAATATTTAAGTGCCTGTATTGACCTATTTTTGCTTCAAGGGTGGCCTGTAAGCCGAAAATAAAAAGGTCACACCTCCGTTTCTGGGGATATTAAAAAACATGGGCCAAGTTGAAGTACAATTAAATATTTTTACTTTGCTATTTGCAACCGAAATACCAATTGTTTGCTTGAATTGAAAATTAATCGTTGATAGAGAATCCGAATCCCGAAGTTTGCTTTAACAAAGAAATAAACAACCAAATAGCGACTTATCGAGTAATATGTGAAACTATAACCAAGGGAAGAGCAAGCACTTTTAGAGAAGCATAAATATGCAGCTGAGAAATCCTCCTTAAAATAATTATCAACTTCAAAAGCGAGGAATCGATCAAACATGCAATTCTTCCTCTCACGTTACTTTCGATACGAACCTAGATATAAATTTCGTCATTACATATATAATATATTTGATGGTTATTGATTTCAATTGTCCGACATTTTATATTCTTAGGAGTGTTAGACAAAAATATTCTTCAGTTCTTTGAAATTTACCATCTCCCGAAGTTTTTGGCGCATGCGCATATATGACGATAAAATAGTCAAGCAGAGAGAGCCTAGAACTTTGAAACCATTTTAGTTTCTAGACTAAACTCTTCATAATAACCAAATACAGCAACGTGTTAGGGCCTCTCTATATCATGTAGAAAAACCTAACCTCGAACTTCTCGAAATTTATGTAGTCAACTTACGAGCGCATGCGCTTATATGTGAGAGAAAAGGGTAAGCGATTCTTAATTGTTCTCTCTAAATTTCCAACCTAGTCATCACTGTTGTTCTTTTCAGGGTGTATTGATGCACCCTCCCCCTTCCAAAGAAAATCTCTTTATTGTCTTTTGGATAATTTTGCATTAAAAAAAGTTGAATTGAAATAAAAGCTTTCGACCCTGAAATGATAATATACACCTTAAAAGCAATGGACAGATACTATAGTGGCTTCAGCTACCTGTCAATCAACATTTGGCCAATCAGTGTGCTTAATTTCATTTAAGCATTTGCCGCTTTAGCGTTTGTCGCTTGCCTTTGAGAAAAAAACCAAGAACAGTCTGACTCTTGATAAAGTAGTTTCTTCTCTTAGGGTTGGCTTTTATGTCCAATTCATTTTCCTGTTCAGAATGGCCTCTTAAAACTCCCCTAAGAATGAAATTACTCTGGAGTTCTGTCCTTTGAAAAAGTAGGCTATGGGGATTCACTGTACTTCTCGAGAGGCACTTCACTTCCAAAATCCTGTATACCATCTCTGAAAATCCGAAAGTTCGAAAATCTTTTAGAAATCCTTTAGAAATGCGAAAATCACTGCAAATCTTCTTGTGATCCTAAAATTACTCTAATATCTAAAAAGTTACATTAGCTTCGTCTTTTTTAACAAAATCCTAGTAGAAGTTTGAAAGGTGTATTAAAAAACAGCTAGATAGTGCCAAAAACATCAGCAATGCTCAATAAAAACAGCAGAGATGAAGAAGTTGAAAAAAGGGTGCTAATAGTAAGCTTGCTGCGCTGAAGCTTTTTAGGTTACCATAGCTATCATGGTCATCAACACATGTATATTACATTCCTTCAGTATCCTGAGTTCAGTCATATAGACGCACGAAAGTATAAAAATAATGGACCAGGGAGCACGTGCCCCCTACTTTTCATAAAAGTGAGAAAGTAACTACTTGCAGCTTACAGATGTGCCCCCAGAAATAACTACTTATATTTTGACTACTTTTGCCCCCAAAGCTATATTGAAGGCTGATTAGGACTTGGGCAGCATCTGCTAGTTTCTGTTGTCAATAAAAAGGGGGGCATAAATTATTCCCGGAATCTGGGCAGAAGCAGATGAAATTGTCTGAAAAATTTCTAAGGGTAAAGTATTTGTGCCGTAGAAGTTCTTAATGGGGAAAATAGAGGAGGTCTATCTAAAATATCTTGCACAAGGTTCCAAAATGTTTTCAGCCCTTCCCTGTTATCATTAGTAGCAACTCAGTTAGAAGATAAAATCCGAAGAGGGCTAAAATTGTTGGGAAGCACCCTGTTTACAAATACACAAATTCACAAATTCCTTTACACCTTTGATGTGCAAAGATTTCTCATTCATTTTACTAGGAACGGTTCAACCAAACAGAACAACGTGCCTCTCTTTTACAATACAATGCAATACAATATAAACAATACAAACAACAACAAAACAATCGATTCTGTTATCGAAGTCGTAGTCTCATGCTTCAAATTACATTTTTACAAAGTTATCAAATTATGATGTCACAAAAGTCTATTATTGGAAATTCTTAATTTGGATAGATAACAGGAAAGAGCATCTTGAAATACCTCTAAACATGCAAAATCGGGTAATGTATTGCAATGTAGTTGCCTGGGAGATGGCCACGAGCACAGGCTACAACCCGGGACAAAAATAGTTGAGACTTTTCAATAAAATTGATGTTTTCTCTTTCCTTTGAAAAATAGCTTTATCCCCTCCCCCGATTCAATGTTGAATGCACGACTTTGAAGCAAAAATTATAGACATACAAATCCAACAGTGGGGGAAAGGAGGGATTCGAATTTACAGGGGCAACGTTAAAAGGAAAATTGCGAAAAATTGCATCATGCATTTTGTCTCAACAATTTTGTCCAGAATTAGGCTAGTCCTGTATTACTTGCAGGGACCTCTGTAATTTTGACTCTCTTTATAGCATTGCAATCTGTTAGCAAAATTCGAGTCTTTCGTTTGCCATAGAAACCCATTTTAATATACTAATCGATTTTGACTTTTTGAAGTATTTCATGCTGTTTTTTATGTTATACAGTCAAAATTAGAAAATTACCCCCAAGAAATTCAGTAAATTTTGTGTTCTGCCGTATTAACACTAGTAGAGATTGATAATGATTCTGGATGGTTGGTTTATCTTTTTTATTGGTCGTTCGTTGATAAGCTGAATTTATGCAACCTGTAAGATCTTCGCTCAATGTGGTACCTTCGCCTTTCAGAGCCTACGGCCTAACGTAGTTAAACACAGACTTGCCGTTACGTTATTACACATGTTGAGCCTCCTCCCTCGCCGATATTTTCAGGTGAAGTATTTCTCGCTGTTATAAAGAGAAATCCTCTCATCGGGCTACACATATACCGTGACAAGCTTAGGGCTACGGAACACAAGTTATTGCTTCCATATTTACTTTCGTTTTTACAGCTGCCTGGTGATCGCATTAAGCGTGAAACTCAGAGCATCAACTTGGAACCGTCCTGTTATATACTCCAAATAGCGTAATTACAGTATAAGGTATCTATAAATTTGATAAAAAATGGTTTTCACAACCAAAGCCTGCTTCTATAATACCGTTCCCTTACTTTCTCCACTCTTTTTTCATTTCCACATCAATTGTTTTCTTATCTGGGTGTCAATACCAGGAAAGGGTTTTGTGGTAGACATATTTGTATTAGAAAGGCAAAACAGAACTTTAAAGGAGTTGGAAGATTAAAGGCAACCTGGCTCTAGAGGTACAATAGTTTCATGACAATTTAGCTATCTTTAAGTCAGTGATAGTGCATCTTTATCAAAGATTGCGAAGGAAATTATAGGCTGAATGGACAAAGCTAATAATAATTCTAATAATAATAATAATGCTAATAATAATAATAATAACGAAAAAATTCTATAGAAAAATCAGTTTCTAAAGAAGGCATTTGCATTACACCTACATTTATAAAAATATTTTTCTGTAGACTGCTAAAAGTACTTTTTGGAATTGATAGGGGGAAGGTCCTTCCAACACCTTTCTCCCACGGTTCCTTGACTAAATGGTCGAGGGTTTATTCAAAAATTGTTCTTTATATGTAACAATGAGGTTCAAATGTAATCAGCTTTAGAATTTTGCTCTAAAGGCTTTTCATTGCTACAAAATATAACTAACTAATTCGTTTTCTAACATTTATGGTATAGTAAAGACGAACTCGTTTATGCTGGAGTCACAACCTGGTATACAATCTTTTCTATAAGGACCACAAAGTTGAAGTTTAGGCTGGCTTTAATTTTTTCAAAAATATGAGGCTGGATTGTTTCGTTATTTGTTCTTAGATTATTAGGGTGTGAGTAGTGCAATTAAGACATCATTTACCAATTAATTGATTGAGACATCCAATTTTTGCCGACAAGTTTGAAAATTCACCCAAAAAACATCATTGAATGGCAAAACACTTCTCGTTTTTGAAATGAAACATTGTTCAAAACTAAATTTTTACAGAAGCTCAGCACCAGCTTGTTTTTAGTTTGCTCTTAACTTTTGCGAATTTTGAGGCCCACGTATTTATAAAACAACATGGCCTAGTCAAAATCTTAATTTCATTGGAATGTCGATTAGCACCCTGTATTGGCTTATTTGAAATAAAACTCATGTTTTTCATCAAGATCATCATACTGAAATACATACAAGTCATTCTTATTAATGTTTATAAAAATTATCGATGTTGCCTTCTAAAACATTTTCTGATAAATCCGTCAGTTTTATCGCAGTCATTAAACACGCTCGCACGATATGGTCATAATTAAAACATCAGGTAGATTAAAGCAACACTGTTGATGAAATTTGATTCTCTCTATCTATTATTCTTATATGATTCTTAAATTGTTAAAATTTAGAGCCTCAGTATTCTTGTTCAAATACTTATGTTCAGGATATAAATGAAAAGTTCAACTTTCGTCCTACAAATGAAGGTTTGCAATCAATGAGACAGACCTCAATTTTGAAAGACAATTTTTACCATCAAGACTTACTACTATCAGTAAAACACTATATTGTTGCAACTTACTACTACTTCATTGTTGCTGCTCAATATTTCTCACTCTTGGTATAGAAAAATATTGATCCATTACACGAGGCTTTATATCCAAGACTTTTTCCTGCTCGTTATTTCACGTTTCATCCCATGCTTCTGTACCTTGATATCGAGCTCACAAAACCGCACCCAAACGTAAAACTGCAATCGGCATAGCGTTAAGAATATAGTATGAATTTCTTGTTCTGACTTAGATAACACTTACACGTGAACTTTCATTCACTCGTCCTTCCACTGAAGATCTTGTAGTAGAAAGAGCATAACGCTTTACTGGGACAATTTTAAGAGTCTTTTTAAGGCAAACCTGAAAGAATGGTTCCACAAACCATTAATCAATGGATTCGCAATAACTTTCGTGTTAATTAAGGTGACAACCATGAAAAGGTACCAATCTGGAATACTTTTGACTCCAGAGAGAATAAGAACATTAGCCACAAATGCTGGGAGCCACAATATTGTAAAAACAACGACAACTGTGAACATAGCCTTGGTCACTTGAATCTCGCTTCGGTTGGGAAGCACAGAGGCACGCCTCTCCTCAATACCGTTTGGCTTTATCACTCCATGCGTTTGAGGAACAGATCCCAAAGAGGGAAAGCGAAGAGCTGCTTTTGGAGCTTGAATGATAGTGCCCTCTCGTCCTAAGGTTTGGTCCGGTAGTGGAGAAGCTTGTTCTGCTCCTTCTTTGTGGCTATTTACATCCACTTGTTTAGCATGTGTAATTCGCGTTAGTTGCACAGAAGTCTGCTCACTGCCCAACCTTCTTGCCAAAATTTTGTGCTGTCTTCGCAACATGAAGAAAATACAACCATAGCAGTAAGTGACAACGGGAAAACAACATCCCATTATAAAAACACATAAAAGTGTCCGAAAAATAATGTTTTTTCTGGAGAATATTACGAAGCAAATGCCGTGAAAATGCGAGAAAGAATAACTGCCAATGCCTAAGATAGGCAGTAAGCCAAAAATTAGGGCCGTGGTTAGCATCATTCCATTGTAGATCCATATACGACGTTTTGAGAACACATCGTCAAAAGTTCTCCATTTTACTATCTTGTGATATCTGACAACTGCAACTGCAGCAAGAAGAAACGGCGAAAGGACGGTTGTGACAGTCATAATGAAACCAGAGACTGGACAATAGGCTCCATTGAGCTTGCTGCTTGGAGTTAGCTGGTAGTAAGCCTTCATTGGTAGGATTAATGTGGACTTCATTAAATCGACCAACGCCAGCTGGACCAGGAAAATATTGTTCACTGTATGGAGAGTTTTTTCTCTGAAATACACGATTATTATGAGACTGTTGAATACAGTTGCACTAAATGCAAGCAGCGCTGTATAGACGGAATCAAGCACAATGTAAAATGCAGACATGGTCCCGCATATTGAATCTATCGTCTTTGCTATTGTATATATATATATATATATATAGATATATAGATATATATATCACGTGGTTTCACACCACTTTGAATAAGCAAAGGGCTGCCAAAAAAGCCCAGCTCTATTGCCCAAAGCGGCGAACACCAAATGTTTTGTGAACTTTTGTAGTGGAAACGAGGAATACATATTTCCGTCTTTTAATTCATTGATAAATGCATTCTTTGTTAGAAAAAAATGGAAAGGCAGTGACCATTAAAATAAAGAGACCGCACCAAAAGTCCAGCCTATGTCGAAACTCTGACTTAAATGCCCTTTCGATTCCACGTCAAAATCCGTTGCCTATTTAAAGTTTTTATGCAATGATGTAGTAAGTAGGCTTCTCGCGATAAACTTCATCATTGACATACAAGCTTTTCGATGTGACATTTCTTATCCAAATGTAGGTCTCATGAATGTCCCTAAGAAAGTCGTCAAAAGGATTAAATGCGAAACAGTTACAAAGAATACCAACATATTATGTAGAAGAAGCTGGTAATCAAATACCCACCATCGCATTTTTCATTTCAATTCATTTTAGCTTAACCTCTTTATATCAATATCTCAAAAAAGACAAAGAAAAAATAAAAGCTCTGCTCATTTCTCTTAAAGAAAGTCTAAAATTAAAACGATTGGGTTGTTCGGCTGTTGTTTCCAATGTTTATTGACGCTTTGAAAGTTAGTAAGCTTTTTGTCTTTGGCTCAAAAGTTTGTGCTCTGCTGTCGCTTTGTTTGTGAAAAATGGTTGAAAAATAAATAATGTCTATATGAAAAAATTAACTGTTAATTTTTTTGTAAAGAAGAGACTAAATTTGGCTAGTAGTTTTTATGCAACCTGAAGCTTAGATCTTACAGCCAATTGAATAAACCGAGCACTTCCTACATAAGAGCCCCAAATGTCTTATTGCAACATTTAGCTGTGTAAGCTTTTTGGTAAGCCACAGTTTCACTATAGCAGCTTCGTAAATGAAGGGGGTTAACAGAACACGTAAACTGAAGCGAATCTCAAGGTATAATCGTCTGAATCTTTGCAGTGCAAACTTTGCGTAACACAACAAGCCTCTCTCTTCGGTCCATTTCTGTTGAACTTAAACTTGTAACACTTCATAAGCAAAAGTATATTTTAAACAAAATGTTGGAACGAATATTCTACTAAATCTCTAGTATAGGCACTTTTAGGAAGGGTAAGAAATTATTTATAAAGGTTCAGAGAAGCAAAACAACATTGTTTCTTTCACACAGATGACCTATTTTGATCGTCAACAAGCTGAACTTCCTTCTCATGAAAATTCGGATTTGCACTGAACGCGGATCCTTATAGCTTTACAAATTCATTGTTGCTTGCTCATTTTTGATAATAAAGGAAAAGTGAAGCAACTTGTTGCTGAGAAGGATACTGTATTACCGCCTAAATGGCAATAGGTATAGGCAACGACACTATCCCATGGTAGCTAAGGATTCTCTGAGAAGTTCCTAAACTGTAAGCACTACATGCAAACAGGATGAACTTCAAACAAAAGAGAGGGTTTCCCTAAGAAATATTTTTCATACATCGATAAACATTTAAACAATATAAAATCCGGGAATTTGTAACAGAAATCTTCTTCCGGGTGAGACACGTGCTTAAACAAACAAAAGCTTTAGTTTATAACTTTAAAACACCAGTCAAAATTGTTTGAGTAGGTAGAAATTAAAGCCTTTACATAGTGAACGAGTGTTAATAATTTACATTTGTTGCGTCGCTTTACCATAAAGATACACCATCCTACGACGAGGTCATTTAGAAAGTGAGGCAATACACTACAAGATACCTTGCGTTCAGCAAAGATAACTTTTGAAGATTTGAATATTAGTAAATTGATCTCGACTGTTTCAAATATGGCTAAACATAGAGTAGCTTAAGGGGTCAGGGCAAGGATATATTTATGCTGGGTGTGAATTCGTATCTTAGACAAGAAATTCTAAAAACACGGAAATTTAATACATTGCATTATGGGGTGTATAAAGCATGCAAAGTAAATAAAATTACGCTGAATTGTATTTATCAAAGTGATTTTTTGCTTTAACAGGCTCTAATATGCACACAAAACCTCCTTTCACGCACCTCATTACTTAAATGTATCTTATGAGAAACCAACAACTAAAAGTTTGGCAAGAGAAAACATTGCTCTGGTCTTGTTAAAATCAAGTAAACAAGTAAGTGATCAATGAACACTACATCATGAATCTTTGGGCTTCTTTTTGTGCGGAGTTATGGTCTTGCCATCACCCTAGATAAAGAAATATGATCATTATAGGTGATAGTGATCGGTTGTTTAGGACTAATGATAATAATCGGCGACAAATGGTTCAGATGAATAGCGATTGTTTAAGAAACTTGATGATTGCGATCATGATTAATCATTGACGGATCATTCGGGCATTCGGTCTATGGACACTATCTTGATCACAAAGAACAAGGATAACTAATGAACTTATGACTGAGAGTAAGTTATACGAAGAAATCAGTGCGACAATTTTCACGATATAATAAGTTGATGACAGGCAATGATCAACAGCTAGCAACATTCATCGAGTAAGGCTATTTCTTTTTCTCATTATGATACTCCTCTTATTTTAATCTTCCTCTAGCTTAAGTATTTTTCTCACACTTTTCTTCCTCTCTTATTACTTTCTCTTCTTTCACTAATATTATTTTTTTTCTTTTGCAGATAAAAGAAAATGGAGAAAATGTCATCCAATGATCCATAGTCCACGTACAAGAGGTCTACGTAAAGTGAGTGGACTTAATTTACTTAGATGATAAAAAAAAGATCATCGTAAAATCTGTCAAAAGTAAGGAATTGAAACCTCGGTGTTGAGATTGCTTGATCCAGCATCATCCGCAGCTGATAAGGTCTCGATTAATGTCACTGCGTCATCGCAAACACGCGTTAGATGTTCCTCTAGAAAATTGTTAAATATCGGGGTAAATATTTTCATAGAAGCAAATGGGTAAGGACAGCTTCGGACCATTTTGCAAAAAAGAGAGACAATCAATCATGTTGATTCATTTATCATTAATAAGTTGATCAATTTTGGTGTTTATTCCAAAGCCTAAAAATGTTTAAACAGCTTTCAAATATCTGACATTTTCAATCAACTTTCAGCGTCGAAACGTGACCTTAGTTGCTTGCAAAATGCTGCTTAAGCCTATTTCATGGAAGTATTAACATTCCTGATAGAATAAAATTTCTCACCATCAAAGGAATACTCCTTCATATTCTGAAGAGATGTGTCCGCCTGGAATGAAACATGCAAATAAGTTTGACAAAAATTTTAACATCTTTAAAGTATTAAGAGCAGTTTCACATAAGCAGAGAGCTGATTTTTACACAATTGGGGTGAGGATATCTGTAAACTGTTTCCACCGGGAAATTATCATAGTGAAATCCATTTAAAACGGCCAAAAATGAGCACTTACATCGGGGAAAGAGATTTGGGGCCTCTACATCTCCTACCTCTAGCTCTAAGCTCTTGTCTACACATATAATAGTTATGCAACAGTAATAAATGTAAGATGCTACATTAATACAGAGGAATAGACCCCCGTGCAGTGCGCCAGAGTTTTCAATATATCAGTTGAATTTTTAAGCAGAGGCGTCAAAAAATTCCAAACAATACGATTTATGATTCTTTTAATTTTTTTATAGATCTGTTTGTTTCTTCATGCCTATATATATAGCTAACTAAAGAATATGAAATAATGTATTATGACACAAGATATTTATTTATATTGCTGATGCAAAATAATAATACAAGAACATGAAATTATTGATTAAATATCAAACAGCTAAACACAAATGAAAAAAGGAAGTTTAAAAGAGAACTATCGGAAACAATAAATAGAAAAAAACTACACAAATTGCTTCACGAGTAGCCCTATTCATAGAGTTTAATGGTGAGACTAGCCTAGTCTTCAATAGTTAAATACCTAGATCTTGTTTAGATTATAATTGGCAAGTATTCAAGGCCGCGAAAATATGATAAAAATGATCCATGAAAATTTGAACTTCTCATTCCTTCAGAAAGCTGCTTAGACAAAGTAGTTTAATACGAATCCAGATGCAAGGTAGATATTCTTGCTAGCGGCAGATTAGGCTAGTTTTTGCAGTAACAGATTTGCAATAGCGTCTTGTGGTCTTTTTAACAATTAACGACGTAGTTAAATGCCAGCAATCATCCTTTGATATTGACTAAACGTTTAAAATAAAGCCTATCACACGCCACCAGTAGAGAAAACCAATACAGTGGTACGCAATCTGGCGACAATGATTATCAATGAATTGATTATGGTGGGAAAATACATTTTGAGTGAATTAGCAGTCGTCTAGTCGTCAAAAATTACAGCTTTCACATTGCACTTGTGGCGTGTGGTAGGTTTCCAGTCCAGGCAGCAGGCTCTTGCCATTATACTGAAATCTTTATCCCTAAATTGATTATTGTGGTTGAAGAAACTCTAGAACAAAACTTCGAGAGACTGAAGGAGATGTAAATGAATATCAGCATTCTTGCAATCCAGTAGTGTTTTGCTAATGAATTTGTTGTCGCTGCTGCGCATACACCTTAGATATTACAAGGGAGGCTACCTAGGAGACTATAAAAATAGTAAAAAGAGCTGTTATTCTCTTGAAATACAAGGAGCATTCTCTCTGTTAGATAACACTACAAATAGTTTGGCAGGCTTAGTTCTTGCTGAATTTGATATAACAGCCGTAAAAAGCTTAACAGGTACCATTGCTGCCCATGGTCTTGGAACGCTAACGTCAGTTTACAAGGTCGAATTCATTCGTCACCCCTCTCTCCCTTTGACCACTCCCGGGAAGGTTTGAGAACATGTTTATTTTAATGATATATATAAACTATAAGCATTGTTTTGTTTGGGGAGAGAAGCGTCAGTGGCTGTTTTGGCGGAAAAAAATGAAACTGGATGTTATCCAGCTTGCAAGCAGAATCGCTGGCTGCCAAGGCAGATGAATTATCCATTCTCTTACGATAGTAGCTTTATTGACAACTTCAAGATTTTGATCTTGCTTTCACAATTGGAGGCCTTTATCTTGCTATCACTACACTGCGATACAATTATCTTCTGACCTTGATATGTAGTCTGACATTCTGCAAAACACACCTGCAACCACTAATAAATAATTGGATACCTTCGCTCATGTCTTTCGGCATTTTTGACTCAAAACATAAAAACTCACCATCTCTTGTAGTCTCTCCAACATCAATAGCTCTTTTTTATGCTCAATACTCGCTATACAACTCTGGAAAAAATAGTAAAGATGAGACAATAATTCTTAATACAGAAAAGCAAAGGGCTATATCGATTTGCCAAATTTATTCAAGTAATCAGAACAGACTATGATAATTTATGATGATATTATAATGCAAGATGATTGATTGATGACTCGTAATCATTGATGGTGACTTATTATGATTGGTGATAATGATGGCCGATGTTAATGATGTTAATGTTGAGGATTATGACTGATGACATTTTCTGTCAATATTTCCATAAACAAATCATTCATAACTACAATACGCAAGATGTTTCAAGTGGAGGTTCAGTATTCAACCTGACAATGGGAGCTCCACTAAATATAACTATGGTTCTTTCTGCCCTTATGTTGTAATTCATTGTGCAGAATGATAAAGGATTGTTCCCTTCTAATGCTAGGAGAAAGATCAGAGAGTGACAAATGCTTTTTGCTGATTTTTAACGATTCCCCAATCTAGAAAAACCCAACTCACCGCTTGGATTTTATCCATAGTCTCAGAAATCTGTCGATCAAGTTCTTCCTCGTCTTCTTTTGTATAACGACAGCTTTCTTGAATCTGGGAAATCACAGGCGGCAAAATCATATTTCAATTACGAATCCTTAATTACTGAAATGGATATTCACTCTTAAGTCACAGTAATTTTTAGTTTCTCGCACAGAAATCTGCGTTATAGTGACTCTCTTTAAAGTCGCATTGCCCGTTAAAGTCAATCAAAATATGCAAAAGTATTGGATTAAGTTCCGCTAGTTGCCACACTGCGTTTGCCTAGCAACTTTCTAAGAAACAATTGATGTGACTACGAACACAGTCAGTTGCTCATTCAGTTCCTTGATAGGTTATTGTTGTGTTGTGCCTTTTAGATTCATATCCAATAAGAAGACCAACATTTTGAGCATCATACTCCAAACACAATCACGAATAATCTTACAAAACAATTCTACAATCTACAGGGGGCTAGGATTTTAGCATAGTCTGGTTATTAGCGTCCATATCGCAACAAAACAATACAGCAATTATGAAACCTAGTGTCACGAGAGACATCATTTTGCAAAGTATGCGACAGAAATCTTGCATCAAATGGGGATGTGATGATGGAGGATATGTAGATTCAGGTTAGCAGGGACGATATCAGTAGTGTAACGAAGATGTTATTGGTATACTTGCCTACTCATAGGATACTTTTAACAATATGCACGTCTGCCCGAGCAAGATTATCAACGAAAAAGCTATCGTCCGTTAAAAAAACAACTTCTTTTGTTGACTATGTAAAACATCAAACCTTGTCACAGGGTGGGACAACATTTTCGGGTATACGTAGAATGTTATTTCTTGAGAACATCTGCAATGAAAAGATATATTGATGACAAGGTAGATTGCAAAACGATAATAGATCCGCATCGGTAGAAATTGCTTTTCTCGCGTTATTTTGGCCGTATAGACGTTACAAGGACATTCCTAAACCGAGGGGCAAATCACTCCATGAAAATCTCGTACACTTCCGGTGGGAATTCAATTGATTCATCCGAAAATTCCTGGAAATCCTTTGTTTTCGTGGAAATCATGTACTCGAAAGAGTGAATGGACAACCCCCCACCCCAACTCCCCCCCACCCAAAACAAGAATATTGCAAAGAGTATTATCAGAGTAAAAAGAGACTCTTTCCCTAAAACAGCAGGTTTTGTGCTTTGTGCGATCGAGAGGATAATAAACATTTCGATGTAGCGTTTTGATGTTTTTGTACTGCAAAGAGTATAATAAGAATACCAATCTTTTAATTTATAAGAAACTTTGATCAGCACAAAGCACAAAAAAATTCTTAATTTGGAATCCAAATTTTGACATTTTAGTACAAAAAGTTTCTTAGTTGTTTCTTATTTCATGGACCTAAAATTGCTTTATTGTTTTAAAGGTGAGAATTTTTGGAAGAATATAAACACAGATCGCCACGGAAAAGCCCATGCAGATCGAAATCCAAAATCTTTTTCAAAGAAAAAACCAAAAAATAAAACTTTATAAAAACTTAAAGGCATTTGATATGCATAAGTACAGCGAATTCAAAAATAACTTTGGCCAAATTGATCAGAGCACGCGCACAAGAAGGGAATTGGAAACTGCTCACGTGAAACCACTGCGCGCTGCTCTAGGGTTTCACCGATTTGCAGAAAGACGCAAACTGTTCACGTGTTTTTCTTTGTGCGAAATTTGCTTGGTCAACTGCTCGTGGTCGAGTGGCTGTAAGCCACTTTTACCTGTGTCAAATGCCTTTAAGGCAAAAAACTTAGTGAAATCGATCCATAGTAAAATCATCTTTACACCATCAATATCATTAGGAGTTATAAATTCCTTGCAGCCATCTCTAAATAGAACTCGGTACTCATCATTGACTCTTTTTTTCAAATTTTACAGTTTTTAATTTTTCTTGAGCCTAGAAGTAAATTTACTTAAATTGTTAGCCATCCTAGTAATAGTTTCTTCTAAACAAGTTTCCATACTTGCAAAACATGTCTTGCACCATTCCCTTGATAACAAACTCCAGCGATAACCATCTCAAAACATAAATGTGCGTTTGGCGATGGTACTGTTTATCCAAGTCTTGTGAAAATTGATTGGAAATTCAGTGGAGATTGAATACACGAAAATGTTAAACAAGGTTATGCAACTAAATTACAATTTTTTATTCTAACCACCTTATTGATGCAAACTAATTTTGAAACTCAAGCGTGAGCAAGATTTAATTTCATTCACAAAAAAACCATTTGAAAGGTTGTGAGAATTCAGGAATGCGCACAAAGATGTCGGATGGTGAGTTTCGCGTGCAAGAGATCTCAAGCACGTTCATATCTTTTCTACAAAAACAGTTACAAGTAGAGCTGTTTCTGGCTATTCTAATCTCAAGGTGGAAGAAACTGAAATTCCGGTTAAAAGTAACTGAAGTTTTTGCCATCATGCTGGAAAAAAGTTTATCTCGAGCTCAGTTGTGATTTTTCAAACTGTTTTTATGGAAACCTTCATCCTTCCTCGAGCACTTTAGACACAGCATAAATTGACAGAAGAATCGACTAAAGCTTCATGTACACTTCTCAAGGATGCAGCGCTACCACCTTTAGCGCTCTCTGTTAATAATTAATCATTCTGTCGAAACTGAGTTCCCTCAAATTTTCAACTGTTAACTCCGCAAGGCTGTGAGTAATTGATCTCAGAAGTCATTTAAAACATTCTTATCTCCAAATTTTTCAGCATAACGAGATAACTTGGTAATTGTTCAATAATTATCTCAGAATTAAACACCGATTCCTTCTATTTTTTTTATATACTCCAATGCCCTAAGAACAATAACAGCTAGCTTGAAAATATTGTACATATTGGCAAGGTAGCATGGCCGTTTATAAGGGTTTTGATATTTGGTGCCCTGACCCATAAATCAGCCCTTGAATATCCAAATAACCTCGCCTTGCCTATTAACAATGCATTTATCGACCCAAGTTCTGGGAGGGTCCACTAATGCACATACGAATGTGCTCTGATCTGATTTCAGGATGTATTTTGGAACAGTTTTGGACAAGATGAAAGTTCCCTCAAAAATGCTAACAAATGTTTCTAGCAACCAACGAATCAATGAGCTCCTTGATTTCTTACCATGGACATTTACGAACAGGGTTCTAACATGAAATTAGTGTTGCTCGCGTTGCAACAGGGGTTTTTAGTCTATATTCAAACCCAACTAGGAAGTTCGGTTTACGCGAAGGACAAGGTTTCTCTAAGATGTGCTTATGACTCCTTTTTATCTTTCACGAGTTCCCAGCGTCTGAACAGAGAGGACGATTTACCAGAGATTAGAAAACTTTACTGCTTCAATCAGACATTTTGTGAAAAGGATTATGAATGTTTATATACACAGGGCTTGTAAATACTACTCGCTGAATGCGCTCTCTTTTAAACCTATGCAACCCGAGGGCTCTACTAGCTTTGAAGACATTTTTGAGTCGATGGAACATGACAGCCCATCCTTCCTCCCTAAAGATTTCATCAGTTGCATTTAAGCTTAATGCACACTGTAAATTTCTAAGCCTAGAACACTTTGCAGAATTTTATTGGCAACGCTGACGATTTATATCGATAAGTCTATATATTTGCAACAACAAAAAATACGAAAGGTTTTCTGCAAAGACGAACATCCCAGGTATCACCCATAGAAAATGTGTAAGTGACCCATGCCCAAGGAAAATATTCTTAGGACTTGACAGCAAAGGTCCCCTTACTTTGTATTCTGAAAAGCTCGCATTTATGTACGTCATTGTACACAATCGAAGTCCTAGGGGTATGTGATAACGAAACATAGATTGCATACTTGATCCTGTTAAACCGGAGATTTGGGACTTAATTTGCACATGAATAATTCAGATTTTGCCCTAATAATGGGATTTTAGATTGCTTACATTTTGACTGCTTCAAAGCCGACAACTTTCTCGCAACACTGCCGTTGTTAAACTATTAACATTTCGTACCTCAAGTCGGTCCATGTTCAAATCTAGCTTGGAACTAAAAGCATCTCGAATTCTCCCAAAACCATCCTAAAACATAACAAAATTTAAAACTTTAAACAAAAGCATTTAGCTGCTGGTTGTGTCGGACTAAATGAAACGAAACTAAACGAAATTAATCTAACCTAAACTAAACTAAACTAAATTAAACTTAACTAAACTAAACTAAACTAAACTAAACTAAACTAAACTAAACTAAACTAAACTAAACTGAACTAACCTAAAGTAAAGTAAAGTAAAGTAAACTGAACCAAATTAAACTGAACTGAACTAAACTAAACAAACAGCGATAAAAATTGAAGCAGCTGCATTAAACCACATGACTACAGTGCATGATCAACAGCAGTCTTCTGAACTGACAGCAAAATAAATTTATTTTGATTAATTCTCACACTAGAAATTTGTGACCTTTGATTATTATCTGTGTTCTGACAGCGTCACAGAGTCCTGGTTTCCTCTTTAGAAAACAAGCAAAAAAGCAAACTTGAGCAACACACCTGCTGTGTTTGTTGATTAATGTGCTTTGACATCTCCTCCTAAGCAAAATAAATAAATTGAAATGTTAGGAAAAGCACTTCAAAATGCAAACAAATTGACCTCACAACTTTGAGCACAACGATCAAGCCTTCTGTCATTACCCTGTGTTTAGGTCTAGAGACAGTTTAGGTTTATCAAGAAAAAGAAAAATTGTCAACTTGATAGATATTTTCAGATAAAAATGAAGTGATAGCCAAAAACATATCTATATATAAATCTACATTAATTCAGGTATATAAATGATATGAGACCTTGCATGAAAATATCTTTCATTTTAATGATGCAATTAGGGAATCAGTGACTATTCAAAATTTTGGCAATGCAGTCCCAAATATTGTGACCCATTTCTATTTGATCAATTTCATATATCGGTGCTAAAAACTTTAATGGTTATGCCAGAAGAATATGTGAAACATCTTACTTGTTGATAATACATTTGAAAGCATCAGTGTAGGCTAAGGACATTTAACAGCGGAACAATCTGAAATTGATTCCACTTAATATACTAAATATTTTGCAGGTTTACAATAGCACCTGGAGATAAATTTCACTTGTGAACATCTTTCAAACAACAGAGATAAACAGCAACTTATTTGTGAATTTACCAAGCATATCTAAGTGATTTGAGCAGTTGCTTTTACAAGGTGTTTCACATATAGAAATACAGTTTCACGGAATCAATATCACAAATTTTCTTGTCTTTATAAATTGCTTGGAAGACATCCATGTAGTTGAGAATTTGAGATTTAAATATTTTAGATTTCAGTCAAAATTACACCTTACTGATTCTGGGTTTCACCTCATTGAAATGTTTAGTACTTTGATAAACCAAGTGATCTATACACAGTGCTAATTCTACATATATGGGTTTGAAACATTGCTTAATATTCTGCTTCTAACTTAAATTGCTAGCAATCCAGCAAATTCTTTGGGAGGCCTCCAATATAGATAACAAAAAGAGAATAATTGAAACAAAAACATGTATTGAATGTTTTTCATACTAATCAAGACAAAAATTCAAACAAAGGATTTATGCAATTATTACAGAATATTTAAAGTCAATAGAGCATATTTTATAAAATACATATATGGATGAGACAAAACATAATAAATATCACAATATATCAATTAGAGCAAGCAATTGGCCAAAAACACGAATAATTTGTAACCACATTTTATTTCATCCTCAACTTACATGTTCAACTATTTACAAAACTATAAATTATCAGAACTTTTCAACATACATCGTTGCTTATTTGACTGTTAATCTCAACCAATGCATCCCCAGCCACCTTTGAAATTTTGTTGTAAACTGAAATAAAGGATCAGACTTTTTCAATCTTTGAAAATCAAAATAAGATTGAGATGCAATTTACCCTCATACAGACACACATAAATATATAATGCATACAAAAGTTCCCAGTCCCAAGTTGCAAAAAGGATTGATAAAATTAGGTTTTCCAAACAAAGTAGAAAAGGTATATATTTAATAAACATAAAATCAAATGGATGGAAGAAAACGTGGCTGCCATCTTTTCAATTGCTATTGACAGATATATTTTTCAGACTAGTTTATTCCTGATATGTAATCAGAAAAGTTATCCCATAGTATGAGAGTTCTGAACAACCTAATACCTGCTATTCCAAGTTCAGCACACATGCAATTTTAAAACTTGGGCAAGCAGCATGGCATTGACTTTATGTGTGAATCTGCCATACTCTGCAGACTGGCCCGAAGGTCTGCAAACACAGGCATAACCAAGGCTGAACAGAAATACCAAGTTTTACAGAAATAAACAAAATGTGATGACTTTTTGTGGTAGACAATATTTTTAACTTTAATATATTCAATATTTGATTTAGTGATTTTCATTCGAGATTAATATATGAAAACTGAAAATATTTTCATGTCTAATAGAGCCAGCTGAGCAAATATAGAACTCTCTATGCAGCCATACTTGAGTGTTTCTGTCTTCACATAATGTCTGAGACAAAGCAATATGGCTTTGGTTCGTTTGTTGTGCAATTAAAGTTTCAATTCAACAGGATCACAGTTTAGAAAAGCAATATCCAAGGATGAAATTATATATAGGTATGCCATCGCTATAAACGTTTGGAAAAATTAGGAATACCTTGGGAACTGAAATAGGTAGGTTATCAATATGACAATTGCGATTATATGACAAGCCTTCATTAACTGTGTCATGTAAATGTCATTATGGAATATACTGCAAAAAAATCTTCCAGAAGGTGTTTAAAACGATGAGTTATGAATTTCAGAAATTAACGTGAAAATGGCAAAGGCTTCAAAAATGATAATATAATAATAATAAAACGAATACAAAAATTCATTTTTACAGATTCGAGTTCATTTCAGCGCAGAATTTTCTTCAACATTTAAAATGGTTAAAAATTAAAAGAGGCGATAAGTTTCCATTTTACCAGAAAGGGTACCGTAGCTGTAATGTTTTTTGGTAAAAAAATCAAAACAATTTAGGCCTTTAAGGACACCAGATGTAAGGAAAAAGCATACCGAAATCCATCAAGCCTCTCTGCGTAAAGCCAAACAGCTGGCACAAATAGATATCACCCTTGATGCATGATCTAATATTTCCCTCCATTGCTTTTGCAGCAGAATTTCCACTCTCTCATAAATCCCAAATAAAGTAAAGAAACTGTCCTAAAGCGCCACAAAACAAGTATAGGAGGCTCAGTATTTGCAGAGCTCCCACCATAATTCAAATTCTTTCAGCATCAGTGAACTTTGACAAAAGGAAAGTCAGAGTTAACGACCAATCGCATGAAGCTCAGAATTCATATTAGCGGTCTTGATTGATGGACGAGAGGTAGCTGCGGCTCTTTTCAAAATGGTAGCTCGTTTCTATTATTTCATGATACACGAAAATTATGAACCTTCATCTATATGATACAGGCAGGACCGTCGAGAGGGGGGGGTAACCAGGGTAGTTACCAGGGGGCCCGGGGCCTTGAGGGGCCCGTAGAAAATAAGGTATGTATTTTTGGCTATGAGTTTTCAATTAGCAGCATTGGCAGGGCGGGCCCATGACCCGATTGATATTCGAAATTTAATCTTTCAACATGGGATCAACAAGCTGGTCTATGAGGTGGGCCTTTTCTTGTTATGGTTTATAATTAAAACATTGCCGATACGATCATAATATACTTCTCCGGAAGCCGAAAAAATCGATTGCACTTACATATATCTACTTTTAGCAGGGCCCCCAACGAAGGAGGGGGGTCAGGGGGGCCTTGGCCCCCCATTTTTTTGCAAAACAATAGAGTTTTTTTCAAAATCTTTTGTTGTGGGTGTTAAATTTTTCCTTGGCCCCCCACTTTTCAACCTTTGTCGGAGCCCATGTTTAGGTCAGATGTTTTAGTTATTCCTTGTGTGGACTTCCTATAAAGGTAAAAGTAAATCTTCCATTCACGGTGTAGACCAGAGAGAAAGCACATTTCGATCCACAACTGGGTATATATTTTTCCATCGTGTTTTTTCGGAACCTATTCTGACGTTTTATGCTCTGAGGAGTGTCAGACGAAAAAGCTTTAAGTATGTTGTAAAATGTTTGCTTTTTTCAAAGCCATTTACATGCGAAGAACCAAGACAAATCCAAACGCTATAAAAGTCTTTATCAAAATCACTAAACGGGATCACGATCCAACCAACCCCTGCGATGTCATCTTACAGGCACAAGTCTGGTGCTCAGAAAAGGCAGGAAAAAAAGATACGAGAAAAAGAAGCAAAGAAGGCCTCTCGCACATTGTTTGAGGTAGGTGCTTACAAGAGACAAGGAAGGTGATTCAACTTTAAATAAACCTGGTGAAAGCTCTGTTCAAAGCATTGCTGGAGAAGAAGAAGACACAGACGGCTTGGCTGCTTCGGTAGACCATGACACCACAGAAAGTAGAGAAAGCACTACCGATTTGTCATTAAATCAAGATACTGTTCATAGTGGATCATCTAGTTTTGATGTCGGCACATTGACCGGATTTCCAACGAAAAAGGAGTTAGAAAAGGTTGTTAGAACTGGTCGTTTGCCTCATTCTCCAGAGTTTCCCAAAGATTGCGACGGCCACAAATTTCCACAATTAAATGTGAAGCAGCAAAATGGGGAGGTAGTAAGAAGCTGGCTTGTTTTCAGTCCTACAAAGGCTGCACTCTATTGTTTGCCATGCAGGTTGTTTGAGCACACTATTAATAATGGTTCGAAGTCAAAATTGGCTTCTCCTGATGATTGGGGAGCGAACGACAGCTGGAAAAGATTGTGGGAAAAGATTAAGGATTCCGCCATGAGGAAAGCAAGAAAAGCAGTTTTTTAAACATTAAATTAACTCTGATTTTTAAACTGATTTGTTTTAATGATTTTTTTTATATAGTCACTGATAACATGTTCTGTTAAAGGCCTTAAAATACAAATTCAAGTGTTCCAGGGGCGTTGATTTCAAAATTCATGCCTTTTACAGTCCATCCAAAAAAGGTTTTTGCAGCCTTCGACGGTGGGGCCCCATGACAGTCCCAGCCCTGGGGCCCGGCCCGTCTCTCGACGGCCCTGGATACAGGCGCTCTAACACAAAAAATAACATTGTAAACAAGTCGTGATAAAATCAAATCAGGGACCGCGGGAACGGGGTAGGGGGGCTGAGGGGCTTTAGCTCCCCAAAAATTTCCAAAATGAACTTCGCCTTAAACTTCGTTTATTGCAAAACTAGCCCCCCCCGTTGCCCCCCAAACATGTAACCCCTTCGAACTGTAATAAACTTCGCGGTCCTTGAATCAACTGGCTGCTTTAAGGAAGGAGGATCTAGTGGATCTAGTTGAGAAGAAGGAAACTTTTTTTGAAGATTGTTAGCAATGAGCCAGCTACATGATGCCTGTAAAAGCGAGTCGTACATCTTTAAACTAAAGATATATTGAATGAAAATGATACTTTTAAAAATGCTATAATTTTGAGCTATCAACTTCTTTAGGAGCATCCTAAATAAGTCGACAGCAAAAATTTCAAATGAGAGTACAACATTGATAGTTTCCGGCAAATCGTTGTTAAACAAAGACCGGATATTGATAAGGCAAAAATAGGGGTTTTAGCCCCCTAACCTTCAATTTTTTTACAAAAGTTCGATTGTAATTGGCTTATTTTTCCGATATAACAGTTGCTTTTTTAAACACGTCTCTCACTACCATAGGCCACCATTGCATTATTTTATGAGCAAACCATTGTAAAATGAATTTGATATATATTTTTGAATATTCAGTTATCAGTGCGTTTTATGAAATTCCAGGCAGCTTGAAGGTCTGCCTTATTATGCAGCACGAGGGAGATGTCTCAAGTAAATTTATATTAAATATTTGTGAAAGAGTATTCAGATGCTTACATACTGTGTGTTTGAAATTTATCTCTTACTTCTCCTTGGTGGGAGAATATGTTAAAAAGGGTGGATTGATCAATTTTACCCTGGTTAGCAGAGCCTCTTGAATCTGGGGATAAAGTAATGTAGACGGCTGTGGTGGCAAAGAATACTTTGTGACTGGTTTCGAACTATTTTTCTGACTTCTGAGACTAAAAAATGGATACTCTGGCACCCAGGGTAGATCAATTTATGTTCAGAACCAACTGTATTCTACGTACACAAGAAGGGAAGGGGTTATTAGGAAATAAAATCATCAAAGCTATCTCAAGCTTCAATTCTGGAGAAATACTAAGATAGTTTGAAGAATGAAAAATAAACAAGTTCGTGGAAAGATAAACTGTTCTTGCAGAAAGATAATTTCTTCTTAAAAAGAGAGGGGGTCGGGGTACTATGTACAGTGTAGAGTTGAAAATTTTATATTGCATTATCTGTTTTAAAAGAAAATATAAATATTGAAAAGATACTTAAAGATATTCGTAGAGCTTGGCCATTGTTATTCGTAGAGCTTTTACAATTACATACGAATTTCATATTGGGGGGGGGGGGGGAGGGCATTGTATTCCTTCTCATTTAGAACACTGTTATAAAGGAAATATACTACAGCTTGACAATTATTGGAGGGCTCTAAATCTTCTATGAGAACTAACTCATATCAAACAAGGTTGGTACAATGATTGATGAAAAGATGTAGAAAGCAGGTGCAGCGGTAATCTTTAAACGTAATTGTGAGGACTAAAAGCAGCTTTTAAGGAATGAAGCGAACATTTGGTTGCTAATGGAACATACGACATCTGTGCATCAAATGCTATAGCAGAACATTTCGAAAGAATGCCGGCCTTTTTAAAAAGTGGGTTGTCACTTTATCCCATGAAATATTTAGCATAGTTAACTTTCTGCTCATGGCTAAAAGCCTTTCATGCGTAACTGGTTTTTGAAACTATTACGTAACTTAAATTAACGTTCTTACAGATTATTTTATAATTTTTGAGAAATGTCTGTATCAATATTGCTTACGATGTTATTTGTCGTGGACTCGAAATTGCGGTCAAATGCAGCCTCCTCTTGCACCCCAAGATAGCAAAATCTAGTTAAGCTATTCATTTCATTTCTATATCAAAACTTCGGATGTGTAATTACATTATAGTCTATTCGTTCCATCGTTCCTTTACCTTCTTTTAATTTCATTCATAAGTGACATTAGTTAAAATATATGTACACTTCAGTATCAGCGACACGACGAAAACTTTCTTGAAGATCTATTCCATAAGGTAGATATTGTAAAATAAACACCACAATCATAATACACATATTTAAAGGTACCATAAAAGAAACTTCCTTTTGACGGCAAGAGTATTATTCACGTTTTTGTAATGGTCAAGTTTGTTACCTTAATACATCATATATAAACATTAAACCGATATAAAATACACCATTACAAAAACATTCAAGTGGCGCATTCCAGAAATTTGTCGTCCCATCATCCTTCCTTACGTCCTTATATCGAAATTATACATACATATATAGCTAGCGTACCTCAGTGTGTAAATTGTCTTATGCTGTAATCTAAGTAGCATAGCAAAAGTGGTCCTTGATATTTCGGAAATTTTGAAAAGGAAATCCTATTCTGTCAAAAGCACTCATTATATCTGAGGTGGTTAGTTACAAAACCAACCAAAGTAGCACATAAAAATGACATGCAATTCTCGAGCTGTATCGGATTTTGAAACGAAATAGCTTCGTGATAATCAATGAGGTGATCGTTTCCACAACACGAAACCTGTGACGTAGGTGCTGATTTCAGCGGTCGCCCTTTCTGAACCAGTACCTGATTGACTCCTCTGAGTAAAAGTCTAAATTGGACGTGCTACCTTCGGTATGGTGGGCTTCTACTGCGGCTTCGTTTACCACGATGATCACGAGGCCTCTCATGAGTTTGGCGTTCGTTTCTGTTTCTAGATCTGGAATATTCACTCTGCTTTCTATCGTCCCTGTGTACTTGCCACCTCTCTTCTCTAGAATAGTGCTTTTTGGAATCTTCCTTTTCGCGGCTGTGTGCTCGTCCATACTTGTCCTTAATTTTTTCTTCGCTTTCTCGATGCTTATCTACAAAACGATACATAATTCTAAATTCACAGCCTTGTCTAACAATGTCTAATATTAAGAGCCTGTAATCAATTTAAAGTGTACTGACTTAGCTCGAGATGCTTCAGTTTAAAGAGGATGTGTTCAAATCAAAAGCATTGTAAAAGGCTAAAATTGCTGAGAAACTTTATATCTTCGAGCGTTGTAGTCCAACGACTGCAAATGTAATAAGTGCAAGCAACAAACTTTCTATACCAAACCAAAATGGGAAAGAAATTGGTTGTCTGAACAACCTTTTCAGAACCGCAAAAGCTAAAAAACTCAAAAAATTATTCCTTAAAGTAACTATGGACTATAGAATGCACAAAATACAGTCAAATTACACAGTAAAACGTAAACTCGCAATTTCAATACACTAAGCAAAAAATTTTCCACTCTGCTTTCGCCATTACTGCATCACAACTTCAAAACTGTTACTCTTTCTGACGCATTCATACTTGACAAATAAAAAAGTCGACTTTGAGACATAAAGATCATAAAGCATTCTCTGGCCTTCTAATTGGGACTCTCTGGGTTATTTTCAGTGAAAGATTAAGATGGCAAAATCCTTTAGCAAATTAACAACAGCAGCTGGCAAAAATTTATCTCTTACTACCTTTTCCGGCGATAGCTGTACGAGCAGCATCCTCTCTGCGATGCTTTCTAGACACCTCTTCAGGAGAACTTTCTCCCCCTGAAGACTCCATGCTTTCTCCTTTTTCGAGACCTTCTTCTCCGTTTCTCTTTTCGCTTTTATTGTCTTTTTTCTTCTTTTTCTTCTTTTTCACCTTTTTTGCCTTCTTCTTCTTACCTTTCTTATCAAGATCAGATTCTTCCTCCTCTGATTCTGGTGGTGTCTGCGGAGCACAGCCTTTCTCTTCTTTCTCTTTGAATTTCCCTTTTTCATCTTTTTCGTCTCCTTTAGGTCGCCTGTACTCCTCAACATGATCCACTCTGATCGTCCTTCCACCAAGCTGATAAAAAAGATTCTGCATTCCTTTAATTCAACACCTTACAATTTACATGCATTTTCCATTTTACTATTCATGTCTTCCATATGAGGGGGCACGTACTATTATTTTAAGCTTAAGACTGGGCTTTTGCTTGGGGGAAAATGGGGTTGTTAAATGAAAGGATCAACGGTACCCCCATCCAGAAAATTTCCTAGAAAAAGCAAAGGACGCAAAATCAACTAAAACAGCCAATTAAAACTCTAAGCAATGAATTGTCAAAAAACGCCATAATTTTCAAACAGGATACTTTGTGTCAGAAAAGCATCCAAACTTGTTTTTGTATAACAAAAAGTCTTTATAAAGTAACCACTGGATATTCTAAAAACACCTTAAAGAGATTCAAATTTCCACCAAAACGTAAAAGTTAACAAAACCTGCTAACATCTGCAAGCAGGGCCATTGATAATGACAGAACCATTTCAGATAGATGCTACTGGCTAGCTAATAACTTTGGCTAAGACATGAAAGCAATCAAAGTTTGCTAAGTGTACAGGTATCAATCTGCAGCACTAAAAATCAATCCTTCACTGTACTTTAAAAGACAGTGTTACAATGGTATTGCCCTATTGCTCATCTTCAAGTAAACAGCCTGTTCAAAGCAGCGCTTAAGGAAAAATAAACTTTAGTTAAAACCTTACACACCTTTATGCCATTAAAATTGTCAACTGCCAGAATGGTGCTCTTTTGATCTTCATATGCAAGGAACCCATAACCTTTAGATTTCCCAGACTTTTTGTCTCTCACTAAGTTTATGTTCACAATTTCTCCATATCTGCAAAAATAGTTTAAAATTTTGTTGGTTAATGCATTCTTTCAAACCATTCCATTAAATGACACCTTTATAGAAGATGATCAATTTATAATATCTAGGTGCATGGGAAATCTAGTAATTCCCTCCATTTGTCAAGGATAAACTGCCTTCTTGGTTAGAAAAAGGAAGGTATTCAGAGTATACCAGAAAAGGGAGGAATTATTTCTAAATTGATCTTCCTAGAAAATTATGAGAAATATTATTTATTTCAACAATTATTTCCAGGGTTCATTAGGAAAATGAGCACCAAAGTTAAAGCTCAAGTGTTATTTGCTTGAAATTGGGATAAGAAAATTCCTTCTGCATCAAGAAATGTGCTATACACTTTCATTGACAGATATTGTGTCAATCCTTCTGGAAATTTACTTTGACCAGAAGAATTAAAATAACTTATTAAGAATGGTGAAAGAAAAGTAGTGCAAGTAACAATTTATAATTTGAATGAAGTTATATTTAAAAAAATAGAATCTATTAAAACCTACTGTGAAAACACACATAGTATATCACCCTCAGATAACTCATAGGGCAAACCACCTAAAAGAAAACAGAAACTTGAGCATTATATCATATAAGTGGTTCACACTATTTATAAAAAAACTTGTTTATAGTTCAATCCATTAAACAAAGCCATATATTTTCAAAGGTTAGTAAAAAAGATGTCTTTTTTGTTACAGCGTCTTTTTAATATTATGTCACTGATAATCAATGGTTGCAGACCACTCATAATTATTTTGTACTAAAATAAAATAGTATTATTTTAGTAAATCTTATAAACGGTGGCATAACATCTGTAAATTTTATTAATTAAACCTTCACAAAAAAATCTGATATGCACAAAGACTTCAACGAAATCTAAATAATTTGGAACTGGATACTATAGGTAATAAGCAAGGCATAATTCTTTGACTTTGAAAAAATCTTGGCATGAAGTTGGGTGACTGATAGTTTAGATATATAAAAAAGGAATAACATGAAAAATTTACAATGTAATTTTTCCACACAGCTTATTTTTTGGTGCAAAATAAGTTTTTGGTACAGCAGGGCATTCAGAAGCAAAATGCTCTTAGTTGAGGATAGGTTTTGATAGACGAAGATCACTTGAAGCAAAAAACATATTGCCTAGCATCAAAAACTGTATCATGGAATAAAATGTTCTTGGATGAAATTTGATAATGCAGCATATGCACTTAAAAAATAAATATTTTTCATATCACTTTACTTTCTCAGGACACAATTAGATAAATTACTGTGTATGAGAAGTAAATTCAACCACTTCAAAAAGAACAAAAACAAAAACCAATATACCAATGAAAATGTATGCACTGTCTTTATATTGACTATGCCAGGACTTTCTATGATCAAAGATTCCATATTTCAGTTCTTGCTCATTCAGCTTGGCAATGTTTCTAACATTCCTACAAGTAAGAGTTAAAATAATCAATAATCAATAATCACATTGTTTAACGAAAGCTTAATAGCACAGCTTACCTAGTACCTACCCATTTATAGGCAATCATACGAAGTGGTACCCTAATCAGGGTTGCCTGTAACTGTAGGAATACTAGGCTAGAAATCTTACCTTGGGATTGCCACATATTATCCGTAACCTTTTTAGTGTGGCCTGTAGCTATAAGCATGCAAAAATTTACTCACATCACAGGGCCACCAAATAGCATATTGCTTTGACCATCATGGCACTTTGTCATTTTTATTTTATGAACAAAATGTATTCTCTTTTTAGTGCTGTTAGGGGTTTATTAATCAAGCCACCTAATTTAATATAGGATTTTTAGAGAAGTGGGATTATCAGAGAGGTGGTTTTGATTTTGCTACATACTTTTAGTAACTGGGCTTAAATTTTCAACATGACATGAAATAGTCTACTTTTCAGGGTTAGAAAGCTTTTAATTTCTAAATTAGTATAGGCATAACAACTGAACACAAAAAGAACCCAATCAACTGAACATTGTCAAAATTGACATCAACAACTTCCTCCTCTCTCATCAAACCTATCGGTAGGATTATTATAACGGTGAGGCAAAGCGGATTAATTTTTCAAAGTATAAAGAAAAGGAAAGGCTTTCATTGGAAAGAGTGGGAATACAAGAGAGAATATGGTAAAAATCAAACACAATGTCGCATATTGGTAGCACAAATTTCCTGGAAATTTCTTGGAAGAAGAGAATATGGTAAAAATCAAACACATTATCGCATATTGGTAGCACAAATTTCCTGGAAGTTTTAGAGTCTGCAACTGGCTGTCCCTAGCAAACCAGATTATGCTCAAGCAGCTCTTCTCACAGCTTAAAGGCCTTCACTGGCAGGTCCCAGCTGATTGTGTGCGGTTGCTTCAACCTGTGGCATACAAATCCTAGCATACAAACATCAAAGTTCCTGGTCTTGAGGGGAAATTACACACCACTAGACAGGCAGGCAAAAAAAATTGGGTGAAATTGGGCTAAAACGCGTTTGTATGTGGCTGGCTGTCTACCAAAGGTGTTGGCCTAAGGGTTTCACGTGCAGCAAATATTTGGTTACACCTTTAAATTGTGTCTTTGTAGAATTTTTAATGAAGGACAATAAGAAATGTTTAAAAAATAAAGTTCTACCAAGTTTGAATGGAATAGAGTTGTAGCAAGACTTCAATCGGTTTTCAAACTGATTTCACATAATGATTTCCTACAGCAAATGTAACATGACATTTACTTACGTTAACGGATTCATCTTATCATCTTACAGCAACGGTCAACAACAAGAGTATGAAATTGACTCCATTGCTTTCTTGCCTCATTACCAACACAAACGTTTGATTGCTAACACCCTGTGGTCCTAAACATCCAATTCAATATCAATAGTGCAAATTATTTTTGGACATGCCAAATAAATGATTCTACAAGTCTGATAAACAGCAATGGAAAATGCCAATAAAACAGTTGAAAAAAGCCTGAAAGATTCGCCACGTATTTATGAAAGAAGAAGAATCCCAGTGATAGATGCTAGTGAGGAACTAAGCAATCTCTGTGTTGCGAGGAACAGCGACAACATACTTGTAGGATCCGAAAAAGGGTGCTACCTATTATCACTGGAAAGGGAATCTGTAATTTCTTCGTACAAAGATGATAACGGTGCTGAGTTGAAAGAGGTTCCAACTGCAATTTTCAATGCCGAAAATGATAATTTGATTTCCCTCGCATCAGATAATATCGTGCTATGTTATGATATTCGCCAAAGCAGTTCAAGTAGGCCTGTACTTTCATTTAAGGAAAACTCTGACGAAATAAACCAGCTATCATCTTCTGGGACACAATTAGCAGCTTGCGATGATAGTGGGGAGGTTAAAATATATGACATTGCTGCAAATAAATTGTTCAGAACTTTGAGAAATAAACACAAAAATATATGCTCTACAGTTTGTTTTAGAAGTTCTAATACAAAGGAACTGCTTTCAGGAAGCCTTGACTGTCAGCTCATTTTATGGGATTACTCCAAAATAAAAGTTCTGTTTTCAAGTAGCACTCAAGAAGTTTTTCAAGTTACAGATGGTGACAATTCTAACTATATGGTTAATCCTCCCTTGATAAATGTTGTTGATTGCACTGGTGATGGACAAATTGCTGCATGTGGATTAGGTATGAATACTGAGGGTCGTTACAAGTTCCTTTTGGTTTTATTGATATTAGTTTTGAGTAGACTAGCAAGATAAGGTGAGATGGAGTTTCTATGTGCATGCAGGTTCTGCCCTTAAAATTTATGTGCTATCTTAAGAATAACAAAGGGAAGCAGCAGGCCTCACTGTAAAGATTTAAGAAGGTGTGTGGCTGATTGCCTTTTTCAAGAAAATATTTTTTATTGAGGCGGGTGATTTGTAACTTCCGGTTTAAATCACACAGAAAAGCAGTAATATCAGTACTTTTCTGTTGGATTTTTAAGTTTTATGGTACCAAAGAATTATATACGAGTAACCCTTGACTTTCAAGTGTTATAGACACCCAAGAAACATCTAAAATTACTTCCTGCAATGGTAACAGTGGTAATGCCGATTCAAGTGGTTCTTTCATCACACACTCACGGCACAAGCAGTTTTTGATTGTTTACCATGCATATCGTGAAATGTGCTTCCCTGCATGATGAATACTGTACTTTACAAATGATTCCCCGAGCAAAAAGACAATTTTTTGATAAAAAGGAATGCTAAATGCAAATGGATGAGATGCATGATAAAGATATTTTTGAGAAGCAGGTGCATGACAAAATGTACACCTTGTCTTGCCTGGGTGTGTGCCAAGGCAGGGGCATGTAATAACATCCTTCAAATTGAGAGGCCGGAAGCAGATATGATAGGAAGCATAAAATAGACAATAGCGCTTGTTTAATTCTTCCATTTTGCTTGGCTATTTTGCCTAGCTGGGATAAAGTCTGTTGTGCTGTCTTAAAAACAACAAAAGATAGCTGGTATGATAGGTAGCCTGAAATAGCCAGTCAGAAGCCTAAGATAGACTTTAGATTTTGTTCTCTTGACAGATATCTCCCCTCTAGATGCTTGGTTGAAAGGTCATGTTACGCCAGAGGCACACTTGTCTCATCTCTGCTGGGGTACACTGGTCCCCCAGGCGAATGCACTTGCTTTAGACTGAGCCTGCTTTCTTTTCTTTGGCACTTTGCTGGGATATCTCACCTAGACAGGATATCCCCAGTACCTACAGAAGTCCCTTTACTTTTCATTTTGCATTTTGATGAGGCACTAGTCCCATCTCAGCAAGCCCATTTATCCCACTTAGCAAAGGGCAATTTTGAAGGAAAGATAAACGTGAGAGTTTGCTAGAATATTTTCTGCCAGTTGTCCTTTCATCAATGGTAAAAAATGATAAATGTTTTCTTTTTAGTTTGCATCCAGTTTTCATCTTCATTTATTTCAACAGGAAAATATTTCATGAGCAATCAAAAATATAAACACAATCTTTAGAATTTATTCTAAAAAACTAAAAACTGCTGGAAGAGATGTTGTAGGATTATTATGGCTATGTTGCAGTTCTTACATGACAATTAAACAAAATAAAACAAAACAGTTTTGCACAAGAATAAATCAAAGCCATTTGAGAGACCAAAGACTTTGCACGTCCAAATTAATTTGGCTTTTGACCTGTAAATCAGCACACAGAATTTCTCATTCAGCAAGTAGACATTTTGAATTTTAGAACAGAATGTTTTTAGTTTTTGTTGTGAAGTTGTGAAAGGTTTTACATTAAAATATCATTGACTGTTTATTCATATTTTTGGGATTGATGTCAGAAAATTTGTTTTTTGTATATCCTAGCTCCTAACTGTAGTTTTTATCACACTGTGCCCTGTTTCTTCCCCTGTTCAGGTCTTTTTGACATAATTAATTGTGAACATGTCAGTTTTTGATAAAGTTTCTTCCTAAAAACTTGTCGGCTCACCTAGTATCCAATTAATCTAAATAATTTGTTTATTTAGGTAATGGCAGCATTGTACTATATGAAGTAACAAAAGGAAGAAAGCTGAAGCCATTCAATATTTTAAGGCATCACTCTTCTCTTGGGACATCATGCTTAGAAATATTTGAATTTGGAGGATCAAGGTATTTACTATCTGGTGGAAATGATTGCAAAGTTAAAATAGATGAAGTCTCATTGAATAAAGATATAGAAAATGGTGTGGAAAGTGAGTTGTTTTGCAGCAATCTACAATTGCCATCAAAAATAAACCATCTAACTGCTTTTTCACAGAATGAGAAAATGTTTAGCTTAGTATGTGATCAGTCAAGTGAAGTTATATTGCTTGAAATTTCTACGTAGATGATGATCAATTTTGTCTGGTGGTATTTTTAAGAGTATTGCAATAAAAGATCTAAAGTTGCTAATTTTTTGCACATGTTCTATAATACCAAGTTGTTTGAACAGATCCAATAATTGCCCTACCACCTAATGTTGCTCTGTAACGAAAATTGCTTAAAATTGTGACTAGGATCTGCATGCCTAAGATGTATCAGGTAAGTTGCAGTTTAAAGTAAAGTTTGATGCAATGACCTGATGTGTTTACCTGATATGATACAAATGTTGACATGTTTAGTTGAAGAGCTAATAACCTAAGCTTTAAATTAAATCTCACTTCTTGAGTTTGAAAACAATAGAGTTTTTACAAAATAATAGATGAGCTTTTTCAAAATCTTTTGTTATGGGTGTTAAATTTTCTCTTTGCCTCCCACTTTCAAACCTGTGTCAGAGCCTAGATAAAGCAAAAAGAAAGCAGTGTATATTCTTGTATACAGCAAAGCTAATAAAGAGTGTCACATGCTATTAACCATGTGGTCTTTTTTGCAAATCAGCTGTTTTAAAAAGATAATCACTCAACTTCTATTCCTCTCAACTTACCATTAAGGGATTTTCTTTTGTGTTGGTTATTTTTTCTCTGATTTAATGGAAAAGTGGGCCATCTTTAGAAGCCTGTGAATGCTTTTCTAAATAAGTATTGATATGGCACAAAGTAATTTTGCTAAGTAACATTGATTTACATTCAAAAACAGATGTGACACATCAATCTACACAATATAGCTAGTATTTTATGCATACGTCTGATTGGTCAGCAGAATGTCAAATCAACATCTCTTGTGCTGCCTTTTCAGTTTCACCCATTCTTGTAAGTTTCATTCACGAGAATGTTTTTGATGATCTGCATGGCATTTTTATCTATCCCATTATCCTCATAGCTCATCTCTTCTATAGTTGCTAAAATGGTGCAAAATATTTCTTCTTTTTGTTAGGTCATCTTTTATGTTAAATGCCACACTGCCAAATATGAGTTTCTGTGTTCTAGTGATTTCATCAAGGAGGAAGTCTTCGCCATTTCTAGCAATCTTTTGCATTATTTTTATGTAATAGTCACCAATGGCTTTCTTATAAGGTGGCAGCTTTTGGACGATTTCAACTGATTCTCGGATAGCTTTTTCTCGTCTGTTCGAATTTCTCATAAAATATCGTGCCATCACATCAAGTTCATCTAATCGACCGGCCTAAAAGGAATCAGTTAATTACCAGTTAGTCCATTATCAAAACAGACAGTTGAAAAATATTTTGAAAAAGAACTGCTTTTATGCCTCTGAAAAACTCACAAAAGCCTAGCCAAATCGAAACCAACACAGAACAAACTTTATGTGACGACATTGTCGATGATATTTCATGAAATTTGAAGTTGGCAAGAATTCGAAGAGAGTAATGTGACTGCTCAGTGCCGTTGGAACGAAATTCATATGGGGGGAGCTGTCCATTGTTTTCCTTCTCATTCAGTACACCGTTATAAAGGAAACATACTACAGTTTGGCAATTATTGGGGGGCACCAGCCTCCCCAGCGGTTCCGACGGGCCTGCTGCTAAAAGCTTACAAAAGATACGGATCTCAAACACGTAAGGTAGAACCCGTTTGACATATGGAATAGAATCTTTTTTCAAGGGAAAGTCGTATAATCAGGATGAAGTGTCAGCGTGAATTTTTTTGCTAACCGAGATTTGCACAGCCAGTCTAGTCTGGTCGACCCCATTTATTAACGTAAGAACTCATAAAAGCTTACTGTTTTGTCAAGAAACCCTCCTGTAGTTCGACTTGTATCACAGTTGATGTTCAGGAACTTTGTGATGTTCTGTTCACTCCAATTCTCGTCAAATTTTCCCGGAAGGTAGACTTGTCCATCTTTATCTGTCTTGGGAAAGAACACGAATGTGGGGTACATTCCCACCTTGCTTTTCACAGCCGAATCAAAGGATTTCTCGCCATCTATCGTTGCCACCAGACAATTAGGCTCATTCTGAGGAAGATGCAGATTTAGTTATGATCACCTGGTAATGTCTATTGCTAGCTATATTTGATATTTATGCTTAATATTATCCATCTTGATATTATCTAGTATTTTCTATTCAGACCATTGGATGAGATAATATTAGCTAATGTAACTTTATGTAGTCTGGCGTCAAGTCAAATGAAACACTTTGAATCTCTGTGAGTTTGAGTTTAGCTAAATATCAAAGACACAACCTGAATCCTAATTTGACAGTGGCGTTTGTGCTTCTAGAAGGCGTTAATTTATGTTTGGGGCTAATTTGCGTAAAGGTACCTTAACCCAATTCTTTTTCTGATAAGTTAAAAATTATTGCAAACATCTGTTGATAGTTTTTGATATCTATTGCAAGCTTTAAAGGCGGAATCAGGGAAAATAAAAGATTTTATAATATCAAAAGGCAATAAAAAGCCAAACGCTCGCAGTTTTTGCTGAAAACTGCCGCAAATAAAAGATGTTCATCATGTTGGTTTAAGAATGTGTCAAAATTTCAGCTAGAGTAGATATGGGTAAATGATGAGTAAATTACTCTTAATTTACATGGTTTGATAAGATTTGACTTTTGTAACGTCAATGTAATCAAAATATTGTTTGACATCGTCGTAATGCAGGATACATAGGTGAGGCGCAGGGTAGGGTGCTACTACCCCTTAAGGCACCTAAGTTGTCGGAGACTTTCAGCGATTTAGCTGCTTTGTCAGAATTTCTAAATGAAATTAGTCGTTAACCCTCTCACTTCCCTCGATAAAGAAAATAAAACTTTACTCCCACTGCGCCTGTGATCATAATCAACAAGTTTGAATGTTTTATACATTACCTTGAAAGTCTCAGCTACTTTTATCATGATCTGCGTCAGGTTTTTGCATTTGATGCACCATTCTGCAGTATAGAGTACAAGCACATCTCTACTGGTGTCTTTGACAATCCTATCGAAGTTTGCATTGTCCAGTTGAATCAAAGGCTTCTTAGGAAAGTCTTTTGCATGATCGATGCGAAGCTTTTTCGCTATCAGACGGGCAATTTCTGTGAATGTGTGGTCGCCGTCATAACTGTAGATGAAGGCATTAAAAAGTTTATGCGGTTATGTGCTTTATGTAGTAATACTAGATTGCGTGCGGTACAATATCATGCTATAATAACGATCAATGTAAGTAAATTGTACCAGGAAAATTTTTTTTAAATAAATAACGACGTTTCGAGCATAGCCCGTTATCGAGTAAGTATTTTTCCTGGTACAATTTAATTACATTGATTGTTATTATTGCTTTATGTAATGCTTTTCAAGTATGTGAAATCAATGAAATGTGTTACAGATTAGCTGAGGCATTGCCTGCGAGGCAAGCTCTTTCCCCATCAAATCACGTCTGTTCTGAACTTTATGAGCCAAGCCGAAGTGACAGTGTTCCGTTCACAGACTTCAAATCTTTTACTCCCACCGAATTTTTAACACGTTTAAAAGATTTTGCATATATTCAGTGGTAATTTGTAGTTTTCTTTAAGGCTATTATAAGCTATTTTTATTATGAGGCTATTCCAGTTGATATAGATACAAGATATATAGTTTGTAATTTTACACAGAGAGAGAGTATGCATGGAACCTGTATGCGGGGAATTCTTTTTTCGCAGGAGTTCTCTTGAAAGATGGAATAATCGAGCAGAGATCACCCTCTACGTTAAAAGATATAATTTTTGCGATCAATATAATCTAACAGAATGCTTTTAGTGCAAGAGACTAATTTTACAGGCATGGTCGAAAAATGAAACGTGCAATTTCAGTCATTGCGAACCACGAACCCATCCAGCCCACATGTCCTGGCAACTGAGTGGGCAATTTTTTTAACTGCTAATAGATAAGACAGAGAGACGAAATGAGAAATAGCTGCGTTAAACCCACGTTCTTAAAACGACAAACAACTGCTTCAATATAAATCTCAAACAGAAGAGTATTCTTATAAATAAACTCACCTTTCTGCAACTTTGCTGCCCTTTACAAAATATTTGATTTTGCAGTAGTCCTCTATTCCAAATTTTGATGCTAATTTTCCATCATTATAAATATTTCCTTTAGCAATCACGATGTCCTTGTTTTCCTCAAAATGTTCAGCAACTCTCTCCATGACTTTGTGGGACTCTTTGCAGGATTCTTGCCATGGTGCAAAGAACAAAACCAAAGCAAAGCTTTGAAGAGGAATTCGATTTTCAAAATTTTCTGATGAGACTAAAATAACTTTTGATTCTCCAGCTTTCTCGAACGCTAAGCAAAAATTTGGCAATAGAAAAATAAGAAGACAAAGTTTGCAAAGAATCTTGGAAAACATGTTTCTATCTGTTGCGGAAACTCCGACCCATAAAGTAATTTCACAGGTCCATCAGAGATTAATACGGGCATTATTCAGAACCATTTGTATTTACTATGTCGTGTCAATGCATGCTTACTCAGCTGAGGAGAACATTTGCTCCATTCGACCATCTGTAAGCTGTATAAACAAAACATCAATCGCCCAATCATCGTCCCTTTTGACTAAAAATTGCAGTCTTTAAAGGATTGACATTGTGTTATGTCTTCAAGAAATTAAAAGCAAAGATAAATATCATTCTGTGCGAAGAATGAAACGAGCTGCATTTATAGCACACCACGACAATTAACAGCCTCGTTCTAGACATTGCTCAACATTTTCTCGAGCAAAAATCTTCAACCTTCACATTGTAATTTCTGAGTATCGAAATTTTGGCTTCTTTTTTTCTTTTGAACCTCTCCTAATTCAAAGGAACAAAATATTACAGACAGCTTAGTCTTTGGGCAATTCTGTTGATGCAGTTTCTGTTGATGCAGTTTCTGTGTATGATTAGTGACCTTTGTTTTCAAAGATATGCTTAGGCCCTTGACAGCATGAGAAATGTTTCACTGCGATTATCTCTTGATAGCTGCATTATCATGGAATATTGCAGTATAAAAATGTTTATGGCAGATTTGGATATATTCTGTCAAAGTGTCACGATGGAAAGATCATTCCGCTGAAAGTGACAGGAAGATTGATGCTTGGGATTTAGCTTTGCTTGGCCTCTAATGAAGAAAGCAAAATGCGCGGCCGAGGGGAGTTTCACTACCTTAAATAACTTACTGGATTTTCAGATTTAGCAAAGTCCCAGAAAATTTGTGTTGAAGTTTCTTGACTCCCATACAAGAATTTTGGAATTCCTGTTGATAACCAGATATGTATTTCTATTTTTTAATTTTGCTAAACCAATAAATCGTTTGTAAACCAATGTAAATGTTTCGACAGAAAAAATCTGTTTGAACTGACTTGATGTCACCTAGAAAGTTCCAAATGAAATGCAAAAGCACAATCTGACTTTAAAAATTTTGCACAATCCATGTCTGTTTCACTTAATGTTCTATATAACTAATTTTGCTTTTTAATCTTTCCCTTTTTAAATTGTGCAATTTACTTCTGCATCGGCATCCTATCAGTTGTAAACAACTACTTCCCTTCGCAAAAGATTTTTTTAATCGTGTCCCTGATACTTAAATATTTCGATTTCAAGAGATAATCAGAAATATACTGATGATTTCAAGAGACTTCTGGTTTTCTTAACAATTGGTAGATTTTGTTCAGATTTCAAGGCTGGGTGTACACAGTTTCCGTTGTGTTATGCCCCTTTCCCTATATATTTTTGTAAGGCATTTTTTCAATAATTGATTTTTAAAAGGTCCCTAAGACAGTCTATATAAAAACAAAAATGCTAGAATCACGGTATGTAAGTCTTTTCATAGACTAGGGTCTTTTGTGCTGTTTAATATTCGAAAATTTGACAATTGTCAAAAAAACTGGATCATAAGAATCAGCTGAATTGTGGAACGAGAAAGCATATGGTGCACTGCAAGGATCCTTCGTTGGTTCGTCACTTGCTGTTCTTTTGCTTGCGAACTTCTTGTTATAAAACTCAGCATCTTTTATCTGTGAATTTTAAAACATTACAGAAAGAACTTAGGCTGAAAATGCCATTTTGCTTAATTTTAGTTGGATTTTTAAGCTTCAAAAGGATTTGAAAGCAATTTGAATTTGTGAGCAATTTGAACCAAATATCTCCATATTGATTTTTGATGGAATGGTTTCAATGAAGCCCGTAACGGAGAAGCGAAGGAACCTCGCCCTTTTCAAAGGGAACATAAAAACATCTCGTATTTTTAACAGGAATAAAAGGAATATTTTGATAAGATCTCAATAGTTTTGTAGGGAACATCAGGGAAACATTATTGGGAACAGGGGGGATTTTCTGAAAATTTTTGCGAAATATGGGAGGACAAGATCTTTGAAGTTTTTACTTCTCAACGAAGATATCTTTCAAGGGATCTAGAAATTGTTACAAGGGTTAGGTTCGCATTTTTCTCTTACGTTCATTTTGTATGGCTTACATATTCTTATACGTCAGGAGCATTAGTGCGGCGCACACACAAGTCGGCGTCAAGACCCAATCGAATAGATATCTACTTTGATTTATCATATAGTGCAATATTCGATTTGGTCTTTGACGCAGGCTAGGCACTAGCCTGCGCGCAGACTCGACTGAATGGAAAATTTAGGCTTTCTCTCCCGGTAGAGGGGAGAAACACTGAATTTTCAAATCAACTAAATTTCCACTCAAGTGAACTGGCATGCATGACAAGCATACATCCTGGATACTATGATGACGTAGAATGTCAACTTTTTTTAATTATGAACCTGAAATAAACAAAACGTTTATCAAATTTAACCTGACAATATGCATGTAATAACAATTATGCAGGTGAAAGACAATTCAGGTTGAATAAAGGGATCACCGGCCTTCGTATTGTTAAAAACGTTGCGTGTCGTCTTGGGGAATCATTCCTTTCAAAGCATCTGCAATCTCCAAGGACATGTTTAGCGATCTGACGAACTGGAAATTTATCTAGTATAAATAGATGGATAAGTTGCATTATTGAGAGTACAATCAAGCACGTTTCACCAATTTAGTCATAAAATTTTGCAGCCTGCATGAGAGGCTGACTTCAACGATGCAGGGCAGTTTGGTTTGGAAGATATCAGTGAGTCTTATTGTAATATCTCACATAATTGAATGTGGTAGAGCAGAAAGAACAAAATTTAACTGGGATAACTATGGGATAAATGAGCTGGGCAAGGACATTGACTTAGCCCTAAACCGCAGTGTTGGCGATCTTTTACAGCAAGTTGTCATTCGCTTTCCACAAATCATTGACGTCATCAAAGACGTTCTCAACGCAACTTCGAATGGTAATGGGATAAACCATACAGAACTTTGCAAAAGGATTGAATCGAGCCTAGAAACAAAGCAAGATGCTTGTAACTACCGACAACATATAATATCAAAAAATAAAACTTTGGAAAGAATTTGTGATGCCACAAATTATAACATCAGCTTTCTTGAACGATATGGATCATCTTTGTGTAGGACCAGACAACTTTTTTTCACATCGTCTGGAAGAAACGAAACCAACACCACATTGCCTGGCTCCGTTTTACCAACCAATGCATTCTTCATGGCAGTGAAAGTTCTTGCTGGCACAGCAGTTGTTGCTAATAAAAGGAAATGTCTGGATATTGGTGGAACTTTTGATGAGTCAACTGTCTCTTGTTTCAAAAATGGCACAAAGGTGGACTTGAAATCAAAAGTCGACGAAACGCTAAGAGTAATTTCTGTCATTGGGAATTCAATCAGCTTGTGTTCCCTGATCTTCATGATTGCCACGTATTTTAAATTTCGTAAACATGAAACACTGGCAGGGAAGTGCATTATCTGTCTCTCCTTTGCCCTTGTGTTCGTTCATGCAATACAGATTATCTTGTCTTATGCCTTTGGTGTATCATGGATGTGCAGACTCGGTGCCACACTGTTGCATTACTCTCTGTTACTAGCATTTTCCTGGATGGCTGTTATAGCATTTGATTTTTACTACACATTCTCAAAAGTAAGGCCAGTTGATCAACACGCAAGGAGGAAAAGATTCAAAATTTATTTTGGAAGTACGTTTTCAATTACTACTACTATCCTCTTTATTTGCTTAATGATCGACATTCCAGACGAAAGGCATGCTGGGTACGGTTTAAATGGGACCTGTTTCCTCGCAAGGTTCTGGGCAAATCTCTTCGCGTTCATTGTCCCCGTGTGTATCGTCCTACTTTTCAATGGCATCTTCCTCACGTTAACTATTGTGAGTCTGAGGAGCTTTAAACAGTCGACAGCGAAATCCTTGTCATCCAGCTCAAGCTCAGCTTCAAAAAAGAAAGAAATGGTCCTAAGTGTTATGGCTTTGAAGCTTTCAGTGTTGTTGGGTTTTGGCTGGATATCGGGGTTTGTTGAAGGAAGTGTTGGTAGCAAAGCATTGCGTTACATCTATACAATTGTTATAGCTCTTCAAGGGTTGTTTGTTTTGATTGCGTTTGGATGCCATATTGAATGCAAGAAGGCAATAATAAAGGCGAAAAATGACAGAGAAACACTCACAAAAACAACTTCAGTTCCACTGGGCACATTGTAAAGAACCTCTCTTTCGTTGGACACTGCAGTTAGAATACGACTAATATTAAGGGTGGGGGTAAGAAACGAGGAAGCACCTATTGCTCCCAATTCAATATGGCAATCACGAACAGCACCATATTAACCTCAAGCCTTCAATTGCGACTGCTCCGCTCCGGTGAACTAACATTTTCCCCGTTAGCATTAGTCCTTCTGATATGGCATTTTTTCCTTTGAAAGTAATTTCCTGTGAAGTCTCTGGTTTATTGACATAATTTTACACATTCACAGCCCTCTTGCCTTATGATTATAACTTTGTAAAAGCTTCCAAATTCATGATACTACTTTGTGATATCTTAAAATTCGCCAATTAATGTTAACTTCCCAATTGAATATATATATACTTTTATGGCCTACTATCTTCACTTGCCGACTTCTTTAGATTCTTTTTACCTCGTTTCTAGCATTTCGATTTCAAGGTTTACAGCAGTGGCGTGGCGAGGGGGAGGCAAGAGGGAGTGGACACCCACCTCCTTGGAAAAAATCACTTTATTCGCCCCATTTCTCCTGTGCTCAGTTCACCTTTGCCCCCAGACTCACCACCCTGGCTACGCTACTGGGTTATAGTATAGTATTGTTTGTGAACTATAGGCTCCTAATAGTGTACACGCAATCCCTCGTCCATCTTAATATGCAAAGGACAATTAAGGTTTTGCTGTTTTTGAATGCTGCTTTTGATTGATGAGAAAAAGTAACCACGCTGCAGTTTTTCTCTAAGAAATGTGATATAACGACGTACAATTAAACGTGTTAATTCGTATGCCATAAAATCGAAGTAAAGACTGATTGGAATAACTATTGTACCTAAACCGCTCACCAGGGCCTTCACTAGCTTTAATGCCCAAGAGGGGTGGCCATGTCCTGTTTTCCGACAAAGTGATTCAGTCACTTTTTTTGACGACAAGTTTGAAATTTTGCTGAAGAAGCACCCCTAGTTGGCAAAACTACCCGTTTCAAATCAGATTTTTTTCGAAGGGGGTGTCACACCCCATGCCTCCCAGCTACGGTCCTGCGTCAACGTTATTGGATACCTTCCTTTATGTATATTGCTAGCGCTACCCGGATATATCTTGCTGAAATATATTTTTATTGTCATATTATTTAGTTTCTTTCTGTGAAATCATTTTATCAAGTGTTATAAGTTTAGCATATATATACAATTTAGAACGATTTGATTATGCTCTTTGACTTTGTCTTGGTTGCAAGAAGATCGTTTAGAAATTTTTGAGGCCCCGGGCACTTTAGAAGCCATTTTTCTGTTCATGCATATAAAATGATTATCTTTCACTGATAATATAATAATTCCCTGTTCAATGAATAATTCCCTGTTTACAATACTAGCTTGTTTCTCCTCTACTCTGTATTTGTTATGTTACGTTTATATTAGTTGACTTCCTTTTACATTATTTATACTTTTAAGCCTGGATTATTTTTAATTTGCAACAAGTGTATGTATCCAGTGGAATTTAAAATAAAACTGAACTGAACTGAACTGAAATTTATATTAAGAATACCCAAAATTTGAGGAAAAGCCAAGATGTCAAAATAAGCAGAAACTTGACGTCAGAATTCATTCCTAATAAGCAGAAAAGGATGCTGACGCGAAAAAAAGTGATTGATTTCGTAGGCTGGAATCGATAGGAATTTGAATATACATCCTTTCCTGGACCTTAAACACTTTATTCTTAGAGAAGATGCACAAAACAAATGGTTTAGATGTTACTCTTTTTCTTTCAAATTGCCTAAAAACTGTATGCAAAGACATTTGTAGTGCAATTTGACTCGAGAAACTAACTTTTACTAGTGATTTCGGTTAGTTGGCTGATTAGTGATTTCATAAAGTGAAGTTGGACCATTTTTAGAATTTTCAAGATCAGAATACAATTCTAATTGACAATGAAAACAAATTTATCAAAACAAAGTAGGTTTAGTCGTATTTACCATAGATTATACTTTTAAGGGGTTAGAGTTGTTCTAAACTGGAAGCAAGAATTCTGGTTGTAGCATTTTGCATTCTGGTTCAACTTTTGTTCATCGTGCTTTGCACAGCTGAAAAGAATATTAGTGCAATTAATACAACTGGCAGTTGGACAAACAAATTGCCCCGTCCATAGGTTCTACGTTACTTGTGTGACTAGGCCAACCTCTTGAGTAACTTGCGAGACAAGAAGAACTCAATCTGGTTTTGTTTTCGGGTTCACTGAAAGGAAAGCACACTAACATTAGCATCAAAACAGGTATGAGCACTGTTTGTGTTTTAATTGCTTTGGCATTCCATATGTATATAAGGACTATTTCTAATTGTTTTCATTCAAAGTTTGCTGTTTTTATCACCTAATTGTATAACAACCCTGAAAATTATTGATAACCGCGGTAATAATGGATGTCTAAGCTGCGCTGTTTGCAAGTCAAGTACTCTCTTTCTTTATAAATACCAGATAATTTCGTTTAAGGCTCGATTTCCTTATTTTTTGATAAGTTGAGTCTCGGATGTTTTCATGTTCCCACAGGTTTTATTTTTTGGCAAACGAACCTTTGTGTGCTTATAAAGTGTGTTCTTATATAGAGAAGAAGAGTGTAGATATATTGGGTAGGGCACTCACCTTGGCACATACAAATTCTTATCTCGAGAACATTCCTTCGATGCGTAAATCCAATTTTTGTCCATTTTTGAATAAAAATAGTCATATCGAAAGTTGAAGGATAACTTGATTTTGACTAACCATTTGCGTATTTGATCTCTTCTGTTAGATGAACCATTAGATGAAAAGACTATTTTTTTAAATGGTTTGATATCATAATTATACACAAGCTTAAGAAATCATAAAACAAGTTTATAAGAAGTTATCAGATAAAATCGTCTGCATTTAGCAAGATGACCTTAAGGAAGTAATTGGTCGCTTGCTAATTATTTGGCCTATTTGTCGAAATTGTCATAACACGCAAATGTTTTTTCTCATGACTCTAAGCAGCTGCAAAGGATGCATGGAAACGATTACACAGTTTTAAAGCAGCCTTCTGCAATGGCGACAGCGAATGACCCAAAGAGATTTGGTTTGACACCTGTTTCAACAACATGCGACTATTGTGAATCGAAGATCGTTACGAAAACTCAATTCGTGGAAGGGGCTTTGACGTATCTGCTAGTAGCTGGCTTTTGTTTCACTGGGTAAGCTCTAGCTTAAGTTTGCACAGGTTTTTTGCAAATATTGATTTGGAATGCATTTGCAGATAAACAAGTATTGTAAATGCTTGTTTGTACTCGATTTTTTATTTATATTCCATTTTGAAAGAAGGTTCCTCAAGGAACATTTTTAGGCTCTATTCCTTTGCCTTATTTGACAAGAGAAAGACCCTCGCAACATTAGCTCATTAGTTTTCTAACCGGAGAAAATTTTCACCAGTCTTGTTATACAGGGATGTTACATTGCATATGTAGTTTGCTGTTCACAAGCAACAAAATTAAATATCTTTCTGCAAGTCTAGTAGCTGTTGGAAACTAAAGTTGTTGTGTTGCATCTTCTTGCGTTTTAGATTGATTTGTGGTTGCTGCTTGTTGCCTTTTTATTGGAATGGTTGTAAAGATATCATCCACTCGTGTCCTGTCTGCGGATCCTCAGTTGGGCACTATAACAGACTTTGCCCAGCATCGGCCTCGTAACCAGTTTTCCCAGCATTAGACTCGTATTGAACTGCCAACTTTCTTATTAAACATTTAGTTCATAATTACACTTATGAGTTAATTTCGTAATTTATAATTTGTGGGGAATTCTTAAAGACAAATGGGAGTTTCCCTACTAAGTTGTACGCTTAAAGATTCCAAGCTCTTTGTATTTATAAATAAAACAAGATTTAGTATGTCATTTTTAACTTGTTGCTAATAGCTAGGGTAGAGGCTTGTTGTTTATACTTAATTGAAATAACTTTTCTTTATATTTAGTCTCTTCTTTTGGTTTAACCAACTCTTTGTTCCTCTATCTTGAAATAAGAGCGACACGCAGTAGGGAACTCTTAAGATTTCAATAATTCACTTAAGAGAAAGAGTCACTGGCTTGAAAAATCGAATGAGTAAAGACTGTTTTATATATTAAAAAAATCTGATTTGATGGTGCTGAATTTGATAATGAAATATGGGGAAAAAGCTCAAATTTACACCACACTAAAGCATTTTCGCGCGACTTGTAATATGAAGCATTGGTTAAAGACCTAGTGGAGCCTATGTATCTATATAATCTGATTCTTGATTGACCAATCAGCGACTACTAACCCCTTAAGCAAAAGCTTCTGCATAAATTTAGATTATCTGCTTTAGTATAGACTAGCTCCCCTACGAAGCCCGCTACGCGGGCTTGCCAACAATCCTACGGTATGCAGATTAGCCTCGGAAAAGACAAGAGGTGTAATAACCTCGATTTGAAAAAATTGGCTCCGCACAGGTCACGTGATAAAGAATTACTCGCACTCCTGTGACTATCGCTAGTCAGGGGGTCGTCTGAGATAGAGAAGGAGTAGAGGCTCCCCCCTTCCTAGATTCTTAAACACAGTATTCAAAAATATGCTCTGAGCAGTTTTTTACAACGATAGTCCATTACTTTCTTCTACTTCTACTTCTACATCGATACTGAGCAGGACCGAGTATCGGTATAATGCTTAGAGTGCAAGAAATAATAGATTAATAGATAAAAAGAGCTAGAAGATGCCACTGATCAATGATTAAATTGAACTTTTACATGCCAAATGAGAAGCTGTAATTTTGTTTGTCGTCAAGACCAAATCAAAAAAAGGGACTGGGAATTAAAGAGAACATTGAGGGGGCATTGTGGTAATGGATTGGTCAGTGGCATCTATGAAATAATGCAGGTGCAAATTAATGATAAAAGTTACATGTTAGAATTGAATGCTTACTCTATCGTATCTTACAGTAAGAAGAAAAAGAAAATCTAAAATGCAGTTGAAGGCAATCCTTTGACCTGTCTGTGAACACTGTTCGTCCTTGGATTTACAACGTTTATATTCTTCAGTTCAATTTCTTTCTGGAGCTTCCTCTTACATGGGCTCCGACAAAGGTTGAAAAGTGGGTGGGCCAAGGAAAAATTTAACACCCATGACAAAAGATTTTGAAAATAACTCTATTGTTTTGCAAAAAAAGTGGGGCGGCCAAGGCATCCCCGCCCCCCCCCCCGTTCGTCGGAGGCCCTGTCTTAAATGTCTCTTCTTTAAGTTGCCTGTATTCAATTGATAATATGTTCCAACATCTGATAGTTTTTGGGAAAAATGAATACAAATATGTGTTGGTATTAGCGCCAATATCGACAAACTGCCGCTGACTTCTTCCTTGAAGCTGAATTGGTGTCATTATGTAGGATGGAATGTTAACAGCAATATTATCATTTACTGCCTTATGGAACATACACGACCTTGCAACATAGCGTCTTTCTTGAAGGGTTGACCATTTGAGTTCTTTTAACATATCAGAGACACTAGAGTGTCGATCATAATCTATCCTTACAAATTTTGCAGCTCTCCATTGTATTGCCTTAATTTTCTTTATATGATTTGCTTGATGAGGATCCCATTCTGTAGATGCATACTCTGGTCTTATATTTGTAGTGTATGCTGTCGCCTTTATCTTTTCTGGACAGCTGTGAAGATTTGTGTTTCACAGCTGTGCCTTTTCCAGAATCCATGCTGAAAAGGAACAAGGATATGACTACCCTCAAAATGGTCCATGATTTGCTTGTAAATAATGTGTTCAAGAACTTTGCACGTGACACATGTTAATGATACAAGCCTGTAGTTAGCTGGTTCCGTTTTTAGCCCCTTTTTGAAATTGCAACAATGTTTGCACTTTGCTAATCCATCAGTATTGAGCCAGTGTCAATTGATTTCTGGAACAACATTGCAAACACAGGGGCAATCACGTCTGCATAATCTCTTAATATTCTAGTTGGTAGGAAGTTTTCAAGCCAGCAAGAATATTTTGAACACCTTTCACTGTTACTGCGATGTCTCTAATGGTCTTGTGAGGGCTATATCCTTTGCAGGGGATGTTACTTTGGCAAGGTCTTGTAAATACTGACTCATACTGTGCTGACAAAGCTGCTGCCTTTTCATATCTTGTTGTGACTAGTTTACCTTGATGATTCAGCCCTTGAATGCTTACTGTATCTTTTCTTAGAGACTTTATATAACTCCAAAAACGCTTCATTCCTGTTTTCTGTTCAGCTCCTTTATCACTATCTTCAAGCAATTTGTTCATGTTGTCATTATATGCTTTCGCCATTTCTTTCCTCATTAATTTCTGTGTTTGTTGATAAACTATTTTTGCTGATGATCTGCCAATGCTTTTTCACTTCCTGACCTTTTTGTTTGTTGTATTTTCTCTGTTTTTTATTTATAAATCTCTTAATTCTTTTGCTCATCCAAGGAAGATCTCTTCTAGGTTTCAGGAATTTTGTTGGTATATTACAGTTCACTGTTTTCATGATGGTCAATTTTATATATTCCCATTCTTCTGATGCTGATTTTTGTATACAATTTACAGTTTAATAATCTCTTAGCTTTTCAAGGTACTTTTTCAAGGTATCATATCTTTGTTGGCCTTTCCAAACCATTTGGGAGCTGTCTCAGATGAGTTTCCTGCATTACAATCTGCCCCTGTACCACACTCCCAACTATCTGGGGATGATAAGATGCCATAGCCATTAGATGATTCGGGTATTGCATCTTCAAACAATGCGGAAGAAATGTTTGGGGGGTCCATGAGGGACATGGCCCCGGGTCCCACACTTATAGTAGGAAAAAGGGACCCCACAAAGAGGAAAGAAGATAGAAATTGTAAATAACAAGGGCCCCGCAGATGTTTTTGCTCTGGCCCCGCAGTCCCTAAAACCGCTGCTGGTTCTCTCGCAAGATGAATGTTGTCCATGTCTTCCCAACTGTTAGAAAATACTTCTTTAGGCTCATGTATGCTTATATTTCCAGGGGCGTAACTTGGCCAATAGTTTTGGGGGGGTGAAAAGGGTTTCTGCCCTGCAAAAATGAGTGGTGCCCTGCAGACCTCGTAGCAACGGATTGTCTATAGGTTACTAGTGAAAGCTTTACCAGTGTACACTGGTCTTTACCATGGACAAACTTCTAAGCAATAAAAACAAACTTGAAACTTCATTGCCTATGAAATTTTTATTTCTCTACGTGAGCGTAATTTTTTTTTAAATTCACTTCATTTAACGTTGGTTTGCAAAATTAAGCTAATAAACAGCTAATTGGGGGGGGGGGAGGTATGATGTAGACAGCGCAACGAAATTTAGCCCAGTGGAGCTAAGAGTCGAGTTTAGTGAGGTAGGAGGACCCACCATGGTTGGGTCCGACGTGAAGAAATTTTTTGAAATTATATGTTGTAAAAGGGCTAAAAAGCATCTTTCAAACAAAAATTTACCAAATTACTATTGTGCTAAAAGAAGTGATAGTTTATTGAAAATATTATTGTTTATTGGGAAAAATAGGGAGGGGGATGTCATGCTAAAACTCTAGTGTTAGACGTTGGGGAAGGAAAGAAACGGCAACCTTTCGTTTCAGATTGCACTTAGTTGTGAATGACAGAAGGAAGATGTTGTTTTGATTGGGAGAATTTTTTTTCCTGAACAGAAATGTGCAGTTTCTTGTATCAAGAAGGCCATGTTTACACATCCAAAATTAAAACATTGCAATGATACAGAAAATGATTTACTGAATTAATGCAAATAAAAGAAAAATAATAAAAATATACGTGAAAAAGTTAGCAATTAGATGAAACGGTATCTTAACGATTTATTATGTTTTTTAGTTCATGCACTGTTAAAAAGTAATAGAAAAAATGATAAAAAAAATTTCTATCTTGACCAAAGTGAGGGACTTCAGCCCTTTATTCCCCCCCCCCCAGTGAAGCCGTGCTTGTCATGAAAATAATTTACAACTTAAATTAATTTGCATGACTCAACCTTGCCCTCATAAACATACGCATCAATCATTGCATCCATTGGCTATGACTTTCGGTAAAAAATGCTTTCGCTTTGCAAATAACGGAGCTTTTCCTTACATAACTGTTCCGTTCTCTAAAATGCAATGTCAGGAAGGGAGGTTCATAACAAATACGATATTTCCATTTCAAAATTCCTAAACGGCTTTTTACGAACTTCAGAGGTGGCATTTCTGCGTGGCAATAAAGCTCTTCTTGGCGCCCTGCGAAATCTTCGATTGCCCTGCGAAATCGACTATTTTTTGGATTGGGGGGGTGTCACACCCCCCCACACCCCCCCGGTAGTTTCGCCCCTGTATATTTCGCACGAACATTGCAATTGTAACTACAGTCAAAGGAGCAAGATAATCCATGACCGCCCTTCAACTCCTTTCCATATATTCTACATTTGAGAATCCAACCTATGTGAATGTGTGCTTCCTGATTCTAAGTTCCATAAAAATCTAGCTATGGTATTGGCCACTCTTATAAACCATGCACATAAAGTAGCATAGATTAGCAAAGTTAAACTACTAAATCACTCAGGATGGAATCCTGACATAACGTACGTGTGTACCATTTGCTGCTGATCTTTGTCAGGTAGTAATCATCGCTACGTTTTCCAGACAACATGCTGTATTATCTTGAAAGCCAACGTCCTAGTGACAAAAAACCGAACTAAAGGAATGGATGGTCGAAGCATACGATGCTACTAGTGGAAGAGAATGGAAGGGGAGCGCACCGGAATGATCCGCCTACGACATCCGATGCCATGACACCAGAAAAAGAAGGTTAGAAGCTGATATTGGAATTTTCCTATGTTTCTTGGAACTATAAAGAAACAGGCGAAAAGGTTTGATAAGGAGTGTTAATTAAAGCGATAAGTATCTATCGTAGGTGTTTGATTAGTCAGCCTTCTAAGTAGGTTATGTTTTACTTCCGTTTTGCATTTAAAAATTTGAATTATGATAAATTATGTGAGAATTCATGCGACTTCCAAGGGCATCGCAGTTCTATTCGATGCGCATGCGTTAGCAAGTTGAAATCTAAGCTAAAATGGCGGCCTAATGGAAGGGCAGCAAGGCTTCTGTATTTTTAAAACCAACACATGTCAGAGGATCGATAATTTGTGACAAGAGTTATTGGTAAGATTTTTAATGTTATGCATATTTTATTCAATTTTCTTTTGTTTGATTTCGCTGATAGGTATAGAGGCTTTTCTCTGTAGCTTTATGTTCTCACAACATTCCCTCGAGCCTTCTTTTTGTAAGGAAGGCTTGGGAAATTTACGAATGTCTTCTTTAGGAAAACAAATAAGAGTTTATTGATTTTTTTATAGCTTTCTGAAGTAAAGAGAAGTATTTTTCTATTTGCATTTAGAAGTATGATTCTATCGTTTTCCTAATTTCGTGGTCTTGATTTGACGGTCCTTGTTCGAGTTTTTGATAGGCCATTTTTATTTGGTTTTGTTGGAGTTTTAAAGACGCCATTGTCATTTCGTCTGTTCTCTTTAAACAGGGAAATGCCAAATAATCCAACACGAATTTCTCGTAACATTTTTACCAATTTACTTTGCTAGGTCCTGGCTAAAAAAATTCCACTATGGCCAGTGATGGAATGGACGAAGAAGTCCTTACCCGTGAAGAGGCAAAGCGCATTTTACGGAGGCTTGGTGAGTAATGTCCGCCATGTTTAGATTCGCCCGTTTCTGTGCGTTAAGGAAAATCAAATTTAAAATTTGGCTCAAAACAATCTTTGAAGGTGCTAAATAGTTTGTTCCTTTAGTCACGAAGCATGTATTCCATATCGGACGAAAGTTTATTAACCTACTTTCGGCGGTAAAATGTGGGCATTTTGTAGTTGATTGCCTTTTGTGTGAGCGATCTACGCAATAAAAGGGAATCGAATGTCTTAAAAGATATGCCCGTGTCATTCAGCTAAGCAGTAGCATTTTCTTTTGTTATAGAAAATGCAATGCAGTAGTAAGGAACTGCATGCCCAATGTCAAATTCCTTACGATGTCGCTAAAATGGTCCACTTGTGAGTTTCAAAATCCAAATTTGAATAAAAACCATCCAAATGTCACATGTCAAATATTTTATCGTTTTAGTCATTCATATTAAACTAGTATCATTATTTTTAAGTTTTCAAGGGGACTACTAACCACTATGTTTTCAAGAGTATTTCAAAGTATTGAAGTATTTCGTTCAAGGAAATCCATACTGTTGTTAGGTTCTAATTTTCAGGCAGAAGTATTGTCGCAACATTTTCAGGTTCTAATTTGCTCTCATCGAACTTATGTTTATAATTGACATTTTTAAATTTCCTTTCAACAATTAAAGCAAAACCAGTCATATATTTCCAATTCCTTATAAACCTAGCCAAGCAACTAAGACCAACATATATTTGGATATGATATTCGGATCATATAGGCCAGTTCAACTTTTATAATTGCAACTTCCTGTTTTTCACCCTATAGAGTGTCAAAAGAAAAGCTTATGTCTGAAAATATTTGCTTTTTTAAAGCCTTATTAATGAATTTTTACCATCAAAAAATTGCCCTCAATTTGCAAAATAAGTTTTGATTAAACTAATATTTAAAGCAGATGTTAAATTATGTAAAGAGATTTTATTCAATACCTTAAAGAAATCAGTGTTATTGCCTTTTTGAATTTCGTCATTGAACTCATAATTTCTCCACCTCATCATTTCTTTTACACCTGTTTTTCAAGTTATCTTTTGGATACCTCCTACAAGGCTTTGAAAAAATTTTTTCGTGGTTAATAATTGACTCTTTGTATCTTTATTTTTTTTTCAAAACTGTAAATGGACTAAGCTTTTGTCTTCTTTCTATTCTTTAGCGTGTGTTTCATATATATAGCCTAATTCCTGATTGTTTCATTGAAAGAAAGCTATTGTGGCTCGAGGCTGATTGTACAGATGTTTCTTGATTTGTTTTAGGCAATCTTAGAGTTAACAAGTTGTTCGTTAGCCCTTGAAAATCCAAACATTTAATTATTTCAATCTAAAAAAGTCTGATTTTTATCTTGAAGTAAATGGGTTTTTGTATAGACAATAGGTATATATTGATACTCATAATAGATGATGTCCCCAAAACAACCAGTTAGAAACCACCCATTTACTGTCAGTTTTCTAACAGCTTCAGCAAGTTGAAACTGAAGACTGCATTTAAATCAGGCCTTCCTTGCTATAACCTGCCCAAAGCTCTTGCAATAGATTTATAAATATTTTCAGCCTATACAGTCTTTCATTATTTAACAGTATCTGCATGGCTTCTTGTGTTAAGTGTTGTATGTGTCAGCTTTATTTATTTAAGCCATATATATAGTTTCCAAAGCATTTTACATGACAAAGTAATTAATGTTTCTGCTTCTATGCAAATTTTCTTGCCTTTTTATATTTTGTCATGAAATGAAGATATTTTTTATGAAGACTGTCATTATCAGTTTGTCAAAATGGCCTGTTAATGAGAGAATAGATAGCCGAATGCATCATTTTGACTTGGATATTTCTATATTAGTATATAAAACAGCAGTGTCCACGAAGTCTATTTAGCACATGCTGGTCTGTGAAAGCAAGAAATGTCTGACTTAAATGTTTGTGATTGGATAATTAACTTGAAAGTTCTACTGCCAAAATAATGTTTATTCTGTGAGTTATTATAGATTAGGATATATTATTGTAGGATATTATAGATTTAGGGATACAATTTGTATCCAGGCAAAATAAAAGCAGACAAAATAATGTCATGAGATAGCAAACAATCATTGGCATTTTCTAAATTCTTGGTCAACATAAATTAGCAGATTCCAATGTAGTTGATCACTGTGACCAATATTGTGATTTACAACTGTGACCAAGCTTTTCAACCACTAAACCACAAATATCATCATCATAGACTTTGCAAAAATCCCAATAAATATCAAATATTTCTGACTTTGTAATGCCAGTCAGTATTAAAACTTGTTTTTCTGCAGTCTATCCAATGTCGCATGGTAATAAAAAAGTAAGTAATGCTACAAATTGTTTTAACCATTGTGTAAAGGCAAAAATATAAGATTCTCTTGTAGACAAATTTAATCACAAGAATTAAACAGATATCATAAACTTTGTTGCTATGTTCACAGTGCCCTTGTCCTGCAGGTTTTGTGGTTTAAATACTTTACCAAACATCTCATATTGAATTCAATTCAGCTGACATTGAATTTAATGTCTAGACTGACTAACTAGACCGAATTATTTTTGCACTTTCCAAGGCCTGTTGATGTCTTTTATACCTTTTTGCATTGCTTTAATTCATCAGTGTACTCAGTATAAAGAATAGGATGTCAGGTGACAAGGGTTGGAAGAACAATTTGACTTTTTGTTAATTCCTAAATTGTGGGTTATTGACCACTTAGCTGTTGGGACATCTCCCTGTGAACAGTTAACACTAGCCTTACAGCAATTTGGCATCATACTCCAAAGGTTTTAAAGTCTGTTAAAGTCTGTTTTGAAATAAACATGTTACCTTTCCACTCTTGTCTACAAAAAAAGGGGGCAATGCAGCCCCTCCCTTAAGATTCAAGGCTCTTGCATCTTTTGCAACTACTTAGCAGTGAAACACTAACTAGGGGGCATTTGCATCTCAAGTTTTGGTGATATTTTCAAAACAGTATACTATTTGTCCCATTTTATAAGAACAAAGGTACAAACACTAACTAGGGGGCATTTGCATCTCAAGTTTTGGTGACATTTTCGAAACATTATACTATTTGTCTCATTTTATAAGAACAAAGGTTTGTCGCCTTGTAAGGTCTTATAGAAAAAGTTATAAAAAAGAAGCAAAATGCTTCTCATGCAAAGGATTGACCACCCATGTGCACCAACAAATTTAGTACTTTTTGGTTAGCAAGTCCAGAAGAATGCTTTTATTTCTGTCTAAAATATCTTTAGTCACTAAATTCATAAGCTTACTACCACTACAAACTGATACTCCTGAATTTGCCTGCCATTGCAATCTGTTCTTAGGTCTTGTTGACTTCAAAAAATATACGAATATTAGATCTTGCATGTAGTTTGGAACATGCTCTCAAGTGGCACTACCCTTCCGTTTTGCAGGGTAAGAAAGGGGGAACTTTTTGTTGTTTAGAAAATCCCTTATCGGATTTATTTTGCTTTGAATTGAAGAAATTGTCTTTCTTGTTTTTAATTCTTTCAACCCTGGTATTTTGGCAAACATAGACACTGTATTGTGCTTGTTAATAAACCTGAATGAAATATTTTGTTGTTAAATATGATAAGTAATCAGTTTCTAAGCTAGAAGATTTTCGATTTAAATAAGGAAAACTTTTTAAACAAAGTTTCATTAAAGAAACCAGTGGTTTTCATTATTTGCTTCAAATCTTGTTTGATATTTGATTTCAAGCAAGATTTCAGCTTCAAACCCATTCACAAAAAGAACAAAAATAATTAATGCTGTTGTAAGTATACTTTATACTTTTATGAATGTCTACAATATTGAAGCATAAAATGCTTTGTAACTGATCCGATCTGAAGATAAGGAGTGGTGTTTTTCATTTCCCAATAGTTCTAAAGCAGTGCCTTTACAGATTTATTTTACTTTGTTGTCTTGTTCTACACTGCTCACGGTAGTCATATTCGTATCTCAGACATCTTAGTGAGGACAATAATGCCCAACAAAAAGTCTCCTTGTCTTGCAGAATGGAAGAATTCTGATGATATGAAAGTTATCGTGCTTTTGTTATTTTTATTCGTCATAGAGTTCTTAAGTGATGATGTCAACACTTAACTTTATGAACTGAGCCAAAATAATAGTGATCAATTAGCAAATTTCAAATCTTCCATTGGTCATAGCTCACCCAATTTTAGACATATTTGACTCATTTTGCATATATGGGAGTATTTCATGGTGTTCTTTTATGTTATGTGGTTAAAAAAACGTGTTTGCTGACGTCACACTTTAAAACTCTGTTGTTTATACGTGTTAGCTTATTCGTCATTGTTTTGTTTTTTAAAAAGCACAGTACACATTCATTTATAAATTATACATTTTGGCTTGAAAAATGATTTTGATAAGTCCCAAAGTAACTTTCTTACGAATAGTAAAACCCTTTAAAATAATATAAAGTTGACTTGAATTGTTATTTCAGAATTCTTAGAATAAAATTGTAGAGCTCATCCAAAATGGGTTCCATATAAAAGCCAGTACTTCTGCTTATATTGATATTACATATCATCGCCCTGCTGATATGGCGTATAAGGTTGGAGATTATGATTGCCAACATCATACCTTTCGTCACAGGTCTCTCCCACTCTCCTTTTAGATCTTTCATGTTCTAGATAAGAGTGAGTAGACTTCGACTCAAATGTATGGAAACAAATGCCCAAACACAATCAGTATAATCTACATGCTTAGCCTAACAACTTCCATATTCTAGAAGAGAGTGATGCAAAATTTTGGCAACATCTGCTCAGGATGGTTGGCTTGGTATTAGTTTTTTTAATGTCCATCAAAACTTTTAAGATTTTAGAAAAGAGTTGAGGAATGAATCCCAAACAAGGTTGTAAAAGATGCTATGCTTGCAAGCTCTCAGCATGTTAGACGCACATAGACTGTTTGATACGTCATTTCAACCTAATTCTTTGATTGTCTTTTTTATGACTATGTATCGGTGGCAGACTAGTTCATATGTGATGCCCTGTATTGTTTTTCCAAATAATCAGAGGGCTTAAAAAGCTATTTAGTAAGCATAATTTTATCACTTTGTTTAATTTCTTGACAGAGCTTGAAGCCTACTCTTCTGTGATAACGGCGTTTCGGGCCCAGGGAGATCTAAGCAGGTATATACATATCATTATTGTTTTATATAAGTTAATTAATATACTCACAACACTGACAAGGTTTTACCAAAAATTTCACTTCGACTATTGCTCTTTAAGTATTATGGAAGGTATTGTCAATCCTATAAAAGTTTTCTTGTTTTTTTTATTCAGGGAAAAGAAACAGGCTTTAGCAGACCTCGCTGCCCATCTGAGGTAAAGGTTTTTAAATGTTACATCGCAATTAGTAATTATTGTTTTGAACACCACGGGTATCCCTAACTGATGACGGGAATTAGTCAAAATGGTTGGGATTGGGAAGGTATAGAAATTTGTTGTCCAGAGAAGCTAAATTTAATCATTTCTAGAATATTCTGTGCAGTTTATTCTCGTTTGCTTTGTTTTTTGGAACAAATCTTTGTTACCGTTTCTCATTTTTATGTAATGGTTTGATCGCCTCTTTTTGTTTGCAATACAGATTGTTCCAGATAAAGCTTACTGAATTTCTATTTAAGGTGCCTGTTGAAAATCTTTGTTCTCAACTTTAACTCAAGAATTTCTTTGTGTTGCAATTAGTTGAAAACACAACTTCGCTGTTTTTCCATCAGTATTTCAACCGAAAGGCATCGCGCTGAGGTGAGAAGAGTTGTCAACGATGATAGTCTCAATTCTGTAGCTGAATGGTATGGACCTTTTTTTATTTATGTTTTGAGCAGGGCATGGTTGTATAAATTGTTATCACAAGTTACTGTGTAACCAAATTCGTATCAAATTCTCTGGAAACAGCTGTAAGCCCTTTTTACTACTACGTTGAATTGAGAATTCATCTATTGTCTCCCAATCTTAGTTACCTTCTGAACTGATATCCTTTAAAGCTACGTCAAGTAAAGTATAATCATATTGGCACGTGTGTTGGTCCGGCATAAATTGAACTTAGCTGTGTTTACCTGAAACATCAAATGTATTTGCCGTGGGCAGAAGCCAGAAATTGAGGCCTATTTGGTGGTCACCTAAATCCCTTTTTTTAAAAAGAAAGTAAAACCTTATCTTATCCCGTCCTCAACCAGAAATGTTTTAGCCTGCTAAGCGGCCCATCATTCCTGAATAACGGGCTGGTTATCTAAGCTCCCTGGCGATGGAAGGCTTCATAAAAGAGGCCTAGCTGCAGCATGGTGAATCTCAGCTAAAAGAACTGATTTTTATTCTACAGTGATTTTTTCTGATTCTATTTTCTATTTCTTTGTTGTTTTTCAGTTTCTATGATCCATGTGCGTAAGCTTAGGTGCTTTTGCTTTTATGATCCTTGCAGTAGGAGTAGGCGTCTAATCTGAAGTAGTTAGAGTTATGAATGACTGCTGTACCTAGTTACGTACCACATCCGGGTGTATTTTAAGCCTATAAAATGTTAAGAGATAATATAACCATGGTCTCGGTAGTTCTTAAGTCGGAATGCAGTAACAAATATTTTGCGGTGTGCAGCGATTATTATGAGCTATTGCGCCCGATAATTCAATCTCATTTTTAAGAATGATTTTGATATATTGAATCGGGACGGCCAGACTATATCCTTAGATAAATTTTACCGCTAGAAAAAGTTTTTTAATTAACAACGAATAGTTAAGATAAATACTAATAAAATGAATTATTTATGAGCAGTAACTTTTCAGGGCCTTTATCTTGAAAAACTGATAGTAATTATCTTGTATGGCTGTAGCAACGGGCAGATGTGGTTCACAGGTCTTGAGTTTTACACCCTTGCTCTACATATACTCATATTTCACTTTACAAACCTGTTGTCGCTGTATCACTACACTATGGGTCGTGACGTAGTTTGCCTGACCTTTTTGAGGTTGTTGTTGCAGCATGCACGGAATTGGGACAGCTACTGAATGGTCAATCGAAGGAAGAAGATTGGTTTCACTGACGCCACGGTTGGTACCTCAAACTGTGTTTACTGCAAAGGCCACACACACGGCCAATGCAATTTCACACGAAAACTCAAAGCTGCCTGCCAAGAAAAGTAAGTACTCTTAATGCCTAGAAATACGGCGTATTCTTCAATTTTCAAATTACATCAGTGCGTTCACAAAGAATACACTTCTTGAACCAGAGGCTTGAAATATTAATGCATTCTTTACTGACTTGAAGACTCTCTAAGCTATATTGACATTATCTCCTTTAGAAAGTTTATGTACTGGTGGGTTTGGTAAACTTTATATTAAGGTGTTGGAAAGACAATCTAAGCTGGGTCATGAGTGTCCATCCGCAGTATTATTCAGCAAGTACCAGTTTGTACAAGAATTTCGGCAATACACCCCTCTGTTACGTCTCTACTAGACAGTTCATCGTGTTTTGAAAGCTGGAACTTGCGTGTTTTGGGGGGAAAGGCTATAAAGTCACAAACTCTGTGAATTTGTTTTGCAGTATTGTTCAAAAAGTTAAAGTTGTCTACCAAAGTTATGTTGGAAAGCATAATCAAAATAGGGATGGCAATTTCTAGTGTGGGCAATCAGTTAGCGGGGCTGTTTCAGGGGGACTTGGGGTGGTGTTGAAATCGATTTTCTATTTCATCAACATATACAACTTCTTTTTATTCACAGCTGCACCGCAGAGCACCAGGGAACGCTCAGTGTCACTTAGCAGCAAAGTTTCTGAAAGATTCGAAGAGAAGTTGAAAGTTAAGGATAGTAAGCCGGTGGAATTTTCAAGAAGCTTGTCAAGTAAGAAGTTTTGTTTTTAGCTTTAAATATCGCTCATGAGTTTCGTGAGTTTGGGAGTTTTCTTGATACCAGTTGCATTTTTTCCAAATTGGCAAAGTGCCCTGGTTTTAGTTTTTCGTCAGGAGGTTTATACCACTGCTTAAAAACAGTGTCAAAGTTTATTAAGACAATTTATTCAGCCCCGTATTATTTTTTGACTTTATAGTGTCAAAGGTGCTATTATTTTTCTCAGTGTGGTGTATCTTATTAAGTCTTTGAGAAGGCCTGTATAATTCTAGATATTTTCCAAGGAACCTTTTTAGAATTACTTTACCATCAAATATCAATTATGATACTTGTTTCTTTGTTTCTTAAGAAAGAGGCAAGTGCAAGGAATCTTAGTTATAAGTCAGTATTTGGCAACATTTGCTGACAGTGTTGTGTTTATTGTTACAGCCTCCTCTTCTTCGAGTATCAAATCTCAAGAAAGCGAAAAGACAAAGAAGAAGAAGAAGCCGAACCCACCAACCAACAAGGTGCTCAAGCCAAGTAAGCTCAATCTACCTACAAAATCAGAGTACAAAGTTGCCACTTCCCCAAATCTTACAAAGCAAAATTTGTTGTCGCCCACTAGCTTGCACAAACCAGTCTCTCCAGGAGGTAGCCATGGCAGCACCCACCAGAAGCCTTTGATTCTCCAACGAAGTCCGCAGAAGTCAAGTCAGATATCTAGATCACTTTCAACGGAGGGCCTGGGGTCGAGTAGTAGTCCATACATCACAAAAGCCGTGCTGCAGTCGCCAACAAGTACTGGAACGTTTTCTAGTGCAAATGATGGTGGATTCAAGCAGCAGAGATCCATCATTGATGCGAGAACTGTCTCCCCAACCCATCAGGCCAAAGTCTCACAGATACTAGTTTCGTCTAGTAGTAATTCAACAACGATACAGAAAATGAAATTCAAAACACCGATCGCCAAATCGAAAGCGAAGCCGGCTAAGATCAAACCTATTACTGGGGTCCAACGTCCATCAGGTTTTAGTGCTAGTAATGTCAGTCCGAGTGCAGAGTCTCTGAATGTGTTGGCAACTTCTACAGGTTTGTGGATTCACTTCGGCTATGTAATCTAAACTTTCAGAAAATATATGCGCCAGCATAAAAAATTGAAGATTTGAAAAAAATGCACGTGAATGGTCGAGAATTTTTTAAGAATTCACTCTTCCCTAACAACTTTTCCCTTTAACCTATTTCCAGCAATAAAAATAATTCCAAAGTCATGGCCTTACAAAGGCACACGTAAAATCATGTAAAAATCCTAACTTCTTCTCTGCTTTAAAGTTTGCACAATGCAAAAAAATTGTATCTTTCGATTTTCTTGATAGCCCAACTTTGCCCAAAAGTTCCGAATTGCAGGATAGCTTCTTCGAAAATGCGTTAGCTTTTTGTTTCCTTCCATCTGGGAGCCCAAACGATCTGTCCTAGGCCAACATTATTCATACCTCTACATACTAGCAAGCCAATCAAAACGAATCTATGGACCATCGATATGTTGGAATCATTACAATAATTTGTTGCAATATGACATCATTGCTAAGGGTTATATGAAGGCTTATCTAAAGTTTGTTAGTTGGACAACAGCCATACAAAACACGGGGGTACCCTTAAATTTTTAACAGATAATTGATTCGTAAGTCTAAAAGACAGATCTCAGTTATTTGTTTCTATCAATTTTTGTTTTTATCAGAGAAGTTTGCATAGGTTACTCAATACTCACAAACATGAATACCCAAACATGACAATTCCCTCAGATAAAATTTGTTAAAGTGCCCTTTTTCAAGTCTTTCCCTGAAAAATGACGTTTGAGTGAAATTCGTTGTGAAATATTTTGCCAAAGCTTTTTAAGATCAAGAGCTGAGAAAAGGTGGATAACTCGCTGTCATAATTTTACTTTGAAAAAATTATGTATTTTTTGAGAATGTTTAGCACCTTGTGTAGCAGCTTGGAATTATCGTTGCCACCATAGATTCTAACCATTGCGAAACTAATTCCTTATCTTTGTAAATGGATGATTTTTAAGAGTTGCTATACTTAACATGCATAGCCAACAAAATAATTGTATTTTTGTCATTCTCCAGTGGTACCAATGGCACCTATTTCACCTGTTAAACCAGTCATACCGAGCTGTTCTGGCTTAAGTGGAGTCTTGCCAAATTTGGCCATTGTAACAAGTACTCTAACCAGTGGATCAATTGCAAGTTGCTCAGCAAGTTCTCTCTCGAGTGGCTCATGTCCTGTCAAGGTGGTGCAAGTTCAGAAGTCATCTAACAGCACTGCTAGTCATTCATCACCCGCAAATACTGGATCTAAACCATTCGTAGTTGTATCTTCATCGACGTCCTCTAAACCTGGCAGTGCGCAGAGGGTTCTTGCCCTCAGTAACGTGCCAATTAGCGGTAGTCAGCAGCTGAAGATTGCTTCAATCCCAAATGTTCTGCAGCAGTCGGGTGCAAAGATAGTATCAATAGCAAAATCTATGCCTATGACAACAGGCTTTAAGATGATCGCCGTTACGACTGTTGTCCCTGGAAGTACCCAGGTTAAAACTGTATACATTGCAACACCAATTATGTCAGTTACGAAAACCTCTACGCCGTCAGTGCAGTGCACGGCCTCAAATAATCCCGTAACAACTAAACTCTTGCAAACTCTTGCGTCTAGTTCTGGTTCGCTAGTGAGACCTGCCGAAACCGACGTTTCGCCTTCGAATCTTGGCACATGCGTAAAGCCTTCCTTAGGTATAATTAATTCGCGAGGTTTTGCACCTGCATCTTCAACTGCTGTCAATTCGTCTGCAACGACAACTGTTACAACCTCAACCGCGATGAGTAGTAAAACACCAACGTCATTTGCAACGTCTGTAAGTACTTCCATACCTGTATCGAAGCAGAACGGCCCAACTCAGTCTTCGAACAGTATTGTCGTTCCAAAGGTGGACGGCGAAATATCGACTGTTACTGATATTATGCCTTCTAAAAGTCTCACTTCGCCGACAATTGAGATTGATAATATTCCAAAAACTGCTGAGAGCCACTCGGCTTTGAAAAACGTAGATTCTAGTGAAAAAAGTGTGCCTGTAGATGAAATTAAAACAAGCATTGTCGAGAACAACTTAAAAGCTAACGATAGGCCGAAACAAACTGCAAAGTCGCGAGTATTGACGTCTACGCTTGAGAATACTGACGAAACTATTTTGCTTGCTGGGGAGAGATTCCTTGCAGATCTTGCAGCAAAATTTTCCAAGAATAATGTTGATGTTCCGAAATCCTCTTCAGGTGCTGTTGACGGTCACGACGATCTAGCTGCACCAGAGGTTAATGATACGGAAAAAAGTGTGCCGGAAGCAATCGTGAATATTGATGCACATGATCAGAAGTTTTCAACGAGAATTCAAGTGCAGCATTGTGAGCCACAGACTAGCAGTCTAATGGAAAGCAAAGTGATTGTTCGCAAAATAGGCGAAGAGTACAGCTCACCAATAAATTTATGCAATGATCATGGGAGTGAAAAGAGTGACGGAGGAATCCCCAACCAGCGGCAAACGTCTCACGTTGGACCAAGCCTATGTGCTCTTGATAGGCCTGGAGACTGTAGCAAGACAGCTTTTGCGGAGATATCCCCATCAAGAAATGGCAAGCCAAGGCAACCTTCGTCAAGTAATTCTCTTTCTGATAACAAGAGGAGTTTTGGGAGGCCTAGTCTTTTGAATAACGACAGCTCACAGTCTGTAGTAGCTGATATTGACAGTAATGAAGGAGACTCGTCCTTATCAGAGCTAGTTGTCAAGGATACGCCTGAACATGGCGTCAATCTTCTAAATGACATCACTGCAAAAGTGCATCCCATGGAAACGCAGGTTGTGGAATCTGAACGAATTGTAGATGTTTCTAGAGACGATTCGCCTAGAAACGTGTATGCAGCATTTATACCCGCTAATGGAGGAATGAAGGCAAATATGCAACAAGAGACCGAAAAACGAGTGTCACCGTCAGTCTTATCTCATGTTGGATCCCCTTCGCATGAGGTTTCAATAAAACAAGTTAGCGATAAAAGATCACCGTCAAATATGGGTATAAAGGTGGTTACGAGGAAGAGCCCATTGTCTTTTGGTGGTCCTTCACGGGACCAACAAATTAGTTTGCCAAATACATCAAAACGGGCATTGTTTGTGGACGTTGAGAATTTGTCTTCGGCACCAAAGGAACGGAATTCTCCATCAAGGCATTTGGTTGATGATTTTACGTCGACTTCTAACCAAGGATATTCTCCATCTAAGAATTTACACATTGGGACAAATGTTAGTCACATAAACTCTATTTCCCCATCGTCTGGTTACAAAAGCCCACTAAATTCACCGACTCAAAAATTACCCCAATCCCCTGTTGACAAAGGCATGCACGACAAGCGTCCAATGGCATCTTTGTCAGGTATCAATCGCAATGTCTCCCCAAATTCAGAACTGCGAGAACAGACGTTGAATAACGATATCAAAACGAATTATGGCGATGCGTTATTTACTAGTATTGTCCCAACAGCTGGGGCTGGATCATTTTTCCAGAACTCGTTTGATCAAAACTCGACAAAGACTGAACAAAAAACTGTAAAACCTAGGAACAAGGCTCCAGGGACTGAGTTTTTAACCCCTGTGGGACCTTTACAACAAACTACTAGCCTTCCAAATGAAGTGCTGCACAAACAAGGAAATGATGTCATGAAGTCCCACGTGACCAATAATATTCCACGAGGGGGTTCTAAAAAAAGAAAGTCGGATTCATCTCCTGTTATTACTGTTGGATGGATTAAAGGGGCTCTTGCGTGAGTTGGCTTTTTATTGTATTTGTTATTCAATGTTAACAGAATCGTTTTTTATTTAATTTGCAGACTTGGTCTTCAGCATATATTGGTTGTTAATATAAAGTAAAATGGTTTTAAGGATTCTTAAGACGAACATAATTTCATTAGAAGAAAAAGACTTTGGACAATTTGTGATGGTTTCTGCAGACACAATATAAACAGCCCTTTATCGATTGAATTCATTATCACCTAAAAACCGACTTTACATAATGAGGCCTTCTCTACATTTTAATGATTTTTGTGTTTAAATTGATTTTGATGATTGCAAAATAAAGCACACAAATTTTTAAAACAGTTTGAAAGTTTTGTTTAAAAGAACACTTAGTTTATGCAATATTATATTTAAAATCAAATTGGGTAATAGACTATGATTTTATAAAGGTAAAGACTCATTGCTAACAATGGGCCTTTGCGAGCGTGGCGACGATCCGAAAAATGGCAGTAAACTTCTACGGATTAACCAAAATTGGTTTCAGACTGTCTAAAAATGCATTATGGGATGCTTGCATAGCGCAATGGCTCATTGTTAGCAATGAGTCTTTAAGAAGGCAGATTACCTTGCTTAACTGTCTAGCGCCTGTTTCTACATTACCAAATAGAGTTAAAGGGAGACTGGCTGCTATCCTTCTTAACTAATTTAAATCTATAATTTTTTTATTGGGTGGAATTTGTTGAGAAATTCATCATTTATTCTTCTTGCTCTTCTGAAAAAAATTAGCTTTCCCTTTTCGTTGACAACAACCTCTGTACAACGAGCATCAGAGCTAAAAAGTTGCCCGGGCAACGTTTGATACCATCTTTGCCATTTTGTCAATGAATGGAGTTTTTCTTTTCTTCATTATGTGGTCTGATATCATTTTTCATCATACAGAATTGCTCGATTATTATATCTTACAAGAATTTAGAACGTTTGTGGAGAGAAGTTATTAAAGAAAGAGCTCGCTTTAGTAATGTAAATAGTCCCAGTGTTAAGTCTCTTGGAAAGGGGTTATAATGAAACGGATCTTGGGAAAATAAAAGTCCCAGGATAAGGCCGCTGGATATCACATGCATTATTCTTGTTACTCTCAGTTTTGAAATTTGCCTGGGTCATGACAATAATAATCGAATCAGCCTTTTATTTGTTTCCGTTGCTTTTATGTAGGCTCCTGCAGAAAGTTTCACGGTTTCGTGGCCCGAATAAACAAAGGGGAGAGATGAATGCTGCCTCGTGGTTTACACGACCAGGTATTATGAGAATAATGCTTCGTATCTTGTTTTCACGTCAAGTTTTTCTCTTGAAGCTACCCAAGAAATTTTCATTCTCGTCATCTCTTCAGTCTTCAGTTCTAAGAAATATATGCTTGAGTTGATTTTGATTAAAGGTCGTTAAGTAGCATTTGTAAATCTTGAAGTTAAATGAGACTGTCACATGTATAAGGATAATTTTGTAAGGTTAGGTCTTTCTCTCCAACCTCCCCTTTGACTAAATTATACATTTCTTCTCTTTGTCTCTTACAAGTAAATTGGCATGCGTGTTTGCATGTTTCAAATAAAATATTTATTTGCCTAGAAGTATGCATTGCAACATGCTTTTTTGTTAGCTTTGTATGGTATATGATATTTGAATTCTTTTTTATTAAGTGAACCCAGCAGAAGCACCTGGATATTACAAAGTTATTAAAAAACCAATGGATTTTAGCACTGTTAAAAAGAAACTTGAGGTAAATAGAGTTTATTTACATTTTATTTCTTCTCACAGACTGAATCTTTTATTGATACTCGTTAGCTTTTGAAAAACATTTCTTCTGATTTTTAAGATATTTTTCGTTAAACTACGTGTTGATGCTTCGAAATTCTTGAACTGTGCTTGTCTGAAATGGTTATTGAAATATTCAGCCGCAATCCTATTTTTTCCTGTTAAGTTCCCTTTTTTATATTTTTGATGAAGCATCGTGTTTTTATGCAGAAAAATTTGTTGAACAGAGAGACATTTTGCTGTCTTCTCCTAATTTCCCTTCGTCATTTGATTTGTATTTTTCAAAAATGTTTTATGCCAAGGCAGTATTACTGCCAGGAAATATATACAGCAGATTGATTAAGGTGTTCAGAAAAGGACTTTCACTATAATTTTGCTCGTGTTCAACAGTTTTAAAATCTTTCTAACACACCCGACGTTTCTTATAGGATGGAGTATATAAAGATTTTACAGAGTTTTATTCGGATATGGTGCTCATCAAAACAAATTGTCATACTTATAATCCAGTCGACCATCTGGTCAGAAAGGTAAAGCTCCTTAACTTTTTTCTTATTTTAGGCTCTAATTTTTGTCTGGTATTATTGATTTATCAAGCTATTTTAATGCATATTTGTGATAAGATTGAATAAGAATATGTAATGGAATCTGCTATTTGAAAGCTAATAAGAAAAGTTATAATTGATATTTTCAATATGTGGAAATTTGTATCTGTCGATAACATGAAGTGAGAATTATGAAAGGTTTTGAATCTTCCCTTTGGCTTGCCTGTCGCATTAATTGTATGCATTTTGTTTTCTACATTTTTTATTTACCATGCATGTATAAATGACATACAACATTTTATACATATTATATAAGTTGTGCTATATTGTTTACTATCAAGGGTTAATAAATGCACTACATGTATATGATAAATGTGTACCCAATTTACAATTTTTAGTTTCTTTCAGTTTTTCATAAAGTTCTATGTGTCCCGATTATGGAAAACAGTTATGTTACTACTTCTGAGTTTCACCTATAATTTATCTTCTTAGAAGCTCAATATATGCTTTGAAATAAAAGTTTGAAATAGCCAGATAATTTCACAATGCTCTCCCAATATACCAATGTAATTTGTCCCTTCCTTACTGTTGTCTTAATTATCAAATGTTTTGCCCTTTCCTTTTTTTATATCAGATTTCTGCCATTGCAGGATTGTGATTTGGTATTCGCCTTTTTTGAAGAAGAATGCTGTAAATTCTTAGAAAAACAACAAAAGGTAAATTATTTCTTCCTTACATGCTTCATTAAAGTGCCTATGAAATGAAATTTCACATATATAGTTTTTTTATAAAGATTAAAACTTCTACATGTTGTTGTAATATAAAACGAAAATTAATTTGAAAATTTGCTCGGGAAAGTTTGTTTTGGGGTGTTTAAAAACAACCGGTGCGAGTCACAAAGCAAAAGAATTAATGACGTCACAAGGTTTGCAGTTGGTTCAGTCTTCACAACAAACACACTATACCACTTAGTCAGGACTGTTTGTCAAACAACGGTGCAAATTGTGATGCCAGCATGAAACTTTGCAAAAAGGGATAGTTTGATTCGCTGAAAAAGATAGGATATGGAACCCAATTGAAAATTGCCCCCTTTGGCTATTTTTAGACCGGGGCACTTTGCCCAAAGCCCCTGACGGCGTTATTACAATATCTCTTCTGGAAGTGGGTACAATAGCACCAAACTTTACAACAGACGGCAGTTTGATACGGTACGAAAGATAGGATATAGAACCCAACTGAAAATTGCCCCCTTTTTCTATTTTCAGACGGGGGTACTTTGCTCCAGAACCTTTGAAGACGGTGTTATCGCATCTCAGTCGTACTTTAGTACTACCGCACAAAACTTTGCAATATAGGATAATTTGATACGCTGAAAAGGATAGGATATAGACCCCGACTAAAAATTGTCCCCTTGGGCTATACCGCATGACTCCACTGACGACGTTATTTTGATGCCTCTGCTGAAAATAGGTACAATAGCAGGAAATTTTGCAACAGGTGGCAATCTGATACGTAGAAAATAATAGGATGTAGACCCCATCTGAATATCATCCCCTTGTTCTATTTTCAAACTGGGGTACACTTCCCAGACCTTAATAGACGGTATCATCGTATTTCAGTCGTACTTTGGTGAAACAGTATGAAACTTTGCAAAAACGGAAAGTTTAGATGCGCTAAAAAGATTGGATATGAACCCTGGCTTAAAACTGCCCCCTTCGGCTATTTCTACTGTAGTTTCAACAGCGATCCTCGTTTTGCTTAGTGTACTAAACGCCAACTGCTTCCGTGTTTGCAAACTTTGTGACGTCACGGAAACGCGCGCTTTGTCACAGTCGAAAATGTGAAAATGGGACATTCAACCTAAATTTTTAGCCGGTTCTGCAAGAAAGTAATCACCTCAACATATATCATTGAAATCAGCAAATTATGCTTATTAAAAGTATGCCTTTATCTAAACTTGTCAAATTTCATTTCATAGGCACTTTAAATTTAACTTTAAATTGATCTACAGATACACGAAAGTATCGATATTTTGGCCATTGATTTTACTGTTTCAATCGACTTTTGATTTTCGATGTTTATTCATTTTATGATAGAACGCGGTGGGGGAAATCTGTGCTGTTATAGTATAATGTACTTCTGCTATTACTGCAGTAGAAATTTCTGCCTGGAAGAGATTTCTGCCTGGGAATGCCATTTTATAGCCAAAATATGCCAGGCAAAATTAAGCGAAGTAAAATACAGAAACCTTAGAAAAGCGTGTATATTTCGACAAGGTGTTCAACAGCCGAAGCTTCTTCCAAAGTTTATATTGGTGTCCTTGAAGTTAAGTTTCCTTTCTGGCTCGATCCAGTATAACATAGTTAAAATATCTGCTTGCCAACAAGATTCAGGCCAGAGGGAGATCTTAATCGATCGGGATATTAAAAGGAGAAACATTTCGGTACATTTTTTCTAGCCTAGATTTGCCAGCATTTTGATTGGTCTTCTTTATTTCAGCCTGAAGAATCCCCAAGTAAAAAGACAAAGTTGGATGTTTCAACGTAGACTAAGAAGATAGATATAGCCCTGTATATTATGTAAAAATATGTGTATTTGTAGGCACCCCGCTTTTGTTGTTTAGAGACAACAAGAGTATTTTTATCCTTGACGGAGACGAATCTTCCTATTATGGTGCTATTTAATGTCCAATGGTATTTTTGCAGATTTAGGTCGTTGGTTATATATGTTAATGTACCTAATATTGGATCTATTGTTTTGATGGTTGTACACCAGCAAGCGTATGTATTCGAAGATGATCGAAATGTACCTTATCTAAGTGACGTGGTTTTTAATTCATGTGCCATTTGTAAAGAGAGGTATTTCTTCAAAGGTGTTTGAAGAGTCCTTTACCCTCCTCCCCAGCGCATAAAAGTATGACATATCCCAGATCCTATAAGCTACCTATTTTTGAGGGACTGTTTAAACACCCTGCGAACATTGCCTAACACGGCGGGAATCTATCAACCAGATATTTGCCAAATATTCATCAATTTGAAAGGTGTTTGAAACAACGCTCTTCATATCATGTCCTTTTATGCTTTTTATGTGGTACTATAAAAAGAAAAAGTATTCAAGATTTTATATAACAGCAGAATAATGAATTTTGGCCTATCAATCTTTGATTACCTAGGTGTTTCCATGAAGCGTTAATTAAAGTACGTCTGTAAATTTGGTGTCGCTTTTTCCAATCAAATCCACTGCTTGGAAGTATTCTACAACGTTTTAATTTTCCGAAAGTTTTTACCTGGAAAATGACACCTAAAAAATCTTCGGTAAAGAAAGGAAGTTTTTTAAAATGTTTTCTTCGGGTGTCTGCGGGAATAGAAGCTCGTCATCTGCGGGAGTAGAAACTTGCAATTCTGTTTCCCTGGACTAAACGTGAAAATAAATTCATCGTCATGTTTGTTTGCACAGCTGATTTCTAGCAAAGCTTTTAAAAAAAGAATAAAAACGAAAATGGGAGTGTTTGTGCTATTTCTGATTTTAAGGTGAAATGTTTTGCTTCTTGTTGAAGCAGTCTTAGGAACAAATGAAACTATTTATGAAATAGCTAACACGTCAAGGTCACATCAAGGAGTCAGGGAGCTGCACGAGAAAGTTACACAAAAGAGCAGAATATCCAGATGGTAACTACGGGCGGGGGTGGGAATGTGTTAGGGAATTTACCCCCCTCCAAAAATAGCTGAACACGTATAACAGTGGCTATCTGAAGGACGTATTGTGATTTTTGAGTAGTTATCAAAAGCTTAGCAGTACACAATGGAAGACAGCTGCATTTGAAAGTCAAAAAAGTACCTCAGAAATATCTTTAATTTGTGCAATGTTTTATAGAGTTTTTTAATCTTGACCATAAAATCTTAAAAAACATCTTGCAATACCTCTAGATGTGCAAAAAAATTAAATGTGTGACCCTTTCAGAATTATAGAAGTCATAATTATAAGGGGTGGTTAGCGTTATCCTAATTTCGCTATTGTCGGCCAAATCTTTATTTACTCAAAATGGTCAACTAAAAAGAAATGCAGATATAGCTTAAGCCAACAGGTTTTCCAGATAGGTACCTTATATCTTATAACAACGGTCTTAGCAAGCAATAACTTTTCTATAAGGCGCAATCACTATACTCTCTTGCAATGCCTTTATAATTTCTACCCCCAATTAATACCTCGAGGACCCTCTTGCTACATAAAAAAGATGATCTCATTTGACCCCTAGCTCATTGTAAATGCAGATTGAAAAAGAAATTCAAATGGTAAACGAACCACGCTTTGCTCGATTTCTTTGTAAGCAGCTATTTTATGATATTTCCCAAGTATATTGGTTGATTTAAAACCAAAGCAAATTGGTGTTCTGGTACATTCAGTCTTGGATCGCTTTAGTTACGATGAGATTTTGATAAAAGAAATAGACAGCTGGAAACATGGAGATTTGGAACAAGATTGTGGCACTGATGATTTTTGTCCGGGTAAAATCCTATACTCCGTCGTTAGTAGCCCCTCAAAAAAGGGTACCTACTTTGGTTTGCTTTGTTTATTGCTATTGAATTTAATTCTTGTCGAACACGAATCGATTTTGTTTCAAACATGAATCAAACTGTTTTTTGCATTTTACTCACTGGCCCCTTAACTATAATAGGCTGAACACCACTTCATTAGGACTTCGTTTCGCGTCGTTCTTGAGACTCCTGTGAAGGAGTAATGCAAGTCATGATGACAACGCATGCGCTAAATTTGACAAAAAAGTATCATGGCTGCTGCAAGTCTATGTGGGGAATATTCCTCTTTATCAGCGGACGATATCATAGGGTCCAGAAATAGTTTGTTTTCAAAGTTTGATATAACAGAATCACCGTCCCTAGAGCTTGGCGTTCCTGGTACTAGGTTTGCTTTACCGCCAGTGAAAGATGCGGCAGAATTCCTCAAGAAATACACGGCAGGGGAAGGGAATATAAGAATCAATCTCAACCATGGTACTACAACGCTTGCTTTCAAATTTCAGCATGGAGTAATAGTTGCAGTAGATTCAAGGGCAACAGCAGGTTCATACATAGCCTCACAAACGGTGAAAAAGGTGATCGAAATAAACCCATATTTACTAGGCACAATGGCTGGTGGGGCTGCAGACTGCTCGTTCTGGGAACGTGTGTTGGCAATGGAATGCAGGATGTATGAATTGAGAAATAAAGAGAGGATCTCAGTTGCAGCTGCATCCAAGCTTTTGGCAAATCTAGTATATCAATACAAAGGAATGGGCCTTAGCATGGGTACCATGATTTGTGGCTGGGATAAAAGAGGGCCTGGGCTGTATTATGTAGACAGTGATGGGGACCGTTATTCAGGAAGCATGTTCTCTGTAGGCTCAGGATCACCATATGCATATGGAGTAATGGACAGTGGCTATCGATATGACTTATCAGAGGAGGAAGCCTATGACTTAGGTAAGAGATCAATTTACCATGCCACACATAGGGATGCATATTCAGGAGGAGTGGTTAATTTGTACCACATGAAAGAAACTGGTTGGATCAAGGTTTCTCAAACAGATGTGACTGAACTGCATTACAAATATCAAGAGGAGAAGGAGGGCCAGTAGAACATCTTGAACTTTCAATGGTGTTTTCTTTTACATAAAACCAAGTTCTTCAACACAGACAATTATGTTACATAGTTGTAGTTGATGTATTGTTAGTTGAATCATTGTTATGAGATCTAAAAGCCAAAGAAAAACACACAGAACATTTTATTGTCATATTTCTACATGAAAAACCTAGTAAAAAGTGATTATGCAGAAGGAAATATAGATGCAGAAATATTTGAAAATGGAAGACTGATGCATAATTTAATAATTTATAAAATGCAGATACAAGATTGTGGGAAAGTTTTGTGTGTCCTTGACAAGGAGGAGGAGGAGTTACCTCGTACAATAGCAAAGAAAAACAAACAAGGGGGTTGTGTCTTCAAAGGCTTAAAAATGTATGTGCTTTGTTTTGATAAATACATAAAATGCATCTGATGTCTGCCTGAAACCTTTGATTTTGAGGCTATTATGAATTATGCAGTAATGCAGATATAACTACTTAAGTCATAGTGAATGGTATTTTAAAACCATATCCATAAAACCCTTTATTTGATCATTTTTAAAGATGAATAGTTTTTATGATGCTATATTTCTCAAGAGCCAAAGTTCTTGCTAACATTATGTGAACAACTAAAGTTGAATATAAAACAAACATGCAGTAAATTTGGGGAAGGGTCTGCAGAAAAATGAAAGAAAACAAACCAGGGAATTTGGATGGTACATTATGAATGATTGTAAGCTAATCTATTCAAAAATTTACTTTCAAGGCTCTTGTGCAATGGGCACGCTTTGTGACTTAATTCAAAACACCAGCCTAATATGGTATTGCATGAAAATACAAAACAGAGTCAATTTCTCAAGGCAACTGCTGCTAAGCATTCCGGTTACGCAAGGACCTTAAAGTGGTACTAACATTTTTATATACAAAAATATAAGAAATAATGTTCAAATCTACTGTCCCTAAATTCCTCTTTTTACGGACAATTTAGCTTTTCCAAAAGTCTATCCATGTGAGATGTTTCTGCTCTGCTCTTAATCAGAGACTCTAAGTAAGGCACAGGCACAATGTCTTTACTAGCAATAAGATGATCAAAAGTATCTAGATCAACTTGTTTAGGCTCATTGCATATAAAAGAGTCACCAGCAAAATAGGTTTGGGCATGAATAGTTACTCCATTCTCCTTTTGAACTGGAACTGTTGATCTGTGGTAGTGCCCTTTTCTAACACCATTGGCTTTATCAAGATCTTCAAATGGCTTATTGTCATGGAAAGAATACAGCACACCATAGACAACAGAAGATTTTGATTGAACTAAATTTGGTGCCAGCATTCCATTATTCTTCAGCTTATTAAATTCAATTTGATAATCATGTAAAATACCTAGCTCTCTCTTGCCAAAGGAGATACCTTTCTCTGCAATTTTCTTACAATCAACATCTGCACCATAAGATAGGTAGTAAATTGCATCATCTTCACAACACCTTTCTTTGAAAGTCTTAAGAAAATTGAAGTATTTTTCAGGCAAAAGATCTTGACCACAAAGCAAATGGTCTAAGTAAGAAGGATGGATTAGCAAGCCATTCTCACATTTCTCCTTGTTTGCAATATAAACAACAGCAGTAATGGCTTTCCCACTTTCAAGAAAAACTGTTTTCTGTTCTCTGTAATAATGATTCATTTTCACTCCCTCATATTTATCAAGTTGATGGAACACATGTTCAGTGTCGCAAGCATACAGTGCTCCATAAACTGTTGAATTTTCATCAACCAAAATATTTGCTGCTGCTGTTCCATTTAATTTCACCTTTTTATTGAATGCTAGTGTGTATCCTGGTAGTCTTGCTAACTCTCTGGTTACAAATGAAACACCTCTGTCTTTCATTCTTCCAGGATTCATGTTTGAACCATATGCAAAATAATAATGGTATTGCTTGCTAGAATCCATTGCCATCTGAAATGAAAAGAAAAATGACAAGTTCAGGAAGGTGCTAGGCACTGACATTGAAACAAAATTTGTGAATGAATATATATTTAGTTCATTTAAAAATTGTATGTAGTTTTATAAATATAAAGTAGTAGATTTTCATAGCTCTTTATAATCAGTCAATGGCCTGAAAATTGGCTAGCACTTCCTTCAAAATCAAGTTCACATAAGAACATTAGTTCAAATGTTCATCTTTATACCCTGACAATAAGCAGCATGAAATACCCAAAATACTTAACTTAGTCAGTTCTGGGTTGATGTCATCGATTTTGCATCTTACTATTACAGACCTTTCTGAAAAATGGATTTCAGCTTTGAAATTGTTGTCTTGAAATTAGCTTATACCGAAAACTTTATGTCTTTTAGACTGTACATGGGTAACAGCAATTTGAAAATTTGGATATTTCTTTAGATTTGACAGGAATTCGACAGTGAAAATATTTCACAACAACAAATTCCGCTGAATTGTGTAGGAAAAGCAAAATTTTGAAAATGGGGGTAATTCACTGCCTAAGAGTCCAAACAACATTAAATTTTGGGCACAGAATAACTTCAACATGAAAATTTCAATTCTATGATCCATTTTTGGCAAATGTGAAGATTACAAACTTGGAACAGAGAATAGCCAAAAACAATACAAATATCTAAAATTAAAGGTAATTGGGAAAGAAACCAAGAAAATGTGTTTGAACTAATTTTTTCACCAAAAAGGAGGAACCTTGAACTAATTTTTTTCTTTATTTGTAATTTTCTCACAAAGTAAATTTACTGGTTCTTGTAAAAAAATCAACACTCAACCTTTTTTTATAAGAAACAAAGGTCGATGTTGAGTACTCCAGTTTCTTAATGTTCTGGAAATTTCAATACTCATTGTTTCTTAAAAGTTTCTTAATCAGGATGTCATGAATTATGTTATGAAATGTTCGTGACCTTTTTTATTATGTCAAGAGATTCGCTTCCGTTCTGATGCTGTATTTAGATGTGGGAAGTATATTTTTATCCCTTGTGTCTTAAGTTCTAGTCCAACAGGGCAATCAATTCTTGGATTTTACAAAATTTCGTTGTTCTTGGTTTGATCACGATTTAATAGTTTCTTAATTTTTTGCTTCGAGTATTGAAGTTTCTTCTTTTTTCTGACTGCAGACAGCTGTCAACTACCCCTTTTTATATAACCAGTTTTTTATAAAAAAAATGAGCGTAAAGTTGGTAGCTTTTTAGTTTCATCTGTTGTTAACACAAGTGAGAAATTCATTTGAACCTCAGCAATAAAAATTACATTTTGGCCCTGGAAGAAAAATGTTATCATTTTGACGATGATTTGTGTTACCTGCAGACTTTTCGCTGCCTTTCCTGAAAAACTGCCTTGTCTTCTGGCGATCGTTGATTTTTGGTTGGGCGGTTAAAACGTTAGTACAAGTGACTGTGATAATTTGTAACAAGGTATTTTACTAGATATGGCTTTGAAGTCAAGTAAAATTATATTCTCTCAATAAAATGTAACTTCAATCGAACATACAGATGCACCTCCAATTTTACAAAGCCTCCATTTCAAACAACCTCCTTCTGATCCAAGGTTCCTTTGATTCTCGACGAAATGTGACAGCAAGACCGTGCAAGTCATCCATTTGGACAAGAGTATTAAAATGGCTAATACAGATAAATTTGAGATGCGACAAAGATTTCCGAAAAGTGACAAAGGTCTTAGAAAATCTTTAAAAGAAGACAGGTTTGTTTAATGCAATTGATGAGAAAACAAAGCAAACAATGTAGACTACTACGAGTGACAAGTGTGACAAATAGCGATTTTCCGGTTGGGGGGTGGGGGGTGTAGGAATAATGGAACAGGACCCATTTTTCAAAAGCCATTTAAAATCAATATTAAATGCTTTTTTGCAAACTGCCACCAGCTTATCAGAAATAATGAAAAGGAGGAGATCTTTATTGTTCTATCTAATTAGTTAGACCGCTGCTAATGTAATTTGCATTTTTTTCTTTCTCGAACATGCGAGACTCATGCTAAATGTGATTTTTTTATCTGAAAATTGATTGTCTGAGTTTAAAACTTTTTAAAATGATACATTGTCTCTTTTTATATAGGGAAGAGGGAATTGCTCTTCCAGCCCTTGCCTTGGGACCTTGCCAGTGATAGTTTAGAAAAAAGATGTGAAAAAAGTTTGCAACTTTGAATATTCTTAGCAATTTCAGCTACTTACCATGAATTGTAATGCAAGAAGCAAAGTGTTAAGGGGTTAATGGCCTTTTCATCCCCTGTTGACTTTATTTATTTGGACAATAAATTATTGGGCACTAATGCACTAACATTCCTCGTAGCATATGATCATTCATATGAAACCATAGGTAGAGTTAGGGTTAAGGTTAGTATCTGGGAGCCACATTTGTGCATTAGTCTTCAAACTATTGTCTGGTTTAAGGAACAAAGGTGAAGACCCTCTAGCTGAAGTCCCACTTTTCTGAAGTTATATTGTTAGGAAATCATAACTATTTTCCTATATGTTAACTGATGTTCAAACTTCTTATTTCCCAAATAAGCCTCCTCTTTGAATGAGCACCCTTCTTGTGACACTCATAGCAGATTTGCAGTACTTTAGATTTGTCAAACAGTTGGAATTTCATAACACATTTTTTATTGAAAGTTAGCTTACATGTAAAGTTGAAGGAAATCAGGGAATGAATTATTCGGAATTATGCATAAAATGTCAGTGGAGTGAAGACAGGCTGCTTCACCCACTGCGCTAAATGAGGACAGCAGTAGAGACCTGCCATTACTCAATTACTTTTGCCTGTGGTACTTTATCTGTTGCTATCTTATTATTTGTCATCTTAGTTTCATACTTTTAGTCTCATTTAGCAGTCCTGCATAGCAAAAACGAACAATTTTGTGAATCATCAATGTTTCTAGGAAGAAGTATGTTATTTTTTATAACTGAGAAAAGCATGTTGATAGCCTTTTCTGGATGTTTTCCTTGCTCTATGCCCCAAGAATCAGTTAAAAAATCACAGCCTCTTTTTTTTAGGACTTCTCTAAAGGCCTCAATGGCAGAAAGATTTTGTTGGTACCCCAAAGCCTCTGTTGTCTTCAATGTGCTCCTCTCAGCAAGAATATCTGCAGCATTTCTTAGCAACATTTCTGATTGTGATGAAACTTTCAATTATTGGGAGCCAGTAGGTTCATTTTGTAACAATTTTATGAAATATGTATTGTACATGCACTAATGATTAAATTCTTGACCCTTTTCCCATTTATCAATATTCCAGCTTTAACAATACCTAGAAGTTGTAGATCTGAGAAAAGAAAAGCTAGAACTGATAGATCCCTTTGAATGAAGTGAGATTTAGTTCAAATTCTTATACAAAATGATCGATATTGAACAATTGAATAAGTTCCAAATAAAGTCATTAATACCTTATCAATCATTTTAGACACACTACCTTATGTATGGAAATGGATTTCAGACTTGGGAATATTCTCCCGTATATGCAATTCGATCATATGCCTACCTTTTGCTGCATGTTATTCCAGCTGAAGTTATGAGGAATATTTTTAATGCAAACAAGGTATGCTTTATTCATTTCCTTTCTCTAGATTAACTTTTAGCTTATATTTAGTTTATATTACATTACCTTTAGGGATGGGGGTGTGGCCCCTTTGCCCTTAGAGATGAAACTGGTTTTTTTTAGGAATCCAGCCAGCAAAAGTTAAACTTATCACATATAGCCAAGAACTTGCTGGCCTTATAGCCAACTTACAGCCAACTTTGCAAAAAAGTAGTCTGCTGACTAAAGTAAATGTAAACACTCATAGCACAACAGGTAACCATGCAGTTTTCTTCTAACCAATCAAAAATATCATTTATCTTTTTTAGTTTACTTTTTTAGTTATCTTTTCAAAAATATCATTTATCTCTTGTAAGACTTTTTTCACTATGTCAACATCAAACAATCTATACTCTAAATGTAACAAGATGTACTTCAGTATTCTAAGGTTTTTATGAGCCTTTTATATTTTTTATTCTGATTCAAAATTAATCACATTTAATTTTTTAAACCAGCTTGTCGTTTTCTACTATGTGCGTTTCATTCTTGGAGTGTTCTCAGCAGCATGTGAAACATACTTTTACAAGTGAGTCTATTTTGTGTTTTATCGTCTATTGCTCTGAATTTTGATGAATTTCAAAATGCAGCCATGATTGAAGTATCTACAATAAATTTGAAACCTTCTGCATATTTAAGTTTAGGCCTTTATTGGACCATATGCCATATACCATGTACTTCTAATTCTAGGGCAGTTGTGGTTCAGTTCGGAGAGCATGTTGCAAGAGTGTTGTTTGTTATCTTGATATTCAACACTGGAATGTTTATTTCATCAACTGGTAAGAATCTTTATCTTAAATGTTGCTAAAAGTCAGCCCATTGTGCTCAGCTTTATACCAATATAAGTTTTTATGATATCAAGCTCTATAATATCAACTATTTTTAAATGATTTTTACTGAACCATAATCATGCAGGACTAAATGTTTTAGTTTAGAAATTCCATTGGTGTTTTCATTATAGCACTTATTTTTATTTAGGGATATGAAACCTTTTAAGTTCACCTTTTAGCTGTCTTTAAATGGAATTATAAAAATGTGACAAAATAAGCCCAAAATTTAACTAATTTTAACCAATTCTTTACTTTTGTTGCTGCAACTTGTATGTGTGTGATACTATAAGATTACAATTTTCTTTTTACTGTTTCTTGATTGTAGCATTTCTTCCAAGCAGCTTTGCAATGTGTGCCTGCACACTGGCTTTTGGGGGATGGTTTAATCAAAACTTCCCAGTAAGTAACTAAGCAAAATTTGGTTTGTCTTCCTGGTTTTATATTGAAGCTAGAGGCTCTGATAAAAAGAGAGAATTTTGATCATAATAACTGCTTATTGCAAAGCTACTGTAAAGTTGGAAATGCAAAGGGGCATAGCCTAGTCCAAACGGTATCCCAAGGACATTTTAAATCTTTAGTCAATCATTTTCTTCAATGAAGAAGGGGGAGCTAGAACAAGAAGTGGAGAGTTTTAAAAATCCTGAAAAATTAATGACGGGGGCTAAAAGTCTTCCCTTTTTTCCTAATTTTCCAAATGCATTCTTTCCAATTTTCTTGTTCAAGTCCATATGGAACTACTCTATTTCTCTCTTACTGTTATCTAAAGCTTTATCTCACCATGGCATCAATAATAGATATTTATAAGACTATATGTATGCATAAAAGGATATGTTATCTTTTCCAGGTCCTTGTAAAGATTTAAGCGAAGGTCTAATGATTTTCTTATGATTCAAATTCTGTTTTTTTCAAAAGATTTTTTAACAGTCTGTTTTGAAGGATTTAATTATCATCATTTATATCTATGAGTTGTTTAATTAGAAATCTGCTATATATATTGTTCTTCCCCCTTTTTTACATTTTTTTACCTACAGTTAGCAATCTTTGGCATCGCCCTTGGTGCTTTGGTTGGCTGGCCGTTTTGTGCTGTTTTAGGGTATGAAAAGCTATCAGTAATTTACACATCATCTTTACCGTGAAAATAAACACATTTCTTTTTTGAAAAGTTCCCTGTTTTCTGAGTATGTATATGTAAAATAAAGGTGGTCCATATTTTTACTGACAGAGCTATTTCTAAGAAATCATCATTGCCAACTTAGACAGTACCTTACACTGAAATATTATGATAAGATGGTGTCACAATTTACTCACATAATAATAGCCACACATGCGGGTGTAATGTATTTGTATGCAGTTACGATAGACAGCCAATCACTTATCAATGGAAAAATGATTTTCTTATCAAATATTAAAATTATGCCAGAATGATGCTAGATTTCAAACTATGCCAGATTTCATGCTAAAGGACGATTTTTGACCAAAATTATGCCAAAAGCATAATATTATGCTAGATCTGGTCACACTGAGTAACAGCGCAAAATATTTTTACGAACAAAATTTTTTGTCACTAATTTTTTCTGAATTTTCAGATTATCAAGGGTTTGTGAGATTTCCTTCCCCGGAAATTTTGTAATATAGTTAACAATTTAAAAAAAAACTTCCCCATTTCTTGCTTTTGCTCTGTACATTTTATATTCTTTCTTCATCCATGCCACAAAATTATTTTTTCAATACTTTTCTATATTCTTTTTTCATCCATGCCACAAATTTTTTTAAAATACTTTTTAGTATATTTTCTTGTCCCTGCTACATCCACCTTCCTCTTTATAAATTTTTCTATTCTAATTGCATCATTTCCATCCTTTGCTTCTAATCTCTCCTTTTTAATTTCTCTTTCATCTCCCTTTTTTCTTTTCTTCGTTTTCCATCTTCTTCCTTCTCGTTTTTCTTCTTATACTTTTTTGCTCACGCCCTTCCCTCCCCTCCTTTTTCTATTCCTTTTTACTTCTCAATCATCTTCCTGCTGGTCGAGTAATCTACCAAATCATCCACACGAGATTATCAGGAGGAAGAAATAGCATTTATCTCAAGAAACAGTTGTATTCGTAGGTATTTAACCATTATTGTGTATTCAGTCGGTAATATCTTTCATAAGGAGTGGTAATAAATCTTCTTGTTACATTTCAATCTCTAACTAAAAATATTTGAAGCTCTTATTCATGCTGGAATTTCTTTCCTTTCAGATTGCCAATTGCATATGATATAATCATCAGACGCAGACGACTTTGGCTTTTCGTCGAATGGTCAGTTGGTTGCTTTGCCGCCATTATGGTATTGTTATTGCAGCTTCTTTTCTTCATATCTTATACTCTATAATTTATCATAGATCGTTCGAAGACGTCGTTCGTTGCACTTTGAATCTAGTAAAGAAAATGTTGCAAACTTCGTGAAATTCCGGACGGGTTTTTCAGAGGGTAGAGTACAAAGAAGTAAAAAAAATGAGTTTAATTCAATGCAATAAACAGATACATTTGGTCAGTCAGGTAGCGTGAAAGCTCAGCTCGTGGCAAATCATCTTACCCATTCATTTATGACTATACGCAACAACGTTTATTGATGACCATAATAAGATATGTAACTCTTTTTTATTTTTAGTGCGCCCAATCTGCCTTCTATAAAACACATCCAGTCACATTCCTTCGCAAAGTACATGGCTATGCCACTTGTCCATAAATAGATCCGTCTTATATTTGCTAAGTGCATGTTTTTGATTTTAGATTCCATTAGTTGCCGTAGACACGCATTACTATGGAAAGCAAGTCATAGCACCACTGAATATCGTTTTATATAATATATTTGGACAAGGTGGACCCGATTTATATGGTATGATAATACATGGCTCCTTTGTAGCTAATTCTACATATGGTACAAATTGGTACAGATATAATAACTGTTTATTGTTTCACCAATGAATTATTGAAGATTCCCCCATTGAAACTTGATATAGCTTGGTATTATGTTCTCCCAGATTTTTGTGAATTCTTCTGTTAAAATTGGAAGTTGAAGAAAAGCTAGACAGGTTTTGGATATTGTTTTTCCAAGGACGTATAAACAAGCATACCTTCGAATATGTCAAGAAAGCAGGAGCTAATGGCAAAGAATTTTTGGTAACAAAAAAGGATGTTTTTCAGTGGTAGAAGGACTGACATCAACGATAAGAGCCCTGAGAAAGTTCTTGTTATTTATGACCAATAACACAAGGGAAAGTTTTCAGAACTGAAACAAAATTTTTACTAAGGGCTAAAAGGACGATTTTGAGAAAAAGCCAGACGAAAGTGATATCTATCCATGGTGTTTTAGGAGGTTTTATGATAGAAACACCTGGAAGTAGTGATCACTTTTAGTAACCAATAAAGGCTGACTTAAGTATAGATTGTAATTCTGCTATCATTTTAAAAATGACAGAGGCAGCATTTTAATGACTGTCTTTTCTTCTCTTTCAGGTGTTGAGCCCTGGACGTTCTATTTCTTAAATGGATTTTTGAATTTTAATCTGGTTTTTGTACTGGCGTTAGTTTCTCTGCCTCTTTACGTATGTAGATTGCTAAATCAAAGTATTTTCTTGATTTAAATTGATACATACAATGAGCTATTGCAACGATAGATGCTGAATATCTAGAGGCATTTGTTCCTTTGACACGAATTTGGTCACAGCTCTCCCAAAGGAGTTGTATGAAACACATTCTTAAGGTATTTTTAAAAACGCTTTAGTGTTGCTAGAGCACAGTCAGACTTACATCGATCCAGATTCAACAAAGGACCAAAATCCATTTAAGAAGGACCTTGCAAAGAAAATAAAGATGACCCCCTTTTTTATAAACCCGCATGTACTAATCCAATTTCCAATATGATTAAAGCGAAGCCTTTTGATTTTTATAGGATTTTATTGAGTTTTTAACCCGCCTATTTAGCTTTTAATTTTTTCATTTCTTTAAACTCTACTTTTTTTTATAGAAAATCACATATGATCGTTTTATGTTATCCACTACTACCTTTGAGAATTGTCGAAATTTTAAAGCCTGAAAACTGCTTTTAAATTCTAGATTCTGGTGGATTTATTTCTCGGCTCTAAAACAAAAGGTAAGCTGGGGACCTGCATCTTTTGTTTCAAATATCATTTGTTCATGCGCGGATCTAGATTTCTTCGGATACTTTGGGGTAAAAGATGAATTGGGAGGGTGGAATCTCTGTCGAATCCTTGCGAAATTTAGAAATTGTGTGGGGGTTCAATTCATTATGTAAACAGAAGAACTGTGGCCAGTTGTTAAAAATTCAAGATTCACAGAGAAACATCGTAGCTCTTAGAATTTGACCGGTTTTTTGAAACCTGTGCAACCGGTCTGGATCCGCGCCTTCATTTGTCGCTTGAACGAGATATGTGAAAACGAGACGACGCAAACGTGCAAGAATATTTAATTGATTATTTTTCGATTCCGTATTTCTTCTCTATAATGTCTTGCCTTTCTCATGGCTGTGCTGAAGTTTTTGTCCAATTATTGTCCTTCTGCACGGTAAATGAGATTTCATATAAATGGTTAGTTATGACACATGATTGAAAGTTTTCTCTTGGTTTTCAGGTTCCGGATTTAGTATCCCAGCCTGGCTAGCATTATCACCCATGTATATTTGGTTCTTAGTCTTCTTTACAAGGCCTCACAAGGTATTCTTATATAGAACAGTTTTTTCGTGTTTTTACAGTAAAAAGTTCAAGGTATCGACGCTTGTAATGTCATGGGTATTCCCCGTTACAGAAGGGTGTCTGATTTTCCGTGGGTATTCTCCGTTATAGAAGGGTGTCTGATTTTCCATGGGTATTCTCCATTACAGAAGGGTGTCTGATTTTCCATGGGTATTCTCCATTACAGAAGGGTGTCTGATTTTCCATGGGTATTCTCCATTACAGAAGGGTGTCTGATTTTCCATGGGTATTCTCCATTACAGAAGGGTGTCTGATTTTCCATGGGTATTCTCCATTACAGAAAGGTGTCTGATTTTCCATGGGTATTCTCCATTATAGAAGGGTGTCTGATTTTCCATGGGTATTCTCCATTACAGAAGGGTGTCTGATTTTCCATGGGTATTCTCCGTTACAGAAGGGTGTCTGATTTTCCATGGGTATTCTCCATTACAGAAGGGTGTCTGATTTTCCATGGATATTCTCCATTACAGAAGGGTGTCTGATTTTCCATGGGTATTCTCCATTACAGAAGGGTGTCTGATTTTCCATGGGTATTCTTCATTACAGAAGGGTGTCTGATTTTCCATGGGTATTCTCCATTACAGAAGGGTGTCTTATTTTCCATGGGTATTCTCCGTTATAGAAGGGTGTCTGATTTTCCATGGGTGTTCTCCGTTACAGAAGGGTGTCTGATTTTCCATGGGTGTTCTCCGTTACAGAAGGGTGTCTGATTTTTGAATGTTACTTCTTCAAGGCTTTGGCTGCATGGAATTTTAGGGCAAGATATTTGTTCAATGTTTTCAATTTTTGACTTGAAGTGGTATTTATTAATATAAGTTTCAATGCGATTGATCTTGTGTCACCTGGTGAATTATTTTACCAATTGCCCCTTCCTTATTTGCAATACTTCTCCACTGTCAAGAGCATCTTAAGAGCCAATTGAAAGTTCTGAATCGAAGATAAAGTTCTGTGTTATGAGCGCTGACTCTGAGGTCGCTATAATGATTTAATGGAGAAGCTAGGCTTTGATTAACGAGCTCGTCACAATCAAAAAGAAAAGAACTGTCAAAATCTTTTACAAGATTTTATAAATATCAGGTTCTTGCTCAGAATCTTCATTAATAATTTTACAGGAATAGCCTGTACATTTTCCGAACTCGTAACCTTAATTAAGGCTGAAGTGTTTGACTTAGGATGGATTGATTGAATCGTTTGTAGGAAGAGCGGTTCTTGTTTCCAGTCTACCCATTCATCTGTCTCGCTGGATCTGTTACTCTATCACTCGTTCAGGTATATACTTGTTTATTTTCATTTTTTTTGAAGCATCACCATACAGTAGATCCCTGCAAAGATGAACATATGAGTCTAAGAACCTAAAGACTGCCAAAATTAGATGACCTTCCTCCAAACCTGCAATTTATGGCAACAACTTTCCGCATTTTAACGAAATGCAAAATTGCTAAAAAACTTAGCCATATTTTGAAAATACGAAATTATATAATCAGAGGTCTTCCAGTGATATTTTTGTGTTTCAGCGCAGCATCACGGTTCTTACCAAGTTTTTCAAAAACAAATTTTCCTGAAAAATAATTCCGCTTAAATTTTTTTCTCTTATTATTTAATTGACCTTTCTAGCCTGATTTTTTAACTTTCATTTATTTCGTAGTATAACCTCACTACTATCATGTGTTTGAGATTATTTTTGCTGGTTCTTAGTATTATTGGTGATTTTGTACAACATTTGAAAGAATAATAAGATTCTTTCAAACAGGGTTTGCAAGGTTTTTGCATCCTTTGCCAAAACAAATCTTCTGCAAGGGCGTGATCATCCGGGACTTTTCGTCCGCTCTAGTTACTTGACATCGCAAGCGTGCATGTTGTCTGTACTTATTCTTTTATTTAGTCCTGGTGTCTCTATAATAAATCCTTTTGCGTAAAAATTCCAAAGTTGTTCTTTGCTCTTTTAAACAGGAAATGTACCACAGGATATTCACAAGCACCAACAAGAAGCACTTTTCAATCTCTTCTAACTGGCTGGCTTGCACTTTCCTAATTGTCTTTTCATCACTATCTGTTTCAAGGTCACGAGCTCTGTATTTGGGTAAAGAACATTTGTTCACGTGTTTGTGAGAGTTTCATTTTTATTTTGATACAGAATTTTAAAATAGCTTTGAAAAAACAAACTATTAGAACATACTGAAGCTTTTCGTCTCAGAGTATAAAACGTCAGAACATGGATCAAAACACGACGCTAGAAAATATATATACCCAGTTGTGGAAAACCATTTTTAAAGTTTCGTTGATTGTTTCAGTTCGATTTAAATAGCGACAAATGATTTATATATTGTCAAAGTCTTAGGATGACAGTCAAATGCCAAAAAAATTTATTATCTGTACAAAGTTTGACTCTAGCCAAACCTGTCTGGTCTTGGGTTTCACACCAGATTATGTCAGCATAACCTTGTTTTGATATTTTCCACAAGACTGATAATAATTGCTTATAAATATCTTAGTAAACCTTTATTGTTAAGCAGAATTTATTAGAAGTAAATTCTCATGGAAAATTAGAATTTTTGTTTCAAACTTAAGGTTTTTTAGTTCAAGTCTCAAAGATCAAGGTCTATTATATGCAAAATCTGAAGGTCTAATTTTTTGCATTTTTTTCCAAAAAGGATATCACGCTCCTCTCGATGTGTATGCTGACCTTTTTAATGACGTTTTGCAAGAAGATGAAGGCCATTATCCGCCATTTAAAATTGACGACCAAGTGAACGTATGTGTAGGAAAAGAATGGTATCGGTTTCCAAGCAGTTTTTTTCTGCCATCTGACACGTGAGTAACTTTTCATTTTGATTTATTATAGAAATACAGTAAACAGCCAATGACTCTGCAAGCGGTAAGCAATTGTCCGTTCTGATGTGAAACTTATCTTAAAGAGTCCTTGGCGATTGACTAAACATAAAGACGAATCAATGATTTTTATGAAAGCCTGATAAATATGTAAAATATTCTAATATTCGGACTGGTCTTTGTTTCATGAAAATTGCTACTTGTGTATAATTGGCAGCGATTTTTGGACCGGTTTTAGATAGGTAGTAGGGTCTGTTTTTCTTTATTCTGTCGATTCAAAAACCGTTTTTCGATGTTTTTCCAAACATTAAAAAACACATCTTTTAATGCCAATGCATTTCAGTTTTATAGAATATAAAACATTTCACATCTTCGATCTACTTTCATGGTGGTATATATCAGTAATGTCAGGGTTTTGTGGACAACGAAGAAATAGAGAAATTTCAGTTAAGCCCTTCTTTTTTTCTACTCGTAGTCGAATTAAAACGTTATATTCCACGCATTTTTAGAGAAAAATGGCCATAGCATTTTGTTTCAAACTATTATACTCCCAAGAGCTGCATAGAATATTTATAGCTATACCCTCTTGGATGAAGTTTAACGAAGATTTGCTACTAAGGTGCCTTGCTTTTCAATAAAAGAGTCACTTTTTGCATTTCTTATACGCTTTTCATCGCCCCCGTCCCCCGTCAACTTATTGCTATGGTATGTATTCAATTATTCCTGCTCGCGTTGCCGCGTATCATTTTCCAAAGTGTAGGTTAAGATCTCGAGCAATCTCGCAGTTTTTCTATGGTTTTGCTGATGCTTTAAAACTCACCAAAGATCTTTGAATTCAGGTATTAACTTCAGCGAAATGAAAAGCCATCTGACTAGACTAATAACATGTATTTTTACAATTGTTGTTAATACTTCAAAACTGGAAAGAATGCACCCTGCACAATGTTTCTACAATAACTCACGTGCATTATTAACGAGTTTTTTTCTTTTGTTTCCTGTTGCAATAACATAACTGAATGTAAAAAAGGTAAATATTCGAATTAATGATTTAGGTACGTGTTCGCTGAAATAACATTAGTAAATCATGAAAAGAATTGATTGTTGAGGGCAAAGTATAACTTTCTAAGTGGCAGGTAAAGTTATCTGCATTAGAGTGTTGCAGCTGCATATACCTGCAAGCTTCATACTAATAAAATATCCGTAACTTTGAACAAATATTGTTCCAATTCAAAATTTATTTGTTACTCATCCAAAAGTTAAATTTTTCACTGTTCCAGTATTCCTTTGTTCCTTATCCAACTGACATATTCATCTATTCTCTTTCTTGCTTATTTTGGCTTAAGGCACGAATAGTATGCTACTGTACCTGCTTTTTCAATGAATAGTCCAATTTCGGTGAATAGTGACGATGAATCAGCTATAGACCAGAGGGTGGAAGGGGACCACCACCACCCGAGCGGAGAATTTATGAGATCAATCTATTCTAGATCAGTTTTTCGTGTAGATTCCGAATTTGGGTGTTGATCCCCCGTTTTAGGGGGCTTTTCAGAGATATAGGGGGTCTAAAGTCCGATTTTAGGGCTAATATAAATGTCAATAAAATATAGACAGGTCAGTTCTTTGATGATATCTATGCTTGTTGACTCTCATTTGGAAGTGAGGGGGCCATAGAAAACGAAACAGGAGTACAAAATACTGTAAATTCCACGAAAAACTGATTTTTCGCAACTGAATGGAGTACTGTAGCATGATCACATAGGGAAATGGCTGTTTGTACTCACCAGAAATGTCGCTTTCTCAGACATGTGTAATGACTGATATGGAGATTTTCACATAACTACAGCTTTATTGCTATGGATCAGAAAGGAAATGAGGCCCAAAAGCAAATCTTTATGAGAAGTACTTTAACACATGGTTTTGTGTCATAACCTAGGAATGTAACTTGTGTACTTCACTGCCTTAAACCATAATTACCTGATAACATTGAAGACCAGTGAGGGTGTAAAAGTGTATAGGTTTGGATTTTCTTTCAAATGACCTAAAAACTGCAATTTCATTGCTTACAAATTCATTATCATTTTCAATATTCTGTGATTAGAGCAAGAGTAAACTATGAAAGTAGTTAGAATATATGGCAAACAGAAAAAGAAGATGAGCTGTTCATTGCACTCATTTAGTCATTGAAGATCAGATCCCTTGCCCTTTAACGATATCGCCAGTGTTACCTGAACTTTACAAAGGCCGTATCTGTCTTTGCAAACAAAACGCAAAAGGGGAAGAAAGTAAGCAAAAAGGCATCTCCTTAAAAAAGAAAACAGTGACGAAAGCAAGCGCCTAATAGCAAGGGCCTATCAATGTTAATAAGGGGAAGAAGCAACAATTGAAACTTATATAAACTTTCATCATGTCGAACTCTGCAAAAAGCTCCAGCATTAAGAGAGGGTAAAGCTTTCCTGGTATAACAAGTACACAGTATTTTGTAGTAAGAAGTCGACTACCCTTACTTCTACAGCTGTCTACGATCCCACTAACGAAGTACTTGAAACAAGCGAAGAACAGTGTAAGCTGACTCTTTCCTGTGTGTTCATATATAACAAATCATGAACCGATCCGTCGCAATGAAGACTTTAACTGGAATGTATTGTTTCATTAACGAGAACAGCAGACTAAGTTAAAAAGGGGTTAGAAGCCGAGTTCGGTGATAGTATCCCCTTCCTCGCTGTCTCGTGAAGCTCAGGTCCTTAGAAGTATGAGGCACATATAAATACCACAGTTACCAGCCTTATGAAGAACAGAAAAGAGGAGATAGGCAATTTGCTTTGTTGTTGATTTGGTTGCCACCATTCGATCTACAGTTAGAATACCGGACACTTTCAGGAGGCTTGCAACAAAGTTGCTGAATGAATTACGGAATCAATACAACTGTGTATATATTGCATTCGAACATGCCGATTGGTTCATCAAGAATGCAGAGAACCATTTCTTCATCAAATCGCCAAACAAAAAAATTCCTCCTAACTTCGTTGCGTTTCTGAGGAAAAGACAGAATAAAGAGCGGTTGTTTGAGTTGGTTAAAGAAGTCTGGGTTCGTCAAGGCTGTCATTTAGGGAACAGAGTGATCAATTTTTCTCGCAAAGAGAAAAATATATATAGATATCGCTGCATAAATATCACTAGCTTAAATTTGCTTCCTTCTACATCATGCTCTCCAACAAAACGAAGGTCGAGAAACGATTTGCGTTCTTGTTTTGGAGATATATAATATATTAACATCCTTGTTATCTTGCTTGCTAGGCAGGAACCTCATTTCTAAATATTTATTGATAGTGGGACAGGTAAAAATAGAAAAATCTTCGCTCTAGCTGCTTGTGAATTATCGGCCTTTCAAAAAGAAGCCCCGATTGGCTAGCATGCATTTAGTGAAAATGACTATATTTCGTTATTTCCATGTACGAAGAGTGTGTACATGAAGTGGGGCTGCTCGATGTCCGGGAACGCAGGTAGGTAGATGGATAGATAGGTAGGTATGTAGCTAGGTAAATAGGTAGGTAGAAAGAGAGATAGGGAGGTAGGTAGGTAAGTAGATAGGGAGGAAGGTAGAAAGGGAGGTAGGTAGGTAGGTATTTTTTAGAAAAAGTTGGAAGCTTATGCAAGGCACAAAAGCATTCGTCACAACTTTCGCAAAGCTAGGGGCATCAAGTAATCCTACAAATTATGTAATTGGGGGGTATTGAAAGGTTTACGTGTGCGTTGTTTGGAGAAAAGAGATTATCCTCTGTTCATGATATTCAACGGAAAAATTTTTGGAAAAATTTTTCAAGGGGTCAAAAATCACAGACTTCTCTTTGCAGCCACCATGCAAAAACAGCCTTTTAAGATACATCAAGCGTTGCAAATTACATTGCACATATGTGCAGACAAGCCTCTCAACCAATGATAGAGCAAGAAGGCTCAAGTACACCACGTGTGGAAAGGTGACTTTTCTAATTCTGTTTAATGAATTTTTTTCGTAAAATCCAGAGGATGTTCGAAACTACTAGTGGAGGCTGACGATCTTGTAGAAGTTGAAGACTTTAAGAAGAGGCATTGATATGTTTGAGGATAAGGATGAAGATGAATAATTTTTGGGTAGACTTGATAGTATTCAAATATATTGTAACAGTAATGTTTTCTTTGGAAAAAATTTAATTTTTTACACCTCCCTTAACCCTTAATTCTAAATATAGAAAAACACTTTCAAATATCAGCCAACAATCATAGATATAGTCAAAGAACATATCTATCTTTATCTTATTGAAATTTATTGAGGAAACCAAATTTGTAGCAATTAACCCCAAAATTTGTCTTTAGACCCCCCATATCTCGGGAAAGCCCCCTTAAACCGTTGATCAACACCCAAATTCGGAATCTACACGAAAAACTGATCTAGAATAGATTGATCTCATAAATTCTCCGCTCGGGTGGTGGTGGTCCCCTTCCACCCTCTGGTCTACTACTTTTGAATTATAAATCAAACGTGCCATTAAAGCTTAGCTCGCCCATATGGCCTTAGCACACAAAAGGAGAGCCAAGAGCATTTTTGGCGGTATTGTAGAAGAATAGCTTGCGATGTAATACAAATAACATTTTGTTTGTAAAAACTGCCGTTTTATAATTTCCAATCGAATAGAATAAGGTAGAATAAGGGTTTATTCTACCCTTGGTGATAAAATGATAGTTGACTGATTTTCTGTTCTGATGTGTTACCATGCTGATATCCTGATAATCAAAATATATTGAGCAAGGTTTGTTTGTGGAAAAATTTGCTTCTTTAAGTTTGACGATGTTTTTTTATATCTTGAGGATTTCTTTAATTTTGACCGCGCTCTTCCAATAATACTTTCCTCCGTTTTAGCTGGAACCTTCAGTTCATCAAGTCAGATTTTGCTGGGCAGCTGCCACAACAATATAGTAAGGAGCCAGGCGCAACGAAACTCATCCCTTCTTACATGAACGACAGAAATCTTGAAGAACCAAGCAGATACGTAAGCGCGAATCTATTTATAGACATGCTTTTTGCTATCCCGATTTTTTCTAATGCCGCAAATACTCGAATTAGCCCCCCCCCCCCCACTTGAGTAAGCCCCCATGTAGAACTTTCCCGATATAAATAAGCCCCCGGGGGTGAACCTAGGGAGAATCCAGAATTTCAGGAAATCGGTAGAGGCAATTGTATCTCATACTGTCTATTCACTAGCTGAAAAGATGATGGAATTCACTGAAGGCTTTTGATAGATCACTTGCCTGTCGTAAGAACTTTGAGTCAAAACTTTTATCCCAAAGGATATTTTTAATTCCGCCGCAAAATATGATGTACAAGATTCTTTCTTTTTGACAACTTCAACAGCAATGATAAATTTTTTGATGTAGTGAAAAAGTGTTAAATAGAATATTCGACAAAAATTCAGAACTGTTTGATCTCAGGGCAGGAGTTAAAATTCAAGTTTTAGGGCGAAAACTGCTCCCTCAGAAAAACATGCCGTAGACATAAGCAATTTAATAGTGAGGCTACATTCCCACATCACTGAGAGCGAGTTGGGCCGTTGGTGCGTGAGCGCATATCGCTCAACCTACCATAAACCTCTAACAGGAAGGGGTTACTAAGGCAAGCTACGCAAACACTCCAAATGTAAATGATTTAAGGCAAGAAATGGACAAGAAATACCCCCTTCCTTCTACTATAATCCGATGCTCCAGTCCTACCTAAAAACACCAAACGTCAAATAACATAAAAGATACGTAGAGGTATAAGAAGGTTTCACGATGACGGAAAAAGGAACTAAAACGGTCAGAGTTATACCGAAAAGACGAATTATCATATAAAAACAACGAGGGAGGTCGGGTTTTGAGAGAACGAGCAGGACTTTTGTAATAAAGCGTCACCGAGCAAAGTGAGATCCACGTTATTCCGGATCCTTAAAAACCCCTAGTTCAACCAAGGAAATAGAAATCTTACGAAACTACACACCTTAACATAGTATGTAATTTTCACGGAATTTTTATTTTGAGCCCAATACTAAGTACGAAAATGGAGGCAATTCTCTGTGAAAACTCTAGACCAAAGGATAGTGCCTTAGGTAGAAAATGGCGATCTGCCGGGATGGTTAGGACTTGTGGTTAAAACTATCACCCTTTTCAAAGAAGTTGCGATCATACCACAAAGCCATCAATTTATCTATTTGTTCTTTGTTTATCTTCTTTCCAGTCATACTGTAGCAGTGAACTGTAAAAGTGTGTCATATCCTTACTGCCTTACTGTTAAAAGTAAGGGACAGTCTATCAGTGAATTTCATTCATATGAACAGATGCGATGTTTCCACGAATATTTATTCAATAAATATAAATTTGTTTTAGGTTAATATAAGCCAATGTGACTTACTTGTTGATCTGGCAGTAAACAGCACATCGCCCAAGGAGCCGAATTTCTCTCTGCATAGTAAGCACTGGGATATCATCTACAGCAAACGATTTCTTGATGCAAGCAGGTAGGTCTTTAAAAAGCTGAATTTCTTTCTTTTACAAACTTCATGCAAGATTTATCAAGTGTGTGAACATCTAGGGATGATTCCCAAATTTAGATTTTTGAAGCTAGGATAATTTACTGTTTGAACTTGGCTGGAAAAACTATGTTAAACTCAGTTCATGAGAACTATAGAATCCTTGAGGGCTATAAAAAAATGTTGATGAAACCTTGTGTCACTGTTGTACGTTTTCCTTAATTGTTATATTTTATTGTTAATTGTGGATTCATTTTTTTTCTTTCATTTGAAAAGTATTCACTGTCTGACCGCTGCGTCTTGCATTACTAAGATTAAAAAGAATCTAAGCGATAGAAATAATTTATTTGCTGAAAATTGTCCAGAAAACAGTAAAAGTATTTTTTAAGCCATATATGTTTGAAAATATCTTGTTTAATTTATTTATATTTTGAATCTGTTTAAAAATGTTTTTTAGTTCGTATAGTTAATAAATGTTTGTGATCTTATGAATTATGATATATTTAATTATAAGGACTCTAACTTTGATTGAAATAATCGTCAGAAGAAAGCCATCTCTTTTAAAATGTTTTATTTAACTTCAAAACATTTAGCACTTGCTGTCTGTACGTTTCCTTGACTCTTTAAAGGCCACTGTATGAAATTAAAATGGCCTAAACATGCTATTTCAGTCCAAAATAAGCACATTCGGTGTTTGAAAGCCAAACAGAGAGCTCAGAACTTGACCCTTAGAATTCTCTTAAAAACGACAATGCTTTAACCTGAACTCTGGCCCTAAAATAAATGCCAAAATTTGTGTTCTAGATCGTCATCATTCTACAGAGCATTCAACATTCCTTTCTTGTCAGAAAAGTACACAGAATTTGTAAGTTACAATATACTAAAAACGAAGAGAAAAAGAAAGAAAATTAGAAATCTAAACAGAGATAACTTTCGTTGATTTTATTTCTGAAAATCAAATGAAGAGGTTTTTGTAAAGATATTATTTACTTTACAAGTTTGTGTGTTATTAGAAAATTCTTATGCCTGCCTTTTTTCTTCTTTCAATCTGTACTTTATCTTGTTCTGCAAATCAGGTTGGCCCCAATATGCCTAACGAGTAAATTATATTATTCGCGCATTTTCCTCAAAAATCGATCTTAGTAGTTGTTGATTCATAAACTGTGCGCGCCTTTCTTTGCCTATTTTACTTTCTTGGAAAACGGCTGTAAGTTTGGAGACCTCGGAGAAGTTACTACAGGCGAGGATACGGAGAGCGTTGGTGATAATTTTCAAGCAATAATACTAAATCTCAAACAAACACGGAGTTACGCATCGGTTGTATGTATTTAGGCCTTACATTTTGAATATTTTGTTAGAATACCGTAAAATTGGAGAGCTAATAAAGAAAATAGTGCCAGAACGTAAGTGACCGGTTTTTTCAGATATAAAGCTGTTCAGAAACTTCGTTTTTTGCAAGCCATAATAAAGAAGCTCCTTTGTCAGCTGTGTTTTCTTCAAATTAACTGTATTGTCAGAGGTATTCCGCGAATAATTACTGTATTGCAAGAGATCTTTTGATCGGAATTCCGAAATATTATGTTTGGAAAGTGTCTTAAAGGGCATATGTCGCATTAGCAATTGGCTAATAAAACAAAAGCGTTTGGAGTGGAATTTCATTGTTTCGTGACCTTTCATTTCTTCTTAATTAATTTTAAGTGTCGTAAAAATTGACCCTCGATTCCATGCTTTGTACTAAACAAAAGATATAATTGTATTGCAATAGCCAATCATGTTCACGACACTTGCCCTTTAAGGTTTTTTAAAAGCTAGAAATACGACAGGGTAGAACTATTGCCGAGCTAACAATAGTTCACTGGTCGTCTTTGGGAAAGGCGCCTCGCTTATGAAACTGTCAATGGAGCTTGCCGGGTTTTCTTTCGTAGTAAACTGTCCGTTATTTTCTTACTCTTTCTGAAATCAGTAGCGATTTTGCAAGGCCTTTTTGCCTAATTTTTATTGTTGCAGGGAGGCTTTCCAGTTTTAAAATAGAAATTGCTGATATCCGTTAGTTTTTACTGTAATCACAAAGTGCTTGTTTGGCAGCTGCTTATCAAACCAATCAACAAGAAATTTAGTTGTTAATATGTGTGCGCTTCGAGTTTTGTTTAAACACATGCACAAAATTCAGATGTTTTCTTGAGAAATTGTACATAAAGCAAATTGTTGTGTGATGCTAGGGATGTGGTAAGCACCTGCTAGCCAACACATTACCGCAAGTTGGTTTTAGAGGAGAAGAAACTCAATGAAACTAAAAGCAATCAAATCTAAGGCATTAGACTGCTTTCTAATTTTCCCTTCACAGCTTCATAAAATAAATCAGTAAGTACGTTAAAATACTTTGTGATTAAGGAAGTCGTAGCAGTGATTCTGAGCATTGTATCTAATTTTTATGTTTAGCGTCTTGTGACTTTAAATTGTACTTACGGATTGCTGAAACTACTTTGTCAAAGCCTGAGAAGATGACAGATTGGTGATTATTCAAATTTAATTTTCAATTATGGCGTTCTGTCCCCCACAACAACCAAGTCACAGACATTGGTTTTGTACAGTGCCATCTGTGCTATTTCTTCCTCTTTAGCGAATCCACTAAGTGTTAAAATGGGATGGATGTTCGAAGGGCAAGCCACAGTTTCGACTGGGCACTAGGTAATGATATCAGATTGGAACTTCAATCTTTGTATTGTACAAGTTTGCTCTTCATGCATGTAGTTTAGATCAATTAACGCTGGTACCTAGTTGTAAGAAAGAGTTTAAGTTGTGAGTCTGGAGGGATTCTCGAATCAAACTAAGTTTCATTAATTTCCATTATTTGTTATAATTTCCTATAAACATCTTGATATTTTATCATAGGTGGAAAAATGTCAAATTATGCTAACAGATTATCTTTGAAAGAGGAAATATTCTATGTTAGGAGTAGATTATCAACATGATCAGGCTAATAATAGTTATCAACACCGTATTGCTGGAAGTAAGGGAAGGCAGGGGTGGATCCAGGATTTTTGGTGACTGGGATTGGGACCACGCCCTTCTTGTTTATGGGACACGCCCACTAGATGGGCAAATGCTACAACCATGTGTGTTTGTAGTCGCTTCGTATTCGTATTCCTTCGAATTTCTCTTTTCTATTTCCAAGGACGCCGGAGAAGGGGTGTGGGAGGTCAACCGCCCCTTTTGTCCTTTGATAGAAGAGGCAAGGGGGTCAGACTGTCCTTTTTCATAAATTACCCTTGAAAGAGGCCAATTGTAATAATCAGAGAGATTCATATGAAATTCTGAACTTCTCAAAACTTGTGAAATAATTCCTTATGCCGAAAGTTAGCCAATGTTCAAGATACCTACAGAAGATCGAAATCAAATTGCAGTTACGTAGCAATTTGTAGAAGCTGAGAATTATCTTTCAAATGCCCTTTTACTCAAGCCTGCCCCCCCCCCTTGCCGCTTGGTCGTTCCGCCGTCCCTGTCTATTTCCTAGTAGGTCCTTGCCTTTGAAGATACATTACAAGGGACACAGGTTGTACTCATATTCTATTGGTTAAAAGGCCATTTTCAAATCTGACTATAGCTTCACTATAGCTCGCGCCAAAAATTGTAGCACGGATTTCATTGTCTTACGTGCCTTTTCCAGAGCAAATTCCCAGACCAACTATAGCTCGGAATATCCACTATAGCTCAATTATGGATGGTTACTGTCAACAAAGAACGGAACTTCTGATTCGTCTAAGTTTTACTATTAGACAATTCTGCGCTCAGTGTTTTACAAACGTTGATAGGTAGCAGAGAAAGATTAAACACTTGGAAAATCAAACACGGAGATTCTGACTATAGCTCGAGCTACAGTTGCTATAGTCTGGATCCGTTCCTGGAAAGTGCCTGAAAGAAGTGACCAGAAACCTATAGTACAAGGAGCGACAAAAATGTTTAATACAAGGAACATAAAAAATTTACTTAGTTTTGAAAAACCTTAAGATATTATCGTGGTTTTACAGTAGTATTTGTTAAATCAAAAATTTAATCGTTTTAAAATATGGTTAGGCCAAAAGTAGAAAAGAAATTGGCTTGATTCAAATCAAATTTGGAATCGAAAAATGTTTACAAACGCGGATTCAAATTATCAATTCTTGCAAATTTAGAAAGGTTTTAGCTAATGCTATATTTTTTCGTTGGTTTTTGTACTTTTAAAGTACGTTCTTGCGTACTTCTTGTGCTGTTGTCGCTGCAAAGGCGCTATGAACTAAATGATCACGGAACAGCCACAGGTTGCTCGATTCAGTTTATACATGCAACTTGAAAACTGTGCATCCGGTTCACTTCTGTGAGCTATGTTCAATTTTATTGAAAGTTTTGCCTGAATAATTAATAATCTGATTTCAGATGAAAGTCTGGGAGTGAAGCGAAGGGCAGCTGCATTTGTTTTAATTGCCTATTGCACATTGTCTGGTTTTTGTTCGTTTGAGTCGTAAAACTGCAATGCGTTTTTCACCGTCGAAACCTGCATAAATCCGGAAAAATACCACACAAAAAAGAAACGAAGTGTTTGCCTTGCGACTAGCGATGCTTCTGCCCGATTTCAAGGAAGTCGATGCCCCAATAAAGGTATTTATTTGTTTATATTCTGCTTGAGCAGCGTTTGCTACCTCGGAGAAATATTTCTTGCCAGAAATCTTCGTTTGTACACTTTATATTCTAGATAGATTTTAGGTAAATCAGATACAACTATATTTTTACTGATGTAGAATGGGATCTGGTAACTAAAATACAACTCCGTCTACTCCAGCTTTGTGATTATAGTGCACATAAAAAGTTAGTAATTCTGTGAAACTGTACGTATTCACAACTCCCATTGTTTAAAGCTTTCGCAAAGTCCTTTCAACAAAATCTCAAAAATGGATTAAAGATTATTACTATTCTATTCCTTATACGCTACCAGGCCTAACCGTTCCGCAGACAATACTCGCTTAAAATTGCTGTGAATTCTCCAATTAGCCGCAAAGCTAAATGTTTTTAGATAGAACTTAAACGAGGTTGGAAGCTTATAAAAATTTATTTGAAGCTCTTTTAGAAAGATTCTTTGTAAACTTTCTGAAGGCACTTCGATAGACAAAACGCCTTGCCTTATCTTGCCAAAACAAAAACAATATTGATAAAAAAGACATTTAAAATGCTTCGTTTATTTTACTTTCTCGTTTGGATTTGCTTTTTTCATGGACTAAAAATTGGTATGTAAGGCTACTTCAAATTGTTCACTTCAAGGTTAGGGGCTAATGCGAAAAGGACTTGTACGGGGCATGGTTGCTTATTCGAGGAGTTACAGTGTGATAGAACACTGAGCCTGTTTTTAATTTTCTGCTCCTCAGACAAAGCTACGTGTGTTCGAATTTCATAAACTGCATTGTTGGCTACAAAAGCACATTACATTGCTAGAGGAGGGGGGTGGGGTGATAGAAAAGGTCTCTATTAGCATCAATGATAAATTCTTGATTTAATATATAGAATTAAGTTTCTGATAAACATGAATTTAAAAGAGATCTGGTTTAAGTCCATTCGATTTCTGCTACTGTCATTTCAGTTAAGAGTGTTTTGACCACGTCTACAAATAACCTAGCTTGACCAAATGATATTTGATTGAATATAGTTGCAGTCCTCTACATCGTTTTATGTGACGCTTAAGCATCACCTTCCTCAGTTTGAACATTTGTTTTAGAACACACTTAGCATGTGATGAGTATAAATCGTGTAATTGAATATTTGTTATTATATTGTTACATACTTATGGTATTAACATACGTATTTTCAAGACAATCAATTCAAGCCTACAGTTGGTAGAGAAGCTAGAAGAAATGCAAATTCACAGTAAAGAGGTAATTTTAAAAAGTTTTGATCGTCAAATAAAGACACTTACCAATATAAAGTAAGTTGTTTCGAGGTTTAAATTTAGCTAGAAGTTACTAAAGGCTAGTATATAAAGCGAAATGAGATCTTTTATAGTAACTTTTTGCTGCTCTGTTTCAAACATCAAGTTAGTTGTTTGTTGTTTGCAGTTGAATGCGGTTGCGCATTCATTGTTTCTCAAACTATCCAGAGCATCGTCATTAGGCACGTAAATAATAGGGGGCGTGGATGGCATGACGCCCCCCCCCCCAAAGGTTGAAAAATCCAAATGCAGTTGGGAAACATAAAAGTTCACTTGGAATTTTTTCTAACTATTATGACCAAATTTGTGAATTTTATAGCCTAAGATTTTTGGATTTTAAATGTAAAAATCTTAGACTTTATTAAAATTAAAACTCTGGAGCAAGCACATCTTCTAATCGTTTTTAATTGTGAAGCACTGTCTCCACTGGATCTCAAATTGCACCATTGCATCGTTTGTTTCCTTTTTGACATGGGTTAATTTGAATTAAAATATTTTGAACAGGCAAGGTGAAGTTTAAATTTTACCATCAGTATTGATTGAGCCTGAAGTTCTGAAAAATCATTCCCTGTATTGATCAGAACAATTGAAAGTGGGAATTTTTTAAGAAACAACGAGTAGCCAATTCAATTGAAAACATTAAAAATCTTTCATTGCTAGAAATTCTTAACGCTTCTTAACGCGTGTATGCTAAGCTCCCCCTGCACTTTGTAGACCTCCTTGAATCTGATCATAGATTACTGTGATAAAGCTAATGATAAGCACAAAACATTGATCAAAGAAGCTGCAGCAGAAGTATTTGATCAAAAAAGAGTGTTTTATCTTACGAATCGGGCATATGCACTTGCCCTCAGATCACCCTTTTCAGTTCCAAAAAACAAAGGACATTTAGCTCTTTGAAAATTGTAAAAAATTTCCTTCGATCAAGAACAAAAGATGAAAAGGTATATTTCTTGATGCTTCTATATTGTGAAAAATATATTTTATATAAAACTGATCTGCAGCAAATAGCTTTAAGATGGGCAAAGCAGAAAATGAACAGAATTGCTGTTAACTGACTTGAAAGAATATTACTTTTTATCATTAAACATATCCAAGATCTAGACTGGTATGGCTTTGATGTTGCTTAACATCTTACGAAAAGGTTAAATGTTCGTGTTACGTTAATCGAATTTTAGAGATTCCCTATATCTTCTTTAGTGTTTTGATGCTTAAGACTAATTATTATAAGTAAAATGTTGGTAATTATACAGAACCTTAAAATCTGGAATAAGCCATGAGGCTATTTCTAAATCAATTTAGTAGGTACAGAAGATTTACAGGTCGAAAGAAAAAATTCATCAGGTAAAGTTGGAATTCTCAACCTTCCACAACCCCCCAAAATTAGCCACTTGTTTATGTCCCTGGTCATTTTAATGGATTATACGCTTTTGGCCTGTTGTCTCAAAATATTATCAATATCTGTTGTTCTGTCACAGTATTTCTGATACCTGCGATCTGAACAATTTTTATGCCAACTGTTTTTTAGGAATTTCCAGATGTAATTGCGTTAAATGTTGGAGGTATCATTTTCACGACGACTAAGGGAACTTTGCTAGGAGATCCAAACTCGATGTTGGCAGCGCTATTTAGTGGGCGTTACAAGGTGCCACGTGACCCTGATGGAAGATTTTTCATTGATAGAGATGGCAGTCACTTTGAATACATTCTTGCGTACTTACGAGGAGAGCGAAATCTCCCTCCAGCCCATGTTGCATTAAAGGTGATTTTCAATTTCTTGCGAAGTACTTGTAGATTTTTTGGTCGCAGACTTTTAGCACTTGACTTCTTTTTATAGAAACGTGTTCTTTTAAAGTGATGTTTTATGAAAAGGGGTGTTACATCAGAGGTGCCATGGAGGGGACTCGGGAGGCTTAACCCCTTTTGTCAAAACTCCAAGAGATTTTGGGAAGGCTCAGGTCCTTAATTGACAATTTGAACTAGCCCCTTATCATGGTGTTCATTTCCCATTTAATGAGCAGTTTCTACCAGCCTTTTTAATTGGGTATATACAGAGCCGTCGAGAGGCAGCTCGGGCCCAGGGGTGATTCACAAAACTGGACCCTCTTGAGAAAATTTCCTGTGGCCACCACGCCCATCAGTCTCCCGGAGAACAAAGGAAACACCCTTTTTAGGTACAATTGTTGAAAATTTTTTTAAGGATTTTTACAAGAATGTGGAAAAACCTTTTACATGAATCAAGGACATGTGGGCATTTTTCTGCGATTAACATACAGGCGTTAATTACGTATAAGTAGCTGAAATAGTAGCTTTTTAAATAGATCTTGTTACTTTATTACGGGCCCCATCGGAGCACGGGTCCCGGACCTTTTGCCCCTCCTAACCCCCCCCCCCAATTAACGCCCCTGGGTATATAGGTTGAATAAAAAGGCAAATAGTTTGAATGATTTCATATAGACGAACGATCTTTGACACAAATCCAAGCCCTTTTGATGTGACCATGGGTGTGGTCTTGGTGTAACTTCTAATAATGCATACAACACAGCCTCCTCCTAAATTTTTAGGGCAGCACCCCTGTTTAGCATGTGTTATGAAGCGCAGAAGAAAAGCCCAGAAGTTAGAATCTGCTGTTGTTTCAAACGTTTGTTACAGTGGTAGAGGAAATTATCAAAATACAACTGTCCTAACAACAGGTGTTAAACAAGTCGATTTCTGGTAGCAATTATGCATAATGCTATTATATGTTCTCAGACAACTTTTCTTATTTGATCTGATAATGATATAATGGTCAAAACTCAAGTTTGCAACTGAAATCTGGCTTGCTCTGCAAACTTGAAGTATGACCACTTAAACTTTCACCAGCTTTGATAATCTAACTTCACAGCTGTGGTAACATATGCTTACGATTGTCACGGTAGATTCATTTTCTCAACATTATAAGTTTATCGTTACTTCTGCAAAAAGAAATTTTCAACTTGCTTTCATTGCCTTACCATCAGAAACCGAGCGCTTTAATGACCAAAGAATTAATAAACTGCAGTACAGATCAACCACAACGTCAAACTGCTAGAACATCTTTATTTTAAAGAAAGTATTTCTTGTGACTTATTAAGCGCTCTATTTCATGTGTATATCATGCACTTTTTGTGTTTCTAACGTCAGGCAGTTAAGAAACTTAGTAGCAAAAGTAATTAGTGCTTATGCCTGGTGGCGTAGATAGAGGGGGTCAGATGGGGTGAACACCCCCCCCCCCAAAGGTAAAGCCAAACTGTTATTTTGTCGGAAAATTTCTGATCTTGTCGGAAATATAGCATAATTGTCTTTTTTTTTGTCTAAGTGAGAGGAAAGGTTTTAAATATAAATATAATGATTTCTGCCGTTGTTCTGAATCAAACTGGAAATCTCTTTCAATTAGGTATTTCACTATAAAATGTCTTTTTAGAGGAGAAGAACATAAAATCTCCCGTTTTGATTCACTTTTGATGTCGTCATGTTTCGCTCAAATCTATGGAAAAGGAAATGCTTAACAGACTTATGTCGGAAAATTAGAATTTCTAATCCTTTCTATGAATTTTCCTTTCAAAGCCACTGCTGATGTCTAGCATTGTTTCTAATAAAAAATTAGTGTGTAATTCGTACAAATTTCCTGATAACCAAAATATTTAGTTTTTTTTCATTTGCTAACGTAATGTAAAGTTCAAAAAATATGATAACTATGCTGATGGTAATGTCTTCGAGAAACTATCTCAGTAAACTTCTAAATTTTGCTTACATAAAATGGATAAAGTTTTACATGATGGACTAGAATTTTGAAGGATGTATTCTAAAATCATGTATTTAGTCTCCATGTCTATTAAAGACATGATGGGTATTTGATAAAGGATAAGAGTGTTTTTGGTCTGGTGGTTTCTTCTAATGAAATTTCAGCATTTTCCTGGAATTCAGTAGCTTTGTGTTTGGTATCAGGAAAAATTTATTCTCATCTTTATCGCATATTGTCCAGCTGAATGAAATATATTATATTAACTCTTTCCTTTTTGTTGTTCAAGGTGCTAGAAGACGCGGAATACTTTCAGATAGAAGGCCTAATCGATGCTTTACAGATCTATCCAAATGTGTTCAGAGCAAAGCTTTTGAATACAAGAAACGAGCGCTTCCAAACTGACAGGTGGAAGCGAGAGCTTGTACGAAACTGTCAAAATGCCTGTTTACAGAGTTTGTCTACTACGTCAAAGATCCTCTTTGTAGGCGAACACGATCTAGAAATATTGCACGATGAACCATCATGCGTTGGAAACCAGCACTCATTGGTAGTGACAAAACACCTTAGCTGTGGACCCAAGTATTATCACGAGGATTTTGAATATCTAATGGACCGGTTGCGGAATCCGCATTGCATTATAGAAGGGTTAGGACAAACTGATATGGAAGCATTTGTTTCACACTTGAAGAGCCAGTTAACTGATGAAGGATATAACTATTTTTTAATGGAAGAGTCAGCCTGCTGCAGAAACAGTTGCGACCTTAATTTGAAGTACTATTTCCTGGAGATAAATTGGAAATGAAAGAGCCTGAGATCCAGATATATCGAATATACGAATGGTTCCCCGTTTACCATTACTCAGTGGGTATACCCGCGAGAATATGAACGGGGTCTTTATACTGAGAACCTCTGATTCCAAATACTGGCATCATTAAAGCTTTACATTAGTGTATATATACAAATGTCATGTTTCCAAAAATTCTCATAATAGTATCCTCGAGGTCCTTTGATATCCCCAACTTTAATCTTAGATGTGTTATACCAACTGATCGATAGATATAAACCTTCGAAAATTTGCGTAGAACCACATAGGCCCTAAGACTTAACTTTTTTATGCGTTGTAAATTTGTGTTTAAATAGAAGCTGTTGTTTTCTTACTTTGTGATATATGCCAAAAGATACACGGCATTACACCCGAATGTCTTACGTTAACATAACATCACCAAGCTATCCAGCATATCAACATAGAGATTATTTAATGCAGAGGACATGGAATGAAATTTGCTGGGAATTATTGCGTTCATGCAACACGCGGCCAAAACATATTCACTACCTATGTTCATACAATACCTCTTGGCACTGGATATAAATCCAGCAAACATAAGGTCACAATGTCTTACTTACAAAAGCAAAGCGCACATGTAAGCTGCAGATGGGCCTATGGTCACTTTGTATCAAAGTACACATTCTCGACAATGTATATGACATTTCAGTGCCTAATTTTACTCATTGTTTCATGCAAGCCTAAAAGGTTAGTAAAACAGTCTAGTTGAAATTGAAGTAGCTTGATAGTCCATCATTAAGGGCTTTCCATTATTTGGAGATTTCCCTTGGTGATAGGTGAATAAATGTTAATGTTAGAATAATAAATATTAGATTAAAGATGAATGTTTTTTATAAAAGTTGTACAAAGCATATCAAAATTGAAGTATGTATCTTACTTTAGTTATATGATCATTCTATCGATAAAAATGTTTTCTTTGGTAAAAAAATTTGCTATGGTAGTTGCATTTTTATATGATAGTAGCATTTATGTTTAAAGATCCGTTTTTGCAAAACTTCGACCCATTATGCAGCAATTGCAAACTCGAAAGCGCCATTGTTTAATGGTCGAAGCCCCTTACATAAAGAGCCATACCTGACTAAGAGGGCTGTTTGAATATGGGCCATTAAGACCTCGCAAACTTTCCAGCCTGTTGTCAGAAACTGTTGTATCCTTTAATAGAGAAAGATCTCACTCGCAGAGGCATTAGCTATGAAGGCTTATTACCCGAGGAATTATTACAGGGGGTCATTGAATCAAATAGGGGGATGGTAAAAATTAATGAAAGTTTTCATGCAAATGGCTTGTTTTGAAAGTTTTTCATTCTTTCAATATAACTGCCAGAATTTATTAACCCTGGCTAAAATGTGGCAAAATACGCTTCGTTTAATTAGCTTTTTCTTAAACCCAAATAGAGTTTCATTAATATGTTACCGTGAAGCTCTATATAGGCTGGGGGCTTATGAACGATTATTCCCTCCAGGATGGGGGCTAATTTGAAGCGTGAGGGTGGGTGGAGGGTTTAAAGCAATGTTGTCTAAACATGACGATAGTGTTTCAAGACGATTTTCAAATTTGGTTCGTAGAAGCAATTGAAGTAACATTGGGGTTGCAGAATACTTGAAATCAATTTTATTCACAGGAGGATTAAACAACAACGGCTAAAAATTCATTCGAAAGGCAAATTATCAGGTCCAATTTGAAGTTACCGAGAATTGCATCATTTTTCGTGTTTCGTACCTTCTCAAGAGATTGCTATTTAATTCCAACAATGAACTGCATGCCAAAGAGGGTCCCGAGAGGTCTGGAAGATTCTGTTTCAGATGGCCTATTTCGTAAACTCAATTTAGGGCTAGAGTTCAATTTAACTTAGTCTTATGCTTGCGGATCAAATTTTGAAGGCAATAGAAGTGCAACAGGAACAGTAGTGACTGACCAAGACATAAAAATCCATTCAACGTCAGAATTGGTATAGGTATGTCTCACTTGACATATTTGAAGCCCTAAACTTTTTGTAGAAGTAGCTTTGTGTACATGCTTCGAGAGTTGGCGCTTCCAAAAGTTCAGCGGTTCAACCCTTTTGGGGAATTTGTAAACGATTCATCGAAAAAAATTCTCCTTGGTATTCAGGGTAGCGTTGCATACAGAAATGCGACCTTCATAAAAGACTTCAAGAAATGTTGGTCAATATACTCCATTTCAGTATCACTTTAGCCAAAATAAAATCATTTAGAAAGGATTTTTTGGTATAGCATAATCAATATATTGCTGTCTGAATAAATAGGCTTTGAAAGGTTTCGGGAAAATTAGAGAAATGGGGATACAGGGCACAGAGAGGATGTAACTATCTAATATAAAACACACGTTATCAGTGTTCTTTCAAAAGTAATATGATCACAGCCATGCCATTCAATGCCAAAATAGAAGCATGCAAAAGTATACTGTACATTCGAACACTGTAATCGTCAGGACATACATACAAGCACCTGTTAGAATATGAACATCCATAACAACGACAGACTTTAGTAAAACACAATTTAATAGAAACCGCCATATCATGAACAAACTTAATGAAGGACACCCCAAATGGAAACTTCCACAAAATGGAAACCTATCACCAAGGGAAATCTCCAAATAATGGAGAGCCCTTATTGTGGTCAACCCTAAAAATGGACAATTCTTACAATACACACCCTATTAATAGACACCCCCTAATTATGGACACTCCTAACAATTTACGCCCCTTAATGATGGACACCCTTTAATGATGGACATCCGTTGAAATATACACTTATAAATAATGAATCCCTCTTAATAATGAACAAAAAAAATTGTCCTATAATTTCCATCTTGAAACTGAAGTCTTTTAGAAACGAGCCCAGGCGACGAGCACCTCCTGATAAAGAAGAGCAGCTCTGTGGCTGAAGTCCTGCTTGTGTCCTTAAAGAGTACGAGGGTAACAGACCCCAAATGGTACTTTTAGCCCACAAGCATCATGCTGGAAAAACCTCCAAAGGAACACTTTAAGAAAGCGATATCCATATATTGAAAAGCGTCGGAACGATTCACCAGCAGTAAATCAATTTATTTTGATCTGGCAAATTACAAAACAATAGGATTCAACATAATCATCTACATAACAAGACTTATAGTTGCCGCATCGTCTCACATCGAAACAAATATATGGACAAAATCAGCAGCAAAAACAATCTCTAAATAAATTTACAAAAATCACAAAAATAGTCAGTATTTATTGATTAAAAATCACATATTCTAGATTGTAATCATTTACAAAAACGACCACATTTACGGTTTTAAGTTTTCCAATCGTAGCTGAAAGAACTATGATTAAAATTCAATTGAATTAACTTTACAAGAGAGGCTATAAAACCACAATGGAAGGACAACAAAAATTTGGCTTAACGGAGTTGCTTACTTCTTTAAAGAACTCTACCTTAGCAAACCTAGGGGTATAGAGATAAAAACACTAGAGGAGGAAAGCTTGAAAATGATCTTGCTGATTGGTTGACATACTTTCTCCCTTAGTAAAAATTTATCATATTTTAGCTGTAATACATCGCAGTTTTGAATTATGCAAGCGATTCATCTGCTGATTTTTGATACCTGGTTTCCATGGTATTGCAGTACAGGTTTCGGAATAGTTTTAGGCTCTAATGTATGAAGTAAGAACTCAATGGGATAAAAAGTGCCAAAAATTTGCATCTTTACAGAAATAACGTTGATACACCTATCGTGCTAAATTTAAATCTGAAATATATATAAAATCTAATCAATTTTAATCAAATACAGGCTCAATCCTCGTATCCAGGGAAAAGCCTCGTGAAATCAAATACAAAATGTTCAGCACAATTGGGACACAAAGTATATCTTATCTTAAGAAACTTGAAAACTTCATTTATCGCAAAGGAATTTTTCCTTCACTAAATTTAGCAGTTAAAACTGACTTACACTAAATTTTTTTGCATAGATACATTGAAGGTATTCAGGTAGCTATTTCAAATTCGTACAAAACATAACTGTTAGTGGAAGCTGAGATTGTATCACGTTTGGATAAATGAACGAAAAAAACAGGGCGTTAGAGTTCTGTGTAGTACTCAATAAAAACTGTTTGGATCACAGAATATCAACTTTTATCGGGAATTGTTATTCCATCTCTTGGTTCACCGTAATTTTCTTTATCAATTTTACGCGAACCAAAATATTTCTGGTTCACTCTGTATATACAAATGGATTAAGGAAACTCTTAATCAGATGAAATAGACCAACAATTCGTACGATTATGATACATTCTTCCTGCATATTTTTTTATGTTCGTCAAAGTCTTCTTACATTTGCTCAAAATAGTTTAAATGCTAAAAAGGAAAATAAAACAATAAATTCAAATTTCGAATAATAATCTAAAAGCTTAAGACTAGGAATTCAAAGGTTTTCGGTCCCAAAGTTCGCCAGACTACCCAAAATTTAGATATAATATGAAATGCATATCCTTAAACTTAATTAAAATTTGCAAAAATCCAAAAACTCAATCAAGTAAATCAAAACATTTTACCTTTCTTATAAAAGTGATACCCCGAAATTTAAGGTCGTGCTAAAAATTACACTCAAAATCCATGATCATGTTTGATAATCAATAACCTAAAATCTATTTTCTCTTGAAGAATGGTACTCCAAAAAATGACATACCCCGTATCAGTGTATTTGGATGTTACCCCCCGGGATTAAAATATACCTGTTTAATAGTACAATACAAAGGAAATTTTTTTTGTTGAAGGCAAAAAAATGGCTTGTATATTGTGGCATTTCAACCCATCTAGTGTTTTCTCGAATACCCTCTACTTGATTAACTTTGTAAACTCGAAGAGAAGGTAAACACTATTTCACAATTGCAGAACATCTTGATAAACGAACATAAAGGTGAGGTTATCCAACGAAGCATGGGCATTGAAATCTTTGACGAGGGAGGACAAAATCAGTTCTATCCTTACGAAGACTACTGTTGACAGGTCTCTAAATTATTGCTCAATACTCTCAGAAAGAGCTGTACATGCTTAGTGGGTGATAGGCCAATTTCTAGGTCAGTTTTATCTACGATATTTTTATTTACAAGAAAAATTGAAAACAACTTACAGCTAAAACAAGTGCTCCCAAAAGAAGAGCTTTTTCATTAGCACCCATTTCACGTGGGACTAAAAAAGAAACATGCATAAACATTCAATTGTACTCAAAAAATAAACAAATAGTCATTCAAAGTAGTTTTATACTGACGACAACAATAACAGAAGGCATAAATAAAGTTAAGAAGTTGGAAGCACCCGGAGATTCCAAAATTGGCCTCTTTAGTAGTATAAACCTCCTTAGGAATATGGGGACGTTTTTCCTACGCCTAGACACACAAAAGAATTTGCCAAACATCAACACGAAAGACATAAATTTTAGAGTTACAGGACTTTCAAAAAGCAAGTTGACATGTATGGTTAATTTTGCATCGACTGGACAAAACAAATCATATGTTCCTTTTTTCATAAGACTGTCGATTTGAACCAGTCATTTCACCAGCGTACAACAAAGTTCTGGCTTCCTAGCTATTGAATCTGAGGACGTATTCATAACAATATACATACACTAATGTCTTGGTCTATTTTTGGGTTCTTTGGTTCTTTCTTAAGTACCAAAGTACTTTCTTTTTATCTCTGTACCTTTCTTTCTTGTTAATTTTCATCCTTCTAATTCATTCATTTCTTCACTCATTTACCTTTGATTCAATTATTCAATTGATTGATTGATCCATTCATCCACTCATTTATTCATTCATTCTTTCATTCAATTTGTTCATTCATTCATTTGTTCCTTCATTTTTTTAGTCATTCACTCAATATTGATTCCTCGAACCTTTTTGTCTACTTTCCTCTCTATTTCTAATCCTTCCGTGTATTCACCATTTTACTTTTCTACATACAACATAATTTTTCATTAAAGGTTGCCAACTACAATATTTTCCTTTAAAGCTCTTAAAAATAAACAGTTTTAAAAGCTTCTTGCTGTATAACCAAAATCAAGCGATAATAGTATTTTGCCTACTTACAAGTCATTGTGGTTTTATCAGTGTCTGGAGAAACACAACAACTGAAAATTCCATCGCAAGTTCCTTGCCACTCATGGCCTATTTCCCCAATGTATGAATTCCACTTGGATGAAAATATCTGTAAAATTATTTCAGATATCAACAATACAAGATCATTTAGATTCAAATTTGCTACTAGAAATCCTGTTCCAACTTTTAAGCTTAAAAGTAAAAAACCTTTGTGGTTTTCATCTGGATGCCTGACAATATACTATTCAAGCATGTGTCAGAAATATTTCTCTGTGATGATCATCTCATGTTTTTTATGATGAGAAGTTGATTTTTAGATTCAAGCACTTTATGCAGGTGTGTATATGTGCAAGGCCGCTAAGAAGGGAGAACAGCGGCGGCAAATTGCCTTAGGGTTTCGAGGTCTGGGGGCCTCATACAGTAATGAATTCTATGAATTCTAAGAACAGCCTTAATCAAATGTGACAAAAGTATGCCTTAAAATAACACTGTTTTGAACTATTGCAAGAAAACGACTTCAAAAATTTTCTGAAACGTATCTTAATCTAAAGGGCGTGGTCGCAAAAATTCTATTTTCGCTCCGAATACAACGGGCCTCGTCTTTCATTTTTGTTTCGGGGGCTGCAAAACCTCTCGGTGGCCCTGTATATAAGTAAATAGCCACGCCTTGGTATAATTGTTACTCAAAGTGTACTTGTTAAGAAACTCTTGAATGAAAATACGACAATCAATAAAATAAAAAAATGAAATATAAAAAGCTGGCTACCGACCCTGAAAGTCGTAGTAGTGCAACACTCGAATTTACATGCAGGACCCTCGATCTTCAAAAGTTGACGGTTTTCTGAATCATGAACATCATAATACAAAGACGGGGGTAAACAGCTGCCACAAGTGTCCCTTGGCCTAAAGGGAAAAGAGGAATACTTTATTCAGCAACACAAAAACATGTTGATTAACTAGATGGAACGAATGAATGAATGCATTAAGACAAGGCCCTGTTTAAAAGGCAACATATACTTGGACCAAATAGTCCTTTGCTTTGGGTGCACGCACAGCCTAAAACCCGTGAGGATTTTACATGAAACGGTGGTAAATTTCAGTAATAGGACTTCTGTAGAAAGAATACGCACGCCAATTCTTAGAGCGTATGATGGAACAGGTATTGCAATACTGTTGGGCAACACTGTATTTTATTCAAAAAAAACATTACCACGCTTTGGGACACAAGCATTAAAGCTTACAAGCCAAAATCACATTCCAGTTCACACAAGGGACAGTTATACATTTGAAAGTAATAAATGTCGCTCTTATTAGCACTACGTAGTGCATTTGCATCTAGAACCACAAACGAACTTCGTCGTTTTGTAGATTACCAAAATACTTTTCGACAAATTATAAGTGTCTAAATGCTTTTCGACAAAAAGCGCGACTTACGAATGATTGACGTAGCCGAGTATTCTTCCACTGGACGAGCGTACAATCATCCCGGGGGTACAGGATGGACAAAGGATCGGCCAGTTACAGTTTTTAGGGTGTTCCAACCACATGATTGTTGTTCCGCTTGAGTCAGTGACTCGAAGATCACATTCTCTCTGATTACAACAGAACAGCGCCTTCAATACCATGTTGTTTGAAGCTAAAATAGAAAGTAAGCACACGATTGACACTTATATAGAATATATTTCAAAATTCAAATTGAAAGAAAAGCAGGACGAGCAGCGGGATTTATATGTATGGAAAGAGCAAGAAAACTAACGTAAAAAGACAAAGGTTTTTGCAAGAAGCAAAAATCTTCTTTTTAATGTATTTACCAATAGATGATGATAATATCATCATTTGTGTTGGAAAATTATGTAAAATATCAACGAAAACAGATTTTCATGTTTCAAGTTAAGGAGATAAAAAATGACGAATATCTAAATATGATTATCAACCTGCAAATATTTTTTGGCATTAGACTACGCTAGAAACAAAATGACGCCATATCTTTAGACATTCAACCGTGTTGTTAGTCAAGTGCAGAAATCTCTAGACCATCGTCCTAATTTTTCATTCATTCGATTGTATATCCCAAGCCAACATTAAAGCACACAGATCAATTTTGAGGAGATACACTATACATTACTGAACAGTAGCTAAAAGCAAATACGCCGAGGGGTAAAACGATAATTAAAACGATGTCTTAAGGTGTAAGAATAAATCAGCTGGGAATCGTATTAAACCAGAGTTGGGATAAATGCAATTATGGCTTTAAATGATAGTTTCTTTCCATATACGTGGGACCCATGTCAAAATTAGCAGTTAAATGATTTCGTGTCTGACAGTTGACAACTGGAAAAGCTTCTAAACGAATCGGCCACCAATTTCTATCGCCAAATCACATTATACAGGCAAATTTGAGGGATTCATCGGGGAGACGATCAAGTTTTCTAATGAGTGAGGCAGCTCTCCGTTTTGGAGTCAAAGGCACTCTCATTCCAGGACCGAGGCTTGCCTCACTCATTGAAGATTTTCGCTCGCTCGTCTCCTCAACAAGATAATCTTGGTTCTGTAAGTCTATCCATTCAATGAAACTATAAATACACATGGTAACTTTAAATTACACTTAGTCAAAATGGGGAATGCATCGCATACTCTATTTGAAAATCAATCAGTTTTTAGTTATCAAAATGTTTCCGGAATTGAATCCTAAAGTTTATTTGTTCTCGAACAAGGGGCTAATCCAATAATGGTAACCGTGAGCAAACAAGTTGAATCTTGATATACTTTTTTATTTATTTATGCGTAAAACAATTGACAATGAACACAATATACAAAACGATACCACAGAGAGCATGGAAGTGCATCACAACCCTGTGTTCATTAACAGTTAACTACAAGTCTGTCCCAAAATATAGACAAATGATGCAGGCTGAGGATCAAGTTGTTGGGGCTGCATTCAGAGCTCTCCGTTGTGTTATGCATCATCTGTTTCGATTTTGGCACAGACTTTAGACACAAATAAAACTTAACGATTCCAAAATTCATCATCTGTCATCTGTCAATCAAAAATTGTCCAATCAGTGAGCGTGTTACCACATATATGCTTATTGATTGGCTAAAATTGACAAATGGTTTGAGCTGTATCTGTCGATAAGGAAATGCAAGTAGATCATACCCTCCTCATTAACCATCAACAGAGGATTGTCCAATGACTTCTCGTCAGTTGCGATACAATATGTGTTCGGAGAGTGCCATGCTGAAAAAGTAATAGCCTCGACTTAAGTAAAGGTATTGCAGCTATATCCTCAAGCTAAAAGATTAATAGATGCTAAAAAAGAAGACTTTTTAACAGCAATTTTTACCGGAAAACCTGGAACACCAACATTAATATTACTACCATGCATTATTCTTCCTGGAACAACGTCGATAGTGAAGGTGAATACGAAACAATTCACGCGGAAAAACAAACTTTCTGGCCTGCTACGTCATTTTGACACGTAAATTTGATTGTGTCATAGTGAGAGTTTCATGAATTTGATCAAAATTTACATAAAATATAGAACCATAGTTTTTGGGATATTGTACGACAGTATATTGTGTTCCATTTTATAACAAACCCCAGGCACTTTGTCAGTTCGTTTAGAGATGAAATGATGGGATTAGTCGCCCTGTTGCAGAGTCTGCCACTCGAGGAAATGGGTTTAGAAAATTAGATTTGATCTCTTAAAAGGAGAAAAGGTCAAACAGTTTATCTGATTGACTGTCTCGAAACCTAAACGTGTTCTACTTTTTAAAATAAACTAAATGAAGATTGGCACAAAGCCACCGCGAACTAGTCTTAGATCGTCCCCGGTTGCGTTTTATTGGGTTTTTAAACACATATAAGAAGAGTATCTTTGAAGCAGGTCCCAGAACTTAGTTATCAGATAAAAATATTCTGTATCCACTTCCTGAAAACATTCACTTGCAAGGACATAAAAACCTTCTCTCTGTAAGTCAACAGCGATTTGCAGCATAAAAATAGTAATTTCCTTATGTAAGACACAGACTGGATGCCGTAGGGTCTCTGAAGTAGATCTCCATAGATCTCTAAAGTACCCATTCGCGTTGGAGCATCATTTAGAAGCGAATTGCAAGTTTGGAAGCTTTCAGAAAGCGCACCACTTATACAGATTAGCTCAACAATGAAGGGAAATGAAGAAAACATGTTTGATACAGCTCTTAAAATAGAGGGACTATCCCTTGATCATTAAACAAACAACGGGTTCTATTGTAGGATAGATTTTAAGTTGATGGCGGAGAGAGCATTGTCGAGAAAATTTTATAGAAGTAGACCTGAACTTTAGAGACATTTTAACCGATAAAGGGGATATTATAAAACTGTTTGCTTGAAGATTTAGCTCAAATAAACTACTTTCAAAACTTCCTTTTGAAAATATATTCAGCAACTGAAAGGAAAATAGGGAAAACTAAGCAGGACACCTCAGTTCTAAGGTACAGTAAACCTTATTGATCAAACATTACGTTGACCGAAATAGTTGTGAAAAACTTCGTGTGGAACAGGACCCGATATTTTCGTCAACATTAAAGTGCAAATTAATTGTTCGACCATTGTTTTCGATTGTGGTTGCTACTGGGGCCAATGATTTTGGGGATGTGCAACTTGATTTGGGACCTTAGTGGTTCACCAAGGGGACAAGAGAGTCAAAATTATGCACATTGGCCAGAACTCATAACCTAGCTGTTTGATCGCTCTGAAAATAAGGGACACAGCTGTAATATCTTCAGCCTTGTTATATCACATTTCTGACCCAGACACTCAGTTGTTCACCTTTCTGGTCAAATAACGTCTGGTCTTTGACCTAATAAAAACATTGAAATATGATCAGTGCAGCTTGTTTGCTCATCTATGCACCAATATCTCGACAACCAATGAACAGTAAACTAAGAAATGAACCTAAAGTACCTATAAGCTAATATATATTGAGCAATATCAATTTCAGAGGAATAAGTAACAAGTTCGAGAAGTCTTAAAAGGCAATTTTACCAGAGAATGTTTGAAATGAAAGTCCACATAAAAAACCATCAATATTTAGGCATGTATGGATTCACATAAGATTCTACTTATAATAAAATTATTTGATTAAGTAGGGATATGATCAAAAGGTTAAGTAGAGATGGATAATGATTGTACTTTTCAATACACTGCTGAATCTTTGTAAAGCCTTTGGGCTACTTATAGAGAGTGGTGATAATGCAAAATGAAAATGAATATAGCAAATTTTTTCTATTACAGAAATTCCTCTTTTGGCAACATTTCTGCATCAAATCTCCTAGATATGCTTTCTATTTATCTATATAAGAGGCTATTACCAGCCTCACCCAACTGGATAGATCTTTATAACTTTATAGAAAAATTAGATGGACCATATGCTGGGTTGCTGGCAACTGCCATCACCTTTGAACAGAAAAAAAGAAGAGAAAATTGGGTTTATTAGATTAACACACTTTCCCTCCTACAATGATAGAGCCATAAATTTTGAATTGGCAAAACTCCCACCCTTTTATGTAAATGAGTCTATGTTTGTTAACGAGTACAGAGAAAAAGTGTAAATGCATAAATTTTAATATATTTTACACCCAGTTAACCCTTCAATTATATCAGTTTAAAAGCAAGAAATTATCAAGTGGAGACCAAAACCATAACCTATTGACATTGCCTTTCTGTTGGGCATCGAACATCTGTTCTTTCAATCATGGCAACAGTACAGCCAACATTGAAAAATAACCAATGCTCCAACTACTGTTTTCCAGTCAGAATTATCCTTGACTATGGGAGGAAGCTTACAAATGACATCCCAAATTTAGATAATCAGTAGGATATGGTAAAAATGTTATAATTTCAGCAAGACAAAGAAAAGACTTTATAGTTATCACCCACTCTTAAAACGGAGTTTTAAGCAACACTTAAATTTCGGGTCTAAAGGGTGTCATTTTTTCAACTTAAAGCTACCAATTGAATTCATTAAGTTGGTTACACTGCAGATTTATGCAAATTTGACATACTCTGTGAAAAGAATTACTGACAAGGTTTTAAAGTTAAAGCTGGATAAGCAGTAAGTGTAATCAGCTTTTATGATTATGCACAGTAATACCCTCATGAATTTTCTTAGATGTTCTTTTTTTGTTTCCACACCGGCATCAACCTAGCATATTATAAAAATGGCTTTGAAAAAAGCAAACATTTGAATATACTAAAGCTTTTCGTCTGACACTCTTCAGAGTATAAAACATCAGAACAAGGATCAAAAACTCTACGCTAGAAAATATATATACTCAGTTGTAGATCGAAATAGGCCAATCAGAAACGTGAAGGATGAGCATAATTAATGTTTTTGTTAAAGTAATGTTAACAAAAATTGAAATTTGTTTTGTTTGTATTTGTTTCTACCTAGTATCCCAAGATAGTTTTAGGACACTGAGAAGCTAATGCTTATCGAGCAGTGTCCTGGTCCTTCCTCTCGATGTGACCACACCTCGTGAAAGGTAAATGTTAAAGTAAGGGTTATACTGTCTACAGTTGAAAGCAAAGCAATTAGAGATATAGTGTTTCTAGAAACAAATTTTTACATCATGAATCATAGGTTAATCATAAGTGTGTCATGGGATGAAATAATTCAAGGGGACCAATAATCAAAGATTTGTTAAGGATGGTACCATTTACTGGATATTTAAACAAGAAAAGTTGCAAAAGAGAAAGTTGACAGAACATGATCCCATTGAAAAGTCTATTGTCTATTAAAGACACAACTATAAAAAAAATACTTTTTCGCCTGAAAGTACAGTAAACAGGGCAATATAATCCTTGCAAACACTAACCCACAAATTTCCCAAAAATTTCTCTCCCTCTTTGATTCAGATGATATTCTTGCTTGCTAGCTTGCTACATCAAATATAGATAGGCCTCATTAGCATTGTTAATATTTGGAAAAATTTTATGTGTAAAGAAACCAAAATCGTAGAAACACAGCAAAATATGCATTTCCTCTGGAATATAAAATCCTATGTAAGAGCAAAATCCTGAAACTTTGAAATTTCATTTTGATTTCTAAAAAATGGGGCCCCAAGGATTGCCGGAAGAAACATTTATAACAGTTTCCAATAACTTTTTCAGAATGAGCTGAGAATATATTTCCTTGTCATGAAATTTTGAGCCATAAGGAAACCCAGGCAATCCTGAACAGGTTATTTGTTACCCCCGAATTAAAAGGAAGGGCCTCGACCTGTCGCCGTTCTACTCTCCACTTACGTTACTTTATTTAAATACGTCAAAGTATACGTCATCATGCAACATCCATATCTTGTTTTATTTACTTTCATTGACACCATATTTAAAAAGCGGCGTTGATGTTATGAATTTTTAATGAAAATGCTAAAAAAACCCAGGAGCAGGTCGTGGGGATAACAGTCCAATTTAAACTTCAACATGATACGAATGCTTTACGTGACTTGTCGGTATAGTTTAGTTCAGTGTTTGATTTTTGAAAAGTTGTGACCTTACTTTCTCCTATATTTTCATGTATATTGTTAACAACCTGTAAAAATGGGTCTCTAATGAAATAATTTACTTGTGAACATGCAGCAAATGCATACAAACCTTCGCTGTCCTGGACCCTTCGTTGTATTATCAAACGATCAGTATTCTCAAGCAACTGTACGCATTTGCCTTTAACAATTCCATCACAAGACGAAACACTCTGCGGTTGAGACGCGATCGGTTCTTTTTCCTCCATCCTTGATCGTTTTTCATGCAACAGCACACAGCTTCGACAATTCAAACTTGCTGATGACTTTTATTGTAATCACAGTCGCCTCGATCTGGTTTCTCCTTTGTTCTTATTGTCTTCTTCCGCAAACATAATCGATAATGACACTTATTGAATAGGTTACCTGCCTGGTTCTTTAACTCTGTTGACAGGCCGCGACACTCACGAAAGGCTCTCGGATTAAATGTATCATTCGTTTATGTCTTTTAAATTCTACCTTTAAAAATAGTAGCGAACGAATTATAGACGATTGCAAAAATCAACGAAGAGACTTTTTTGAAACCCTAAATATTAAATCGGTCATGTAATCCCTGGGCGCCCTGAGCCTCAATTCGTTGGGACCCAATTGCGATTATGACCTGATAAGAAATAAATAACCGCCTCAGTTAAATTACTCGCATGTCAGTACTTTTCCCAGATACCTGATACTGTAATACGTATCACCGGATTACACAAGTCATCATCACTCCATTCGGTTCGTGAGTAGCGAAACCGTTCGAACAATGCGTGTGTGACGCATTAAGGGTGACAGACATTCATCACGGTAGTAGGGTTGCAGGGTTGAACCAGTGATGACGTGACTTCTAGGGGGCACAGGGGGTGGAGCCCTTTGTGAAAAATTTTTTTCGGAGGGCTCAGTCCCCTAAACAATTCTACATTGGCCTTGCTTTCAGAAGTTTCCCCTTTGCCATTGAATGGTCTAGATATGCTTCATTTGTAAATATTTGACATGGGTGCAAACAAAAATTGGTTACACTTTTTTATATGAGCCAGTAAATTTGAGTTCAGGCTGACTGTTGTTAACTTTCTCGAAAATCTGAGGCTGGATTGTTCTTATTTCTTCTTAAATTAAAAAGGTGTAAGCGATTGCTAGCTTTTTCGCTCTAGGGAGGTGTTCAGGTTTCATTTGCCAACAAAGCGAGTGAGACAACCTTCATTTGCCGACAGTACCCACATTTGGCTAAAAATCCGCGTTTTTGAGATAAAACGCTGTTCAAAATTAAATTTTACAGAAGCTCAGCCTCAGCTTGTTCTTGATTTGTTCTTAACTTTTGACCAGCTTTGAGGCTTGCGTTCTTATAAAATTGTTCGTATAAAAAAGAGTGTATTCTCTCATTTCTAGCACCTCTCCAGATTGTCTGTTCCTTTGAGGGAGGGTATATCGTTTGCATATCAGCTCGATCGGCTTTTGCAGTGACAACATTTTCACCACTTCCACCAATCTTATAGAATACAAAGGAATTAACTCAAAGACAGGCTAGAGCGGAAACTTCAAAAACGCCTTTTGGAGCTGGTTAACTCAAAAGTGTTGACCAACAAAGTTTATGATAGGATAAGACCCACAGGTTCACAACGTCCACAAATGTATGGCCTCCCTAAAATACACAAGCCGAATGTTCGACTTAAACCCATTTTGTCTATGATTGGCTCAGCACAACACGAACTGGCTAAGTGGCTTTCTGAAGTTTTGGACCCTGTTCTTCAAAAATATTCAAAACATTGTATCAAGGACTCTTTTACGTTCGCTGAGTTCATGCAAAACTTGAACATCGAAAACGAAACATCTTTCATGTGTTCTTTTGACATTAGCAGTCTTTTCACTAATGTCCCTTTGAATGAGACCATCAAAATATGTGCCGACGCTTTGTACCGGAGCGAGCTTAAAAGCCCACCATTCCCAGAGGAAGTATTCATTGAACTGATGGAAACTGCAACACGTTCAGTTGAATTCAGCTTTAACAATGAAATGTACCAACAAAAGGATGGTGTCGCTATGGGTAGCCCTCTGGGACCGGCCTTGGCCAATATCTTTGTTGGCTTTCATGAAGAGCGTTTGTTTGACTGCGACCAAAAGCCAGGTGTCTATTTTCGGTATGTGGATGACACATATACTATTTTCAAAACAGAGGCTGAGTGTGATACTTTCCTAAAACGCCTTAATAGCCTTCACACAGCCCTACATTTTACATTTGAAAAGGAAGAAAGTAACTCCTTGCCATTTCTGGATGTTTTGGTTGAAAAATCTGACACTGGATTTCTCACTAGTGTATACCGTAAACCCACATTTTCGGGGTTATACACTCGATGGAGTTCGTTTTGCCCAAAACAAAGAAAAATCAGCCTCATCAAAACGCTTACACATAGGGCACTGATGATTTGTTCCAAGTCTAAACTCGACTCGGAACTTGAAAAACTAACTAAGATTTTTCTGGAGAACGGCTATCCAGAAGATGGTATTTCAGTTTACATTAAGGAGAAGATAGGAAATTTCTCGGCTGACGTAAAATTTGGTCCTCAAAAGTGCCCGGTCTATCTAAAACTACCCTGGATCGGTAACAGCTCCCTACGTTTTGAAAGCCAAATAAACAGGCCATAACAAATTGTTTCTTCGCGGTCAACCCACGTGTTGTTTATAGTACAAAAAGGCCCTTCCGTCCATTCAAAAGGACTGCGTTCCTGCCACAAAAAAAAGTTCTGTTGTTTATGAATTTACGTGCCAGTGTGATTCTGGCTACGTAGGACGCACCACCCAAAGATTGGAGGATAGGATAAAACAACATGTTCCATCTAATATTAGAAACCAAACCATCCCTAAAGAGAACAGCCACCTCGGTCTTGCAAATCTAAAATTACAACTAAAACCTGCGATTCTGCTATCGGGCAGCATTTGCTAGAAAACCCAGATTGTGCAAAAAACTATAATGGCGACATGTTTCGGATTATTGGTAAAGCCCGATCGTCGTTCCACCTAGCAGTTTTAGAATCTATCTACATAAGCACGAAAAACCGCTACTGTGTAGACAAAAGGAGTTCGTTTTCACCTTAGGACTCCATTGGTAACATTCTAATAGGCAAGCGGCACTGATTGATCAACCTTTACAGTCATGTGCTCGTGTTTCTGATTGGCCCATTTCGGTCCACAACTGGGTATATATATTTCTTAGCGTAGAGTTTTCGATCTATGTTCTGGCGTTTTAAACTCTGAAGAGTGTCAGACGAAAAGCTTTAGTTCACTAAATGTTTGCTTTTTTCAAAGCCATTTACAAGTTTTGTACCAACAAAGGAATTAGTTTACAGGTAGTTTTGGAGTCACAAAGCAGCATTGGTACCGAAAAGAAAGATTTGAGTTATTGAAATGTTCCGTTCTGTTTGATTTATCATATATTCTAGGCTTGATCAAGATTTGCTAATGTATTTCAAGTTTGCGTGGTTATTGAGCAGTGGCGGCTCGTGGGGTAAATTTTTGGTGGGGCTGATGACGTAATATTCGAAATCTAAAGCCATAGACACAGAACGCCAAGGATAATAAAAAGCCTTTCCATTCTTTACTACCTCTAATCAACAAGGCTGTCATCATTTTGAAAGTTTCGATTGAAAAAAAAACAAGTGCCAGTATCAATCATGTATAATTTTTTAATAAGCAAAGTAATAAACTATGTGAAATGTTGGTGTGCTCAACTTTATTTATTCAAGTCCGCTGGACCGTTTCTCTCTTCACAAAAAGGGGAGTTCGTGGGGGATGTTCATAAAAACATAGACAACTTGAATATGGCCAACCCGTAGACGATATCTTTTGCATTGCATATCATGGCAATTAAAAATTATTTAAAGAATAAAAATTCAAACTGTTAATTGATTAATTTCCATATGCTGTGAAGCTAAAATTGTTCCAGTTGAAAGCCTGCATTGGAAATATGCTTTATGCCATTAGAAGGCCTACGGCCTAGCCTTCCCATTTTGAGCTTATTTCAGGATCGGCAAAATTAATTCTGATAAAGATCTAATTTGTATGCTTTATTTCAAAGTTTTAAAGCTGAAAATGCGAGTCATCGAATACACGCCACTCTGCTGCGTTCCACTTCAAGATCAACATTGCTTATCATCACAACAACAAAAATTCAGCTACCATTGAATTGAATTATTTGGGGCTAGTATTTGGAACTAGCCCCAAAGGAATGCAGATTCGAGCAGAATTGGCCAATCAGAAGGCAGTCATCAATTGAATAGTCGAGTCATGAGAGGCACTTGATTGGTGCATTCTCTGCTAGTTTGGGGCTAGCCCCAAAAGCTCGGGAGATGGTTTCTGATACGCGTGTTTGTTCAGTTTTCGAAAGAGCCGCGGGCAGTGGGACATAAACAAACTAGAGAATGGACAAACAGTGAAACTCGAAGCAACGAAATTAGTGAACAGTGCTAAATTAATAATGGACGTTGATTTTATTTACGTTTATAAATCTAAAGCTTATTTTTGGAAATCTTTGGTGGGGCTGAGCCCCACTAGCCCCAATACACGAGCCGCCACTGTTATTGAGACTTTTCTTAGGTTTGCTTATACAGTTTGGCTTGCTTAAGCACTGGCTATTATATTTGCATCTACAAAAATATTGTCGTGGTCATAAGAAACCACACCCTCTCTTATGATATTGTCCCTGGAACTTCCTTTTGTTAATTTTTTTAGAAATCACCCCTGATTTAAACCCACCACCTAAGGGGCATCCATGTTTGTCAAATAGAATAAAATTCCTTTTCAGGTACCCTCTTTTAGAAAAAAAATTATTCAAGCTTAGTATGTCTAAGAATACTTTTTTCAGAGCCAGTTTCATATCTCAATAAACCTTCAATATTTAACTCAATTTAATTAAAATAGCTTTTCAATAGTCTTTCTAAAATGATCATCTCCTGTATTTTGAATTCTTCTTTTCAATTGTTTTCAATAGGCACATGTACTTCGAAGGAAAAGCCATGTTTCAATGAAAAATATGATATATTTGCTCTTTTTCAAGATGTTGAAGAACGAAAGTAACATGTGTCAGGGGCGGATACAGAATAAAAGTTGACGGTCGCACATTAACACTGCCCAGCAGGCGGTCTATGGGGCCTCCCTCATGGTCAAGGGCGGAGCCATGATTGGGGCCCAGCCCCCCCCCCGAACCAGAGCAATTAGGACTGGGGCCCTGAAACGTTCAAATTGTTCAGTCAAACATTTTTCCCTTTAAAAGGTTTTCCAAATTTTCAAATATTGAGATTCAGAAGTGTACACTTCCTGTGCACCTCTTCTGTATAGATAAAGAAAATTGGGACTCCTTCCTTTCACAACTTACAACCTCTTCCACTTTCTTCTCTTGCCAGCAGTTGTGCGGCGCAGTAATCTAACATAGTGTTTACAGGCTTTTCGTGCCGCACAAATATGTAATAACTTGAATTTTGATTGGTGAGATTTGGTAAAATATTCGCATAACAAAGAGCCCTGCATATTTGTGCGGCACGGGCGACATGCCTAAAAATCATACTGTTTACGGTCTAGGATGTTATTTGAATTTCTTCTATATTGAATTAGATCGTAGCATTGTGTGTGAGATCGACCAAGTTCGGTCCTGTGTTTATTGTGTAAAGAGAGCATAATGTATTATCTTTAAGGAGGAAAAAAGATTGTGGTAAACACGATTGCCTTATTCCAATGACTGAAGACTAAAACTAAATTCTGAAAATCTGACGGTCTTCCGTGCGACCTGTGCGACACCCTGAATCCGCCCCTGACATGTGTTCATTTCGTATGGTATGCAGATGTTTCCATCTCATAACAAAAGTCCTTACTTTATAGATGAACTATTAGGGGCTTAATGTCTATGTCATTATATTAAATAAAAAAATAAGTAGCATAACACGATTATTCTTAACATAAACAAAAGGAATAGCACATCTCACAAAGGGAGAATTCAATGCTTATCATTAATTTAAAAGAAGAATAGCAGGAAGTTCAGTAAAAGGGCCTTCGTCAGGTACTTCTTGGTTTCTTTAAGTTTTGATTCTAGGTCTTGCTAAGATGTTTCAAAAAAGTGCCTTTTCCCTACGGAACTACAATGACGGCTAGGCGTGTCAATAGCTACAGTTACATGAATGCAAGCACTGCCATAGTTCGCTGGCCCTTCTGTTAAGAACAAACTATCAACCGTTTCCTCGAGCAAGTCAATTGCTAAACATGTCTGTTTAGCAATTGATTCATTGTCATTATGTTGTGTTATCATAAACAAAGCGTCGTGTCAGCAAATATAGATTTGCCATGCCTATTGCTTGGGCTCACTTAGCTTACATGTTTATGTCATTTCTTTTATTGATGTAAAAATGAACATATACCGTGGCTATGATGATATAAAGCGATATTACATGTGCAACAATGAAATACCTGCCAAGCTTCATTTAATATAATGTATACGCATCTTTGATACATTATATTGAAAAAGTACGTCATCTTATTGCACCGTTTAGTTTTCTTAAAAAAAACAAAACGTTAAAATGATTCCTTCTTATTTAGAAAAAAGGCAGTTTAATGAAATGTGTGGTCTTCTGTCTGAAAAAACGGAATGTAAATTGAGAGGTTCCACAAGGTGGTGTCTTTCGTTCACTTATATTCTTACTATATATTATGTCAATCAAGGAGGTGAATTGAATCTCTTTTGCCTCCTAATCAGAAAGAGGCTTGTGTCAGCTTATTTCTCTGGAAGCGATGGAAACATGGAAGGCATAACCACAACTTAGCAACGGCAAAAAGTCACAGTTTGAGAACCAAGTTCAATATTACGACGATGAAATAGCTGTACAAATGGCTTACTATGCTTCACAATGTTTTCCTGCGAGAAATCTTCTGAGATTTAAGCAAAATTCTGACGGTATTATCAATTTCTTATCTGTTACTTGCTGATGCTTTTAATCGCATAAACAATAATAATTTGTGCCACCGACTTATTCATTAAGTGTCAGTACAGAGCATGACAATTTCTGACGTTAATGTTTATCTGATTAATTGCCATGTCTTTTAACAAACAGCTTTATTTTGAGATGTTTATGATTTTTCGAAATTAGATATTTATTTTAATTTTTGCTGGACCTGCCCTGAATAAACCCTTGGGGATTACGCTATCTTGATCTGTGAATAATTATTATTTTCGCTTTTTTTATTATAACTGAATTCAAATAACAATCGCATTCAATACAAACGCTCTAATATTAAACAATCTAGGACAACTGAATTAACATATTAAATCAAGAGACAATCGAAATAAAAAAAGCAAGATACATAATAGCAGTTAAGGTTTGTACCCTGCAAAGCGGTTTAACATCATTTGCCTAATGATAGCTCCTTAATCCTACATTGTGATTTAGCAAGTAGCAAATTGACAGCCTGTGCAGGCCTGTTCTTCTTGTTAACTCTAGAAGCTTCCAATTAAAGACCTTGTGCCTGTAGATGTAATTTTCAATAAATTTAACTAGATCAATCTGATTCTGTAGGAGGAGCATGGCTTATAGCATATAGGGAAGAGCAGAGTAGAAGATTTGATGCTGTCTTGTGCCCAGATGCAAAGACAGAGCAAAGACGAAAAGCACTTAAAGAGAAAAGAACTGGAAGTTGCTCAAATAATTCTTTCAAACATGAGACTTATGTTGCCCTGAATGGAATCTACCTGGTAATAAATTTTTTTGCTTCTTAAGTACAGTTCAATTGACTCTCTCTCATTTTAGCAAGAACTAGACTTCCTCTTCCCAGAACCCAGAACTAGATTAAATTCAAATTATCCAGATTTAACAACTTTGAACCAAAAAGGATGAAGTTTGTGTTTCTTAAAGTTTGCAAAGTTTGCTTTTGTTTTCTGTAATGGTTCAGCCATTCAAGGATATTGCACAAATTCCTAACCCTTAAGATGATAAAATTTGAATAAAGAATTTTGTTGTTTCACTGGATTATTCAATGTGCTCTTCTTTCTTGTGGTCAAGTTTTTTTTTGAAGTCAGAAATGAATTATTTGCAATGCAGGATCAGTATATGCTGGAACCAAAATAATTCCTTAGAATCAGAAATTCTTATGATCTTCACAATATTTAGGATCAACTCAATTGATTTTATTAAATACCTTGATTTTTTTAAATCAATTAGGAGCTACAAATTGCCGCTCACTACCCCACATTGATTGTGATATTGTCAAATATGCCTCTTTTACATCAAAACATCAAAATAACATATAAAGTTGAAAAATAATTGCTACAAGTACTTTTTGTCTAGCTTTTTGTAAGATTGGTAATTAAATTCTTTACTTGAGTGGAACAAAAAGTAATGTGAGAGATAGAAAGGTGTGCCAATTTTTCCATTGTTTTTGACCCATCAGGAATTGCTGCTCCCAAGCATAGTCAAAGAGTCCAACATAGAAAGCAAAACCTTTTTGTCTGCACAAGTAACAGTGTAATAAGTTGGTAAAGGCATTTGTTTCAAAGTTGAACAGTAATAAGCATAGGCTGGGTGTTGATATTCAGCATGCTACTCGCCCAATTACCCAATGTGCCTCCTTATGTGGCTATAAATTTCTTTTAAAACCAAAGAACTCTTTTTGTTTTGCAGTCATTACAGTTTGCTTGGACTTATAAACAGTTTATCCATATTCATTGCTTTCTTATTTTTTTACAGCTAAAAAATGCAAATGTTGACAATCCTTCTGATGTTGCCTACCTCAATATATCTGGCAAAAGTCTTGCTGTGGTAAGGAACTTTGTCTGCTGGACAGAATTTTCCATTTTCTTTTACAATTTAGTTATGATAGATTGCTTATGATTTATAGATTTTTACAAAGTAAAAAAGGTTTCTAAATGTCTAAGGTAAGTATAATCTGGAGAGCATAGCAGCTCTTTGTATTTTGTCTTTAGAGACTTTCAAAGGTATGCTGCAGAAGCATAGGTTGCAAAAAGCATATGTTTCAAAGTATCAAGAAGATCCAGAGTATTGAGCTCCTCATGTAGTTGTCACTGTAGTGGTACATTTAATTGAAGATGTTGAAACATGTAATATTTCTAAAAAAACAATTGGTCATTCTTAGACTGGTGACCTTATTTAGATTGGTTTCTTTATAGATTGGTATTCATGTCATGATAGTTAGTTATTAATTTTTTATAGAATGGTTATTCAAGTGGCAAGGGGGGGAGACAAAACCCACATAACAAGCAAATTTGTCAATCAATGACAAAATTTACTGACCAAAGCACTTAAAAACCACGTTTTAACTGACAATTTAGCAAAAGCTGTGGGGCACTTGTTCCTTTAGTAAAAGCTAGGCCCCCAGGTGGCAATATTTGCCTTTGCTAAGACTCGTCAAAAATTATTTTTAGATAATTCAGTTTGGAAAGAGATTCACCTGATATCAGACATTTACCAAGAGAGCTTTATTTTGCTTCTAAACATTTTTCATTACTTTGTAGAGCACATATGAAGACTTTGTTTTGTTTGACAACGTTATACATATTGAAGCTAATGAGAATAATCTGACACTTGGTAACTTTCTTTTAAACTCTGTTTTTTCTTTTCTGTTTTTATTTCTGATTGTTTATTCTCTGTAAGCATTTATTGCAAAATTGAAAATCATAGATGCTGGAAGTTAGGGGCCTTCAAGATTGCTTGCCCCCTTTTTGAAAACAGGGATAAAAATGTCTTGCCGTTCATGTGATGTCTATAAATCATGAAATTTTACCTACTTGTATTTTGAACAATTGTATTTGAGATTATGGAATTATGGAGAACTAGGAATTTCTGGTTTTGAGAATATCTAGTAAATCATTTAAATAATTCTATGTTTAGACCCTAAAAGCAAATCAACACAGTATCTTTGTTGTCACAGCTTTGTTAGGTGGGGAACAAGTTTGAAGATGATTTTTTTCCTATTAGACCAGACCAGAGATCAACCAATGAATTAAGTAAATAGAAAATAAAGAGTGAAATCAGAAGTCTTTATTTGTTATAGTAATGTAAACATCAATCATATAAAGCTCTCTATCATATTGAATGTGTTGAATAATTAGAGATAATATCCAACAATTTTTCTTTTAGATAATTAGCAACTCACAACTTTATTTTTTATTCCTTTTTAGAAACATTCAGAACCTTTCCAGCCCTCCGTGAACTTGAACTGCAGCTAAATAACATTAGATCTATGTGCATTACATCAAACGACTTCAAATCTTTGGAGTTTTTGGATCTATCTTTCAATAACATTACCGAAGAAGATATACTCAAGCTAGGGATGCTTACCTCTTTGAGATGTCTTTATTTATCTGGGAATGGTCTGAAACGTCTTCCTGTTGACATGGCACACAGCTTTAGTGCAACAGAAAGGTATTTTTTATTGATATCTTAAATATTTGGCACCCTTATTATGTGGCCCAAGGTAATTTCAGATATGCAGGACCTAACTGAAGTACAATGTTGAAATTGCAGTCAACTTTTACTGGAACAGTGGCCTTGTTTTGTTACAATTTTTAATCTTGAAATGGTCCGTTAAGGTAGATTAGCTATTGTCTGGGTTGTCCCATCTAAAGACATCATCATGGCCTAACATATCCATGTTGGCCCCAAACATTGACCGCCGAGTTTAAAGGGCCAATGATGACGAAGTTGTGTTGTATTGTGAAATTTTTATGATTTATCAGTACTTTCTTTAAAACTCTTTTTAGTCTACGTTGGTTTCAGTGTTAAGATGATAACCTGCCATTAAATAACAGTAAAAGTTTTACAATTTTGTAGCATAAGGTGAGCTACATTTTAATGCTGAACATGTCCTTAGTTTGCCAAGTGAATTTATTATTTGATGAACAACGCTGACTTATGGTGGTGGCTACTGAGAATTGACATAAACCCAGTTTGCTACAAAATCTAATTAGAACTCTATAATTACATGATTTTCTGTTCATTAATCATTATCCTGTTGTTACAGCCAAGAAGAGACTGCGACTTACAGAAGCCGTTTTCAGTCACTAGAGGTTTTGTATCTTGATGAAAATAAGTTTGAAGACACATCCATATTCGCAAGTCTCGCTGCACTGAAGCGGTAAGTTACGAAATGAGCCGTATGATATGCTAAGTAGAATCAAAGCTTTGAAAGAAGAACCTGACAAGACATTTACTATTATCATGTTTTGACTCATAGTATCATTGATTGACACTTTAAGTTAAGCCTTGCTTAGTCATGCTGTGAACACGCTCCCCTACTCTTAGGCTGAATACGTAATGTGGCCTAGTATTATATCCTGATCGTATAAGTTGTTTTGTTATGTTCGTTCAACCGTAGTTACCTTTCAAGATACTCTCTTTGGAATTCTAATAGAACCCTTTCAGTTTATTTATCAGCCAATATACTGGGTAGTGGAAGGGCAGGATGGCGATTGGGACCATTCCTGCGAAAACAAGTCTGTCAAATATTGAGAGCCAACCTACAATTTTTCATTATTATATTGGATTCATTTGATGCTGGATGATAAAGTATCGACTTTGATACACCTAAAAGTAATTTTTCGTGGTGGCATTTTTGTCGTATTGCAATATCAAAAAATTTTGAAAGTCTATTTGAAATTATTTTATTTTATTGAATCTTGAAATCAACGCAAACACGAGTAGTGCTAGGAGGATGATAAAATGTTATGTTGTTTAAGAATACTTAAGCCTGTTGTATAGTTTGTACGTTGCGTGTGGTACTTCAACTAAAATTGAATAATATAGTGAGCGAATAAATCGAGTACCAGAATGAAATATATTTAGTTGAATGAAAGAAAGAGACACTTGATATTGAGTACATAGTCGAAACATCGTGTTTTGAACTATCAATACTAAATTTATTTATTTCTGTTACTCAATTCACTTTATTATCGCTGTTTATATAGTGTAACTAAAGAAATGATAGTCTTTAGGAGATGCAATATTGGCATATTTTAAAATGCTTATATTTTGCAGACTTCGTGTTCTGAGCCTTTCGAAAAACAACCTTCGGTGCATGCCCCATCTGCGACAACTAGCATCTCCGCCGAACAAGCCTCATTTAATCCCATGTGGCAAAACTGACATCACCCAAAGCCAGCAACAAACTGATTCGGAGACACAGCCGTTTACCCAACCAAGTGAACCAACAACAGAGCTCCCTGATGAATTGACAGAACTTCCAAGGGAATTGACAGAGCTCTCTAAGGCATCAAGAAACCAACCAAGGTATGAAGATACTGCAGCAGACTCCAACGAGTATTTCCAGTCCGCAAATTGTGTTGATATAGCAACTGAGGAGCAATTTGAGCAGGGCCAATCAGAACTTAAAGCAGAACATAGAGATACGCTTGAACTCGAAGCGTTGCTAGGTTCAGATCCGGACCTTGAGATTCCAGGTGGAAGGTCCAACATTAAACTAGAAAACGCGCTTGCAGCTGGTGACTCTAATTTTGATTCAACAGGTATTTTGACTGTGATGTACATTTATATCTTGTTTTGTGCGCAGTGCACGCCTCTGTTTCTTAGGTGATGGTTGAACTGGCTACAAAATGACTAGGAGATAGCAAAGGAGGGATTAATGCAATTCATTATCTACAGAACCTACATCTTTTAAAGAGTAGTTCTTTATTTTACCTTGCCTGCAGCTACAAGGGAACTTACGCAACAAAAAGGAACAGGGAGTAAAATGTGCTTGGTCGGATATTCGCCCTACTTGGCTAAGTTGTGAAACTCTCACACCATTAAAAAGGGAACTCAAATAAGGTTTCTCTTGACTGAGTTGTGAAACTCTCACACCATTAAAAAAGGGAAACTCGAATAAGGTTTCTCTGTTTTATACGTACAATCATTGCCAAAATTACTTGGAACACCTAACACTTTGCGCTGTGCTTTTCTATTTTTCATTTGTTTTCTTGAATACTACCACTTCCGCCCCCCTTTCCCCCCAAAACAATGTTGAAAGTAAAGAAAAATATCAAACAATCCACAAGAAAAAGCGTACTCCATAAACCCTTTGTTTTTTCTATATCAAATCAACATTGTTCCCCAGGGGGAGAGGGGGATGGCTGAATTTGCCTTTGAAAACCTACGTTAGTGTTCCAAGACTTTTGGCAGTGATTGTAGGAATATCTTTGAGTGAATATTATTTGCAACTTGTATTAAGACTACAACTACCCCGCTTTTGTTTTGTAGATTTGGATCTTTCGAAAGATATTCCGGAGTATCCATTCCAGAATCTCGAAATACTAGACATATCATACAATAAGATAGCAGAAGAACACGTGCTCTTGCCATTGACGGCATGGCCGAGTTTGCTGCAAGTCAACTTATGGGAAAATCCTTTAACGAAAAAATGCAAAGGAACTCCGCCATTGTTGAATCATCATCTCACGAAACTTTGTGGAATACAAATCAATAGGTATTGTATTTATTTGGAATATATTTTTGTATTTAATAAGGATCGCAATAATTTTTCCTTTTTGCTCAATCGCTAGGCAAATAATGCCTGCATCATTTATGGTAAAACTTGAAAATCAATGGCTGTGGACACTCAGGCAATGCCGTGCTCTTCCACGTGACCACTGTTGGTAACCATCTTGATTATTGGGACGCTCATCTCTCAATCATATCGATTACCTATCTTATAATTGGAAAGCACATCTTTCAATCTGATCGATTAGCTATCTTATAATTGGAAAGCACATCTTTCAATCTGATCGATTAGCTATCTTATAAATGAAAAGCACATCTCTCAATCAGATCGATTAGCTATCTTATAATTGGAAAGCACATCTTTCAATCTGATCGATTAGCTATCTTGATTAATGGAAAGCACATCTCTCAATCATATCGATTACCTATCCTATTATTGGAAATCACATCTTTCAATCTGATCGACTGATTGTCGAGCTAAATGCTTATTTTAACAAATCAGATCTACTGAAGCTCCTAACGTGTCCACCGTCTGTAGATTCCCGTATATGTGCGAGGCAATCCAGTTTGAGTTGCAACTTCGCTTTTTATCATTGTCCCTCTTTCTTGACTCGTGTTTTCGTATTTGATAAAACCGGCTCTACTAACACGTGTGTAGATTACCAGATAAGAACGACTAATAGGTTGTCTTATTTAACTTTGAGTCTCAAGTCCTTTTCTTTCACACACTGTCCAATCTGAATATAAAAATGCACTGATTCAACGTAAACACAGATTCTAGATATTATCCAGCATGCTGAAGCGACAACAAGGTTTTGTAAAGACTTGCGCAGAGTTCCAATGTAATTTTTGACATTGCAATAGCCTGGGTGCGTTTAGATATGCTAATATATGTCTAATCGATGGAGCATTTAAATCAATCTATCGCGAAACGAATCAATTGATATCCGTTTATATTCATCCAGCTAAGTTGAAACTGGAGCTAGTTTGTTTGCGTGAAAAATTAATGCAATAATTATTCTGCTTATTATTTTCAACTATTTTAATGTTTCTATATTCCTTTTTGTGTTGACATTGTTTAAATAAGCTGTCCATGGAAGATACCCTTCCTAGAGAACTATCTCCAACCAAACACTTAGTTAGAAATTATTACCAATTGTCTATGTACCAATCAAACGTTTGCTTTTTCTCTACAATTTATCTCCGTCTCATTATAATTTGTCCTTATTTATTTACAATCTTAAGGAAGGAGCCTAAGAAGATGCATAAGCCTGCCATTGGACCTAAAATAGCACCAGCTGTGCGTCATAATAAAGTGAATGACATTTTGCCACCCATGAGAAGGAAAAATATGCTGATGCTCGAATTTGAGTCGTATGAAGCTGCCTTGCAGAACGGCTCATTATACGGGGAGCCACTGCCCCCTATAACGCCAACTAAAGAGAAACAGAGGTCAAAGGAATTGCGAGATAGCCGCAGTGCTCCTGCTCATCCTAAAGCCAGGCAGAATTCACCTGCATTTGATTCATCAACCAACAGGCCCCATTCAGTTGCTGCTGACCAGTTTTTTGGTCCGATTAAAACTGGCGAGGAACAGGGAAATGCAACAGAGGCAATGGCATCTGGCAGCAAAGCAACGGTGATGCACAGAGCGCAGATGGCGTTTTTCTTACTCAGGTTTGTAAATTTTGGTGAGCTAAAGTCACACGACGGTTTTAAAGGCTCTTGCGCAACCGGCGTGCTTTGCGACTATATTTTCAAAACCGGCCTAATATCGTACTGCATGAAAATACATAACACAATCAATATCTCAAGACAGCTTGCGCTAAGCATGCCGGTTGCGCAAGAGCCTTCAAGGTCAAGTTGTTTAAATATAGCTCAATAGTTGAAACGTCCTGTGCTCACTACTAGCTTGGAATCACGAGTTGCCAAGCAAAGCTACTTATTTTGTTGCGGAGTTTATCAAATCGTGAAAAAATATCCAGGGGCTTCCTATTGTCTCACGAATAATTGTTATGTCGTTTAATAAAGAGAGCAACATAAACGATAAAAGCAATCACATGCAAAATCCCACTACCGGTGCTTGTTGGCTGTTATTTTTAGCCTGCTCAGACCTCTGGCACAAGACGCGTTTTATATCCGTCCTGTTCAATTTTTAAGCCTGGAACGCTTGGATACCAAGGCTTGTCATTATAAAATTTAGTAGGTTTCCGTGACAGCATCTTGCGTATTACAAGAATCATCAATAGAGCAAGCCATTGTTGATTTGTCAATAGAGCAAGCCATTGATGATTTGTGAAAGACCTTTTTGGCATAGATTTCTTGCATTTTGTTAACATCAGCTACCTCTCTTACCCTATTTCTATCTCAGGATAAAGTATGCTTCCCTTATAATTCATCCACCATCCATCATTCATCCACTTGTGACGCAGATTTTGCTTGTCTTTAAGTTACCGTATTAATTCAATTTTAAACCGCGACTTATAATTAATTTTCGACACCTTTTTATTGCGGTTTATAATAAAAAATGGCTTATAAACGAAGGCAGGTTATATTATTTTATCCAGATCCTGACAAGCTTTCCTTCATAGAAGATGAGGAAGAAATACTTCTGGACGATGTTGTTTTTGGTTGAACTTCTATCATCTCTTCTTTGGTTTAAGTGCATAGTCAGGTTTTTATCAGTTTTTGGTCCGTCATTTTACACAAAGTATCTCTGCATGGTTTGGTCGATGCGGCTTATAATCAAGGGCGGCTTATAAACAAGGGCGACTTCTAATCGAATAAATACGGTTCTCAGGCCAGCATGGAAACTACTAGAATATCTAGATTGTCATTGGCTGTGCCAATTGTATTTTCTGATGTGCTTATGATAGCGAAAGATGAACCAATGTTTTGTGTCTGTTTTAGGTTGATGTCAACGATGAGGCTGGTAATAGTGAAGGTAGCTTTGAAGAGACCTTTACAGAGGCTGATGTCTATGAGCAGGAAGAAATGTCTAAAAACAACGCGGAAGTTTATACTCCTGCCGACCAGACAAATGATACGTACGAAGATCTATTGCGCATCGAAGGACCAGTAGATGAAATGGACACACCACCTGCCGTGGATTTAAGGGGGAATATTAAAGCACTGAAAAATGCATTGAACCATCCTCTTGTTTTCAATGAGCCAACTGCGAAGGAGCAGGAGAAACAGACATACACACGACGTAGCCAGGTATTAATGCTATTAGGCCTATGTTGGATATCTGGAGCACACCCCCCCCCCTCCCCACCTCTGTTGATAAGCAAAGAAGAACTTTTATTCTACAACCAGGTATCCTTTGCTTGCATTGGATGAATTAATTAATGGCTGGGATGTATAGTTCTCAGGAGACATATCCAGTATATAGATCTTGTAAGCCAGCTCAAGGCCTTATAACATTGGTTGTTGCATGTTTGTTCTGGTAAGGGGCATAGGTACCTACCTTGCGTAGAGAATGCTGAAGGATCTTGCATAGCTGCTGTCGCTCTTAATTGATATTTTCACCGAACGGTTTTACAGAATGAGCCCATCATGAAATAATTAGAAGGCACCCCGAATTACTCGGGATGTCACCGGCAAATGTCGTCAAAAAGCATATTGTGACATATTGAAGCAATGAGCCATATCTTTTCGAATAAAAAAATAACTTTTTATGTGGTTCAATGTATATTATTGACAAGATCATTCTGTATAACCATTCGGGAAAAATACAATTTCGGAACCCATTTAGTTGATGATTTATTTGTATCATATGGTGACAGTTTTAAATTTCTTATGATGTACCTGTCTGAATCAAAGATTTCATTGCTCTCTCTTAGGGCAGTGAGAAAAAATCTCCAATGAGAACCAAACGTGATAAGGTCAACACTGCATTGGAAAAGATGAGAACAAGAAATGACGCTGTTGAGGAGAATCTAGGTAGGCACCCGTTTTGATGGCTCAGTGCTCAGGGTGGCGGACTACAGATCCAAGGGTCTGTGGTTCGAATCCCTGCCATGACCGAAATTTTGCTTAAAGTGTGGGAATCGCCAGCTCGCTAATTCAGGGCGTAGGAATCACGCGATGTGGTCACATCGAGAGGAAGAACCAGTACACTACTCGATAAGCATAGCATTTCAGTGGCCGAAACCCTACCTTCGGAAACTAGACTGCAACAAGTACAAAGCAATTGATAATTGGGATTAAAGCGTTGCCAATTATCAATGTTTCACTGTTTGTCCAAAACATGAAATTTTTAACTCATCAAAATGTGGTAATGACAACTTTTTAGTTCAACAAATGGGAAAAATGTTGATGCATACAGTTTTTCATTTCTTGAAAATTTTATTCATAATCAACTTGGTTAAGTGCTTAAGGCTTAAATGAAGCATGTTAAAATACCATCAAATAGTCAGTTTTATTTGAAGCTTTTCATGAAGTTAGAACGTAAATGCATATATACTTTCGATGGTGTTTTCTTTTGTTGAGCTAACTGAATACTTGACAAATTTCAGGATAGTAGCATTTCTTATTTAATTGCATTCAAAAGAAAAATTATTTTGTTCTTCTACGATGTTATGTTTCGTATGTATATGTTTATATATTACTTTAGACGTCCTGATTTTTATTGGCACCTTATTGACTAGGCCAGGCTACGTTCCTTCACCACACAAGATGTAAATAAATCTTATGCGTCGAAAGCCTGAGTAAACTTGCTGATCATTGCGTACTCTGTTTAATGTTTTTATTCATCTTTTTCATTCGTCTAGATGTTGTTCTACAAAAGTATGATACTGACCCTGAAACCAGAAAAAAGTTCCCGGAAGTGAAGACACTTTTAAAGCAGGTAATATTACATCCCTTACAGTCAATTTTACCTTGTTGAAATTGGATAGATCAGTAAAGCAATACCAGAAAAGTACAGAGTGCCGCCAAGGCTTTCCTCTCAACTGTCTCAAATTAACTATCCATTCAGTAAATTGATAGGCGCGCTATATTTAGTGGAGTGAGTCTTATGGACCAGATTCTAATACGTGTAGATCTTGGCCAGATTTGCCAAAGGATTCAAATCGTACGGATCTGACTTGTAGGATTTCAAGTCTTATTAACCAGATTCTGATGTCTAGCAGTTCCAAATCTAACGACCTAAATTCTTATGGCTAAGGGACCTAAATCTCACAGACCAGCAGTGGCGTAGCGGGAGAGGCAAGAGGAGGCGGACGCCCCCCCCCCCCAAAAAAAATATCTTTCAAAAAGGTAGTTTTTGGCGTTTAAAAGGGTGTAGACCCCCAGTTTTCCCTGGTACAACCAGCCTTTGCCCTCTCCCAATCTTACAACCCTGGCTACGCTGCTGCAGACCAAATTTTTGCGTCCAGGGTGTTCAAGTCCTATGGACGAGATTTTAATGGCTTAAGGATCTACGTCTAATGGCCCAGATTCTGATGTCAAATAGGTCATATTCTAACGGATCCAAGTCTTATGGATCAGATTCTAATGGCTCCAAGTCTTATAGATCAGATTCTAATGGATCTAAGTCTAATGGCCCAGATTCTGATGGCTCAAGGATCTGAGTCTTATGGACCAGATTCAAATGTTTAGGTGTCCTATGTCTTATGCACCAGATTGTTATGTCCCTGAGAAGATGGTGTAGAAGCACGATTCTTTCCAAAAAATGATGGAGGGTCTGACTTTACCTTGCCCGAGAAATATCTTGCTTGTTGTAACAGAACAAGATTATATGCACAGCAACGGCATTGTTTTCCATTTCACAGGAGTGAGGCTTTTAAAAATTTACATTCGTTATTGCACTATTCTTAATGAAAAGACGTAAGGATTGAAACGACGTTATTATTCTTTACTTCATGGAGGGGGGTAGGCTCCTCTGCGCACAGGGTAAAGGGGGAGGGGATGGTGTGTGTGGATTGCACGGATTTAGGCTAGGATTTGTAAAGGTGACCGGGTGGCTCAGTTCTTGAAGCAACGACATAGAGAATCATTTTTCGCCAATTTAAATACTGTCCTGGTTGTGTCATAAAACGTCCTATGTACGCATAAACAAAGGATGAAAAATGCCAAGACAGCTAGGGAAGGGAGAACACTGTATGTACACTTAGTTGAGTAACCTTTTTATCAATTTTTTTATATCCTTTTTAGGTCCAGTCTAAATATAACGAAGTTAGGCAAGCATCCTTGGAATCTGCTACCACAGCACATGCAATTTTGCATGGAACAAACACACACGACGCTGATCTAAAATATGCTCCTTCACACCGAAAGCCTTCGCAAGGAGAAGGGCACCCGGAGAGGTTTGTGAGGGATAAAAGAGGTAAGCTATCAGCGCCTATCAACGTTAACAAAGATTCGCACCTGCTCGATGTTGGCAACGAGCTTGAAAGATTCAAAGAACGTGTTGGAAAGAGAATTTAAAGGATGTATGTAAGTTTGTAAATATTTGCTTAAAGTTATCGTTTTATTGTACTCCTCGAACATGACTAAAGTTGTACATACTGTAAAGTTACTTGCATATACACTCACGAATCAACAGAAATGTTTTTATATTTGTGAAGACTATTGGTCGATGGCTTTTAATTTCCTATTGCGTGATATTGCGTATTTCGTATTCCATCTCCTTTTGTGGCCTGGGTACGAATTGACTGTTATTGTGGAATGCCCTTAGCACGTGATTTCTGCTCTTGTTGGTGCTATTTGTTTATGAGTTCGATTTCTATAAATTCTAAAGACTGCATAATAGCGATCTGTATTCTGCCTTGACTTGATTTATGAAGTTTGAAGCAAAATCACACTGTTCGTATGTACAGTTAAGTTTAATGTTGGACATTGTCAAACTATCGGATCGGTTTAAAACAATGACGTGTTTTAGTTCGAATCATTAAAATAACATTGAAACACCTTAAAATTTAAAAACCAATTAGATGTGACCGACAATAATAGACACACATTTAGAGTTTCAGTTACGTTCTTGTTTCTCAAGCTTTTTCGATTGCAAAAAAGGTTTGATTTTACAAAGAAAGATTTTAGTTTTTTGGTCAGATAGATCGAGATTGAGAAATACTTTCTCTTGCAACCACAGTTTGAATATGAAAGTATTCTGCTTAGAGATGAAAATTTGAAAGTAAAGTAAAGTTAGTAGCATGTCCTAATGGACATCGTTGTGGGGGTGGGATGGAATCTGTAATGCTATAAAAAATGCTTAAAAGCTCAGAGATATATGTTAAAAGTAATGTGTCCATATAAAAGGACTGCGTATACCCAACTTGTCAAGCCACCCATCAAAATAACTGTTTGCGATTGGTTAGTATTCTTGCGATGCAAAACTGCTCACATGAAAAGCTGACCTCGCAGCAGTATCGATAAACAGAGCGACCGTAATGACTGGGGCGATGACATGAAAAATCACGTTTCTAAAAACCCCCGCAGAGTCGCTTGCTATAGGTGGACACATTACCTTTAAGTCAAATATTTATGCTAAAGTGCCTTGACTTTGATTATATCGCAATTTTAACCACAGTTTAAAAACATATTTTAAAACTGCTTGAACTTTTAAGCAACAAGTAAAACATCATGATTACTGTGATTTTTAATAGGGAGCCTTCTATAAGAAAGTATCGCAGCATTTCTTTGAAAGTTATGCTTCAGCATTCAACTTTTTAACTTTTAAATTATAATAGCTCAAAACTATTATTCTAAGGGTTAAGATCAATATCATATCCCTGTATGATAATTTTTCTGCTCATATTTGCTCTAACATTTTAACATTGCTGCTCGGCACTTCGAGTCTACCTGTTAATGTTACACCTGAACATGTTTAAGATCACCTGTTTTAAAATCCTAGGTGCAAATCTACCTTAGAAACGAGTTTAGTGTCTGTGTTATTCTAGCTCGTTCTCTTTGAGGCAGATAGCCTATTGTTATGATCACAATGCAACTGTCAGTAATAATCCCCAAATTTGCTAACATCTCATCGTTTGAATTGTCTTCATAATTATCATTGAACAGTGGTCGTTATTCACAAGAGCTGTGGCTTAAGGTTTTGACAACAGTTTCTGTAAGTCTATTTCTACATTGCGCCCTTTGTTGGGTATTCGGTTGCTTTTGTAGCCAATTATCCTTTCCTCCGTTCCGCTATAACGTCGCTTGCCAGGCTTCCTGCAAATTGAACCTCTGCAACTTTAAAGTTTTTTACAATAAAGACGTATAGAGCCAAATGACTCTGAATCTCTGAGACACATCTACATACTTTTTATTAAAAGAACAGAACAAATATTAATAAAGTGTGAGAAGGAAGAGCCGCAGGATAGGCTGTCCGCCGGATTCTGTGAATCTTGCAATCAGATTTTAAAATGAAAGGTATACAGGAACAAAACAATACGAAGACGAGAATCCAATGTCACGAAATAAATTTTCAAAATAAATTAAATTTAAGAGTATACAGGAATTTGCTATAATATTAATAACATGTATATTACAAAGACCGGTAATATTGGCAAGGTCAATTTGGTTTATAGCATCAACTTTCAATAAACCTCACAAAGCTGCTGAAAGTATGCAAAATTCTGTTAAAATGCAAGTACGATTGAGGCGTATTCATCGATCAATTGACCAATGAGCTCGATTTATGTAAGTTGCGATTAGCTTTATCGCTTACATGCATTGATAAATCGTCACTGTGCAGTGATAAGCTCAAATTTGTGATACTGTGATACTGTGCAGTGATAAAACTACATTCAAGAGAAATGTTATTGAAAAATAATGATTGCAGCAACACATGTAGAAACAAAAAGCCTATTTAAGAGCATTAAAATGATAGTAGCAATAATTATACAGTAGCAATCATTAAGGACATAACAGTAGCAATAACTATATTCAATTAAATCTCTTTAGAAAATTTTCTACTACCTAGAAGCTACGAAGTTTTTTGTCCTGCATCTTCTACTTTAAGATCTTTATTCTCGAAAACATTTTTAAGTCTCGGCCTCTATTTCCTTCTTAAGATCTTTTGTAAAAGCTCGTAAGAGAGGTGTTGTAATTCGAAAGTTTCACAAAGATACTAACGTCGTATACTACGGTTGGTTTTATGGGTGTAGTCATGAAAATTTTCAAAAGGCAACACCCAAATTGCTAAAAATCTTTGAATAAGAGATAAAATTTCCTTAAAGTAAACCCTGCTTGCCCTAATGAAGTCCCATTATAATTTCATAAACATTTTAAATCTGGAGTTTAAGCTCGAAAAGTCTTTAAATTGTAGAGAATTAAACTCATAGCCCCTTATCCCTTCATGTCAGAATGCGAGTTAAAACTGTGACTGTTTTCTGGATAAATACAGAAAATACAATGATTTAGTTCGAAACCACCCAGATTCTCTTTAATTTGTCCTTCTTTCTACTATGCAAAAATGCATGAATAAAGAAGAAAAATGGGAAGCCGTTTATCTTTTGTCCTGCGGCAAATATTTTGTAGAAATATCCCTATCTTGCAAATCTATTGTTGAAGATTTTAAGGGCTAAATTCGTTAAATTTTTAGAGCAATTTTGACTGTAAATTTTCAAAGTACATCTATCTTTTCATTAAAGTTCGAGAGATCCTTTCTTAATACTGCACACAGTAACTCTCTAAACACTAATTGACTATTGTTGATATTTGATGATTTCAGTTCAGTTTTAAACTTAACGAAAATAGCAGCTATTTTCTAGAAAGGAAGCAAGAAGTTACTGATCACCATTTGTCATCATAATTGCCACGCCGGATTTTTTGATAAGGTTCCGTTCTCAAATTGTAGTTTAAGAAAAAGATTTCAATTTAAAATGATGTCGAACCCTTTCTTAAAAACATCTTTTGCAAAAAACATGTCGAAATTAGGTCATGGTGTTCCGTTCTTGAATCGTGGTTGTCTGCCTCCAGCTCAGGGAGTGAGGATAACCCTTTTTTAAAAGGACACCGAAGCTTTTAATTCTAAAGCAAGCTGCACATATGTTAATCCAATACTGACTCTCGCTTTATTTTTTTTACGGGGGCATCTAAATGTGCATGAAAATTATTGGGATGGGAAAGGCTCATTTCGCCCCCTCAGCTCCGACTGCGTCGAAATAGCTCAAACACAGTGTTGTTGCCATGGTGACTACTCTGTATCGGACCCTTCAAGTTGCAGTCACTCGATTTCTTTTCATTTGCTCTTGTTAGCTGCAATGATGCGTCTGCTATACGTGTCGAAAACTGTAGCAATTACAGCGGCGTTTTGCATCTTGTTGGTAAACATTTATACTGCATATAATCAAAGCAACGAAGGAACTGGCTATAGTATTAAAGATCTGATTAACGGACTGACCGCATTGCAGCAAAAATTCAAAACACTACAAGACAACCAGCTTACTCTAAGGCGCGATTTGCTGGTCGCAGTACATCACTTCTCTACTGAAAATGATAAATTTGATACGTACGTTAAGGAAAAGGGAAAAGGTGCACCAGATCATTTTGTACTGAGGCACAAGAAAAATAATACGGTAGAGAAAGGAGAAGAGGACGCAATAAAACCTCTCGAACGAGTCAGCTTGAGCGGTAAGAGTCAAAATGATATGGACAACGGAAGAACAGCCACTAGTGAACCAACAACTGAATCAGCGCAAGCGACAAGTGAAACAGTTGGAACGACAAAAGAAAATTTACCTACTCATGTAACAACGAAAAAACAAGCTACGGATCCCACACTATCCTCTGAATCGACTGCTGTTCCGTCGAGAGCAAAAGCACAAACTACCAGACCAAAAGAGTCTAGCAAATCGTCTATTATTTCGCCAACAGTCAATGTAAAAACTACCGAACAATCAGAATCGAGCAAAGATGGTTTGAGTAAAGAGGATCTAGCAACTGCTCGGGCCGCCTGTGAAGTACCCAAGGTTGACCCGTTCAACCCCGTCGTCACACAATTCGTGAAAAAGCTGCCCAAATTGAAGTGCAATGGAACAGTACTCAGTAGAATTGAAGATGACTTGATCAAGTTCGATGTCAAGAATGTTAAAGGTGCAGCTGTTATTTGGATCGATAGATACTACGATTTTTGGCTTGATTTTTATGAATGGGTTTCTTTCACTAAATCCTTGAAAAAATTGGAACTGAAAGAAGGTATGTTTAGAAACCAATTTAATCATTTGTAGATCTTATTAGTGAGTTATTAGAATTAGATCGTTAGTTATTAGAAGAAATCCAGAAAGATAAATAGAAGTTGAAGTATGAAAACTATGATTCCATACCTCAATGCGAAAAGAGTAGTGTTGAATACGAATTTTAAAGCTGGATGGCATCGTAAGCCAAATTGGCTCTAGAAGAAGTTACCAGAAAATTCCAGCAGGTAGTAAAAATATTTTCAAAAAGTATTTGCGTGGAAATTGACAAAGCAACGTGAAACGTGTTTCAGTCATGTTTGCACTTCATTCAAAAACAATAGTGATCATTATACTTTTGTTTGCAATTATCTTCCTCGCTAGTTGCTTGCAATTTGTAATGGAGTGTCGCAAAGAATTCCTTTTTAGAGGCTTCTTGTTGGTTGAAAGTGGGTCTTTAACAGTGGCGTGGTAGGAGGGGGGCCAGGGGGTGCATGGCCCCCCTGAATATGGGCGCAAATGGAGATAAGGGGGCGCCACAATTGTTTGCTTGTAATGTTTGGCTAGGAACATCAAAATTGATCGTACACGGGTAGAACACTTTGCTGTAACTTGCTGTGAACAATCTAGTAAAACGTGTGATTCTACAATCTAGTAAGCACGTTACGTTGCCATGACCCAATCAACATTTGTGGCAGGGCCTATTTTAAGAAATTTTCAATACTGCACATTTATAATCATATTTTTTATAGGAAATTTTTTGTTGCAAACAGTGCAAACCCATGCAAACCCCAGGTATCTTGGCCATGCAAGTGTAGCGAGGAAATGGCCCGAATTTTGAAGATGTGTATACGCCATGACGCAGAAATCACAAACAGACAGACGATAATATACACAATCAACAATGACATTTCAAAACAGCAACAAAACGAAAAGTAGCTACAAAACCTGAAAAGAAACATACTCATTTATCTCTTGTAAACGGAGTTACTAACTATCTCATGTTTTGTCCGGACAGTACAACAAAAAAGTTTTATTCGGCTCTTTGTCTTTCTTTTAGTTAAGTTAAGTGAGCTTCTGCTAGATGCCCAGAGCATGTTAGGGCAACTGATAAATTATTACTGAATGTTTTATTTTCGACAAGATCAAATTACGAAATTTACAGCAATTCTGACATTTACAAGTAGATGTTTTGTTTTTGGTTCTTGGCATTTCGCTTTGTTTTAAGTTTTGATAAGAGAGTCTTTCCGATGGTTATACGAGAATTACAATACATGAACTCTATATCGAACTGACGAGGAAAATTCACATTTTGTGAACAAAGCAGGAATCTGGGATAGCCGCAAAAAGACATTTTCACAAATCCCAAAATTCAATACTGCACATTTTGGAAATCAATACTGCACGTTTTTAAATTAATACTGCACAAAGTGTGTAATACTGCACACTAAAATAGGCCCTGATTTGTGGCTTCATGTTTAGCACGCAGAATAACGAAAATTTTACGTATGCCAAAAATGTTTTCTATTAGTTTGCACTCAGAAAGCCAAAAAACCTGAGTGTACGCCGAAGATCTTTTGGCCTAAGTATATGGAATCCACCCTGGCAATCAATACAGCAACTTCTTGTTATTAACATCGATGCGAACCAAAAGTCACCCTTTCATTCTTTTCCCGACGCATGAATCCTCCCCTCCAAAATTTGTTCTAGAAATCAAAATCGATGTTTTTTCTGAGCATCGTCTAAGTGTCTATTCTGAGCGGTATAGTAATTTGTTAAATTTTTGGGAGGTCCTCCTATGTGACTAAACTTGATTATTTTGCTGTTGAAAGAACTACTATTTAATAACTACTAAAGAATAACAAACTTGAACCATGTTTGTATATCATGCATCATAAACACTAGGTGTTATAAACTTTAAACCGTGGACCGGGCCACGCAGAGAATTGAGAGAGAAAACACCCTTTGCATATTATCAACAAAACCTTTTTATATATTTATAACTGCAATCACTTTACAACACCGCGTGTTCCTACTCCCTACTCCAATCTAATATAATCACCGCCGACGTGCTGAGCTGCAATCCGCTGCGCACGCCGCTACGCAGTACTTTACAACACACTCCCGGGGGTTGATCGCCTATTGTGATCTAAATTACACGATATAGTTCAAATTTAATAACAGCTTGTTGCAATAAGAAATATCAACATAACATAACAAAGCAGTATAAATGCGATATAAAACTACAAAACTTTATAACATCGGTTCAGTTCTCCTATTATTGCAGCATTGCGCCTTGGCCTATCGAGAGTCTGCGTGTCCTTTTGCGGCAATTCGCTGATCTTGCGCAAATGCGTATCTTCGTTGTTAGAAGACTCTTCGATGTTTTTACTTACATGGAGTTCTAATGGAATCAGATGTTTAATTGAGCGAGTAAATACACGTTTACCTCCTGTTTCCGTTGGGATCTCAAGCCTTGCCGCTCTAACATACCCGTCTTTTCCTGGCAACAATTCTGTAATTTTTCCCATTTTCCAAAAGCACCTTTTTGTCTGCTCATTCTTCAATAGAACTACATCTCCTGTAGATATAGAAATACTGTTAGGAATCTGTTTCGATTTAAAGACTTCCATAAGTCCTACAATATATTCCTTTTTCCAACGCTGAGTGAATCTTGCTAACAATTTATGATGGTACCTTGCTCTGTTGGACAAGGCTTCGTATGTGCTAAGGATTTCTGCATGTCTATGGTTAGAAGATTGTGCTAAATTTCTTCCATTTACAAGTTGCGACGGTGTCAAAGGATACGATATTCCCCTTAAATCTTCATGCATATAGGTAAGTGGCCTTGAATTTATGACAGCTTCTATTTCAACTAAAATGGTGTTTAATTCCTGAAAACTTAGGAATGCGTGTCCTATATTCTTGATCAAACAACGCTTCACGCTTCTAACTAATCTCTCCCACCAACCACCTATCCATGGACATTTTTCTACGATAAATTTCCACCTGACACATTGACTTGTGAGATGCTCGTATAGCTTGGGGGAATGAATTAGTTTCTTTACTTCCTTTGACATTGCCTTATACGTCTTGGCATTATCACTCATGATTAATCCAGGTACACCTCTTCTAGCACAAAACCTACGAAAGGCACGAATAAATGAAGGCACATCTAAAGATTCTATCAACTCTAAATGAACCGCTCTGGTCGAAGCGCATGTGAACAAGCATACGCAACATTTCTCTTCATTTTTGTCTACGCCCTTTACATAAAGTGGACCCGCGAAATCAACTCCTGTGTTACTAAATGGTGGACTATCATCTACTCTAAATTCGGGAAGTTCTGGAGTGATATTACATTTAAATGGCAGTCCTTCAATTCTTTTACACGGTATGCACCTTCTTAATATCTTCTTGACTATCTCTCTGCCTCTTAATATCCAATAACGTTCCCTTATACAACTTAGCGTCTCTCCAATGCCATTATGAAATACCTTCAAGTGTGCTTCATGCACTACAAGTTCAGAATAGTACAATTTTGATGGCAAAATAATAGGCTTTTTCTCCACATCTGTGAAAGCTGAATTGCCAAGGCGTGACTTGCAACGTAATATTTGTTCCTCATCAATAAACAGATTGAAGTGATTAATCAAAGGTAACTTTGAAACCCTTTTTTCACGAAGACATTCAATTTCCTTAGCAAAAGCCTTACCTTGAACGACTTTCAGAACATAATTTTCAGCCTTCTCTATTTCTTCTGTCGCTACTTGACTACTTACCTCTGGTTCAAACTTCTTAATTCTTGCCTTAATGTTAGCAATGAACCGAAATACCCATGCCACAGATCTTAACAACTTCATTCTAGACGAAAACCGATTAAACTCTACAGTTTCTGAATTAATAAACACTGTGTCTTCGTAAGACTTATTGAGAACTGTATGCGTTATTACTGGCGGACTAAACGTTTTTTCATTCATGGCAATGGTGTTCTCTGATTCCGACATGATTTCGTTTTTAGGCCATTTCGTGGGGGATACTTCAGAAACATAGGACCCTCCCACCAAAAAGAATCAGCGCCCAAATTTTGCATGTTTTTACCTCTTGATGGAATGTCTGCAGGGTTTAAATTTCCCGGGCAAAAAAACCAACTCTCCTTGGTTGTTATTTGCTTTGTTTGACTGACCCTATTTCGTACAAATGGTTTTTAAGGCTTCTCATTTGCTCGATGCCCCACCTTCAAGCAACGAAAACATCGTCGTGCACCGATAATAAATTCCTTTCTCTTCTTCGCGTCTTTTATTTCAGTGCACTCTGAGGCCCAGTGTCCTTTCTTACAAAAGAAACAAGTTACATTTCCGCGATCATTTTCGATATTGGCAATGAACGTTTTCGTGGTGCCGCTGATTCTTGCCCTTGCTCGTTCGTAAGTTTCCTTTCGTTCCGTATTGTTTTCGCTTGCAGCTATTTTCGCTCCAATTTCTCGGGCTTCGATTTCTCCTTGCAGTATCTTCAGAATTTCATCAATTTGCCAGATTTCCTCCGACGTTTTACGCGCAATTTGAACAGTAATCTCCTTCGGCATTCGCGACATGATCAAAGGGATAAGCAAGCTCCTGTAACTTTCGGACGGCATTCCCAGAGTTTCTAGCCCTCTAACGTGGACATTTATTTCGTCATAAATTCTACGAAGCTGTTCGGTGTTTTCATTCGGCAATGACTGCAGCTTACCTGTCAACGTGACAGCTAACGATTCTAGCCTTGCAGCCACTTCAGTAACCTCTGAGCCATCTTGCTCGTGAAATACTCTTTCAGCTTCCCTCTGCAGCTTCGTAACGACTGCACGATTTTCCCTACGTATTACCTTCAATCGTTCCATTTGTTGACCTTCGTGGCCTTCCGTTGCCATCGTTCTCGCTAAATCCTCAAATTTTATCTGCCCTGCCCCACATTGGGCGCCATATGTTATAAACTTTAAACCGTGGACCGGGCTACGCAGAGAATTGAGAGAGAAAACACCCT